CCCCCCCCCCCCCCCCCCCCTGGCCCGGCGCCTCGTCCGATCACCTCGCTCACAGCTATCCGGGTCCACACAGATGCAGCACTTGGCTGGCGACACGTCCCGTTGAGCCGTCTGCGCACGCTCAAGGTCCGCTCCACCGACGTGTCCGACTCGTCGATCGGCCGCCTCCTGTCCCTGTGCGCGCCGACCCTCGAGCGCCTCGACGTGTCGTACTCGAACCTCAAGACGCTCGACTTTGTCTCGTCGGCCCTGCACACGCTCCCCGAGTGGCGCCTCGAGAAGCTCGTCGCGTCGGGCCTGCCGCTCTCGCCGGTCACGCTCGAGGGCTTCCTCAAGCCGCTGTCCGAGCGACCAGACGACGAGCGGCGCCGGTTCCACGTCTTCAAGCTCGGCAGCATCCCCAAGACGTCGTCAAAGGTGCCCGGCCTCAACGACGCCGTGCTGAGCCGGCTGCTGCCGCACCTCGAGGCGCTCGACGGGCTCGAGAGCGTCTCGTTCTTCCAGTGCTGGGACCTCGGCAAGGCGCTTCAGCCTTTGAGTCGCTTCATCGAGGTCGTCGGGCGCAGGTGCTTGGTGCGTCCCCTCCCCTTCTACCTCCTCTCTCTCGCGCTCGGAAGCTCACCACCCTGTCGTCCCTCAGCACCTCGACCTCACGCTCCCCGTCCAGTCGCACCACCTCGAAGGGCTTCTTCCACCTCTTGACGGCGAGGACCCCGCCGACGGCGACGCCAAGCCGTACGAGGCGCCTCGCCTGCGCACCCTCGTCCTCGACTCGTCGCGCATCACGGACGACGCCGCCGGGTCGATCGCGGCGTGCCGCGAGCTGCGGGCGCTCCACGTCGCCGAGACGAGGATATCGAGTGCGTCCCTCGCGAGCCTCTCCTCGTTCTCTCCTCCTCGCACGCCCTGACGAGCGCACCTCCCTTGTGCAGCCAAGTTCCTCGCGACGGTCCTCAGCTCGTGCCCGCACCTCAACAACCTCAACCTGACGTCGTGCCGAGGCATCCCGGTCACGCAGCGGCGTACCTTCTTTGACGCGTGGGAGCGGGGCGAGGTGGCGGTCACGCCGTGAGGAGGAGGAGGAGCGAGGAGGAGGAACGAGCGCCCTCGAGCACGCGGCCACCTGTACCCGCTCCCGACTTGCACTTCATACTTCTGTCGCTGTCTCTGCGTGCCGCGAGCTCGAGAACATGCTTTGCACGAGCCAGCGAGCGCGAGTAAGTGCATGCGCGGGCCAACCTTCTCTCGACGGAACTGCGGTCGCTCGCAAAGCATCTCGCTCTCCACCTCTCGACGCGTGCAGCTCGGCCAGCTTGCCGCCTTGCAGCACCCTATCGGCGGCCCCGCACTCGACCAGCACGCGCCGGACGCGTCCCGCCCTCTCTCCGCCTCGCCTCCTCGAACCCGGGCCATCCTCGACCTACAACGCCATGTCACCTCTGCTGCCGGTGTTGGCGCTGTTCAGCGTCTTCGTGCAGCTCGTGCAGGGCTACCAGGTCCTCGTCACGGACCAGGACGAGGTGAGCTCCCTTCCCGCCCTCCCCTCGCCTCCCCACAGCCTCACAAGCGAGCTGACCCTTGTTCCCCTGCAGGTCCGCCAGGTGTGCAGCGGCATGTACGGCAGCGGTGGAGCTCAAGAGCCATACATCGAGGGTGCGCCCCGTCTCTCTCTTCCCTCCAGCAGCGCCTCGAGCTGACAGCGTACCTTCCGCAGTCCTCTTCTCGCCATCATCCCGAGGGCAGCTCGCCCTGGCCTTCTTCGAGTGGGATGACGCGCAGTGGCTCGGTGTCGGTGCAGACGGCCAAGGTGGCAAGAACGATTGGTCCGCCGACGTGAGTTCCGCCTCGCTCAACGGCGGGTTTCCGGTCCAGCCACGTGCTGACACGCGTTCATCCCTGCAGCGCATCTACATCTGCACGGTCGAGGCGCAAGCCGCCGGCCTGTGCACGACCGAGCAGCTCGGCCTCTTCCTCACGGCGCCGGGCACGCCCGCCGAGACGAGCATCTCGACCTCGTCGGTCCGATTCGACGCCGTCCCCTCGGCTTCCGGCGAGCGCCAGACGGCGCGAGGGCCGTTCCGGTACGACATTGGTGGCACGGGCTACTACTGCGTCGCGACGGTGCCCCTCCTCCTCGAGGGCGCAACGAGGAACACGAGCTTCACGGGCGTCGTCGACTTTGAGAACGTCTTCAGCGGGCATCTTCCGGCGGCCGAGTACCCCAAGGTGACGGTGCGTCCCGTCTCTCCCTCTGCCTTGGCTCTGTCGGCGTCGCACTGACAAGGTCGAGCGCGCGCGCAGTTCTACAAGGTCCTGTTCTTCGTCTACCTCGGCACCGCCGTCGCGTGGTGCGCGCTGTGCTACGTGTACCGGCGCGACCTCTTGCCGCTTCAGCGCTACATCACGGCCGTCGTCGGCCTCCTCGTCGTCGAACACCTGTTCACCTGGCTGTACTGGCGTTACCTGAACCAGACTGGCCACCCGGGCGTCGCCGGCGCCTACCTGTTCGTCGGGTCGACGCTCAACGCGGCGAGGAACAGCGTCAGCCTGTACCTGTTGACGATCGCGAGCATGGGCCTGAGCGTCGTGCGCCCGAGCCTCGGCAGCGCCATGGCCAAGGTTCGCCTCCTCGCCATCTTCCACTTTACCTTTGGCCTCTTGTGCGTCCCTCCTTCCTCCTCCTCCTCTTCCTCTCGCCGAGACACACGTTCTGACCGAGTCTATCGCCCGACAGGTACTCGGTCGGCTCGGCCACGATCCCGTTGTCGTCGACCGTCTTCTTCGTCTTCTTCTTCGTCCTCCCGCTCTCGGTCACCCTCACCGTCTTCCTCATGTGGGTCCTGTACTCGTTGAGCTCGACCATCTCGGACCTCAACGCTCGCCGGCAAAAGTACAAGCGCACGAGTGCGTCCCCCCCTCTCTCTCTCTGTCTCGCCCGAACGCCCGAAAGCCCGAACGCCCTCACTGACGGGGTCCCTCGTCACGCAGTGTTCGTCCGGCTCTACTACATCCTCGTCGTCACCTCGACCCTCATCCTCCTCTTCTTCGTCGCGTCGTCCATCGCCTTCTCGTCGCGCCTGTCGCCGTCCTTCCCGGCGCGCACGTGGCAGACTCGCTGGCTCCTCCTCGACGGGTGGCTTTCGATCCTGTTCGCCGCCGTCTTTTTCGCCGTCGCCTTCCTGTGGCGCCCGGTGGGCAGCAACCGGCGCCTGTCGCTCAGCGACGAGGTGCCGCTCGACGAGGCGGACGCCGAGATGTACGACCTCGAGGACGAGCTCCTCGCCGACGAGGACCGCGACGACGACGACGACGACAGCGGCGGCGACGGCAAGAACTCGCACGCGATGCGGCGCGTCAAGCGCGACTCGGTCGGCGAGGAGCGTCGCGACGGCGCCGTCTTCCACGTCGGGTCGGACGATGACGACGACGACGACGACGACGACACGCGCTCGGCCGCCGACAGCACGCGCCACAGCAACGCGTGGCAGCGTCGCTCGCAGTCGGGCGAGCACGCTCGGCGCAGCAGCGACAGCGCGAGGCTGCTGCACGGCCGCGCGAGCGAGGACGACGACGAGGAGGAGGACCGCGACATTACGAGCCAGCACGCGCTGCGAGGGGCGGGTGAGGCGCCGCCTGCGTACCCGGGCAAGAAGGACGAAGGCACGTACAAGGACGACTGAGGGCTGTGTGGTTCATCGGCGGCGGCGTGTGTCGGGCAGTGCAAGGGTGCCTTTCCCCTCCTCGTCGACGGCGGCGGTCCGTGCACGAGTGGCTCTCGATTCTCGCCTCTCCTTTCGCTCGCCTCCTCCTGTGGCTCAGCTTCAGCTTCTGCTCTGCTTTCCCTCGCCCTGCCCGCAAAAGGCGAAACAGGCGCACGCGCCGTTGCCGGACTCTCCGAGGAGGACGAGGAGCCCGCTTCCCCAACGTTCGCTTCCCTCTCTCTCGCATCGCCCACTCGCCAGCCTCGCACGTCGCACTCGGTGAGCTCCCTCCTCGAGCACTCTGTGTCGACCGCCGCTGACAAGCTCGCCCGCTCGCAGCCATGTCGGACCGCCTCAACGACGACGTCCTCCTCCTCATCCTCGAAGACCTGTCGCCGCCGCCGTTCCCCAAATTCTGGGCCTACTCGCAATACCAGGACACGCTCCGCAGGGTCTGCCTCGTCTCGCTCCGGTTCCTCGCGCTCGCCCAGCCGCTTTTAGGCCGGCATCTCGAGGTCCGCGACTGGAGGAGCTTCGAGCGGGTGCGCGACGGCGCCATGAGCGAGGCGGCGAGGAGCTCTACACGCGTGTACTACATCGACCTGTCCGGCATGGACTGCTTCGTCGCCGACCCGGCCGTCGCCTTCGCCGAGCGGCTGCCCAACCTCCAAAACCTGCGCGTCGAGACCGAGACGCTGTCGACCCTGCTTGGGCTGAATCGTCATGTCGGTGCGTCCGCCTCTTGCTGCATCTAGTGCAGCATCAACTGACTCTCCCTCGTCGTGAACCGCAGGACTGCGCCGTCTCGAGCTGCACCGGGTCGACCTGCTCGACCACACGCCGCCCATCCTCCCTCACGTTGAGCGCCTCAAGCTGTCACAGCTGGTTGCCACGATCGAGCACCTGCAGCAGATGCTGCGGCCCTTCTACCTTCCCTCTCTCCGATTCCTCGCCGTACACGACGTGCGAGAGCCGATCTTGCGCCCCGACGGCCGTTTGGGCCACCGCGGGCCGCTGCCCCTGAAGGACATCGTCAAGCAGCCCATGCTCGACCAGCTCGACGTTATCCACACGGTGCCCGCCCAGGCCGACGTCCTCGGCCCAATCGCCCGCGGGCTCAACCCGCCCGTCCTCTTCTACCTGCACGCGGACGTCGCCGGCTCATCGACGCGGGCGCTCCCCTTATCCAGGCACATCGCCGCGGATTCAGGCCTCGTCATGGTCGAGAGAATCATGAGCCGGATCGCGACCGCCCTCGAGCAGGCGCCGACGCCAGCCGCCGACGAGCCTTTGACGCTCGTCATCCTCGCGCGCGGCATCCTGCGCACCGCCGACAGGTGGCCCGACGTCGCGCAGGCGGTGCGCGCGCTCGAGACGACGTGCGATGCGCACCGAGCCCGCATCGAGTGGGTCGAGGAGCGCGGGCTCAGCGACGAGACGGACTTTGGCGTCGACGAGTTTTGGCGGTTCGCGCGCGAGGTCAGGGCGGCGCAGCGCGAGGCGGCGACGTAGCTCCGAGCCGAGGCGAGCGAGGTCGGACGAGATGCAGCGCAGGACGTGTCCGCTTTCTCCTTTGCGAGCGAGAGCGGCCCGAGAGCTTGACCTTCTCAAGTCGAACGAGTGGCTCGAGAGCTCGTCTTGCTCGGTCTCTCTCTCACGCTCTCTCGCTGCGCCCGACACTATCGACAGCTCAAGCTCTAGCTAGTACTGCACGCCGTAACCAGATCTAGGGCCATGAGTCGGAACCGGCGCCGGCGCCTCTCCCTCCTCCTCGCCCTTGCTCCCGACGGTCCTCCTGTACACCTCCCACAGCGCTTCGACGTCCTTGCCGCCGAGGAGCTTGCGCAGGTGCTCGCCGTCGTTCCAGGTCGAGTGTCGCAGGGCGGCGTTGAGCTGCGGGACGAGGAGCGGGTTCGACAGGTGGCGCGAGAGGAAAGCGAAAAAGAAGCCCTGCTCGAGAGAAAGAGTCAGTCCGCGTCGGGACAGGGATAGGAGGGCTGAGAGGGGAGGTGGATGCACCGTGCGCTCGTAGCCGGCGTCCCACTTGTCGTCCTCGCCCGGCTCGTCGCGCCAATGCGGCGGCGCGAGGCCGGCCTCGCCCCTGAGCCAGTCGGCGACGCCCTCGATGACGCCACCCGGCACGGTCCCTCGCCCGTCGTACTGGAACGCGTGCACGAGCTCGTGCGTGAGGACGCCCTCGATCTCGTGCCGCACGCGGTCGTCGCCGCCGTCGCCGTCGCCGTGGGCGCGATCGGCGACGCCCTCGAGGTACGACAGCGAGAGGTGGACCTCCTTGTGGTCATTGTCGAGGTCCGAGCCGCAGGTGTAGGCGACGCCGTCGAACGCGTGCAGGTGCAGGGTGATGGAGCGGACGGGAGGGGGCGGCGAGGGCGAGTCGGGCGGGTACAGGAGGCGGAGGACGTTCGAGGCGGCGAGCGAGAGGACCGCTTGGGGCGAGGACGTGTGCTGGAAGAATATGCCGCTGCCTGTGTGCTCGAGACGCGTCATTTGGGTCGTGGAGGGCGAGAGAGGCAAGGAGGCGCACCTTTGTGCGCGAGGTCGAGGCAACGCAGGTGAAGCGGTGGGATCGGGTGGGGGTTGGCGCTGTCGAGCTCGTGGTCGATGGTGGGCGTAGGGGCCATGCTCGAAGGTGCTGTGCGGGTGTGTACGCGGTCGCAGGCGGGTTGTGTATCGAGGAAAGTGGGGTTCAAGATGAGGCGAGCTGATGAGGACGACGAGGGTGGGCGCGCTTGTGCGGGCCAGGGACGGGCTGTGCGGATGCAGTGATGCTCTCTGAGGACTAGAGGAGGAACTAGACCCAGCCAGAGGGTCCGTAGCGGCGAGGGAGGGCGAGGGCGAGCCAGGTTCCTCCTCGTCGTCGTCTCTCTCGCTCTTTGGACCCACCCGGCGCACCGCTGCCGCCTCGAGAGCAGCTTGGCTGGCTCGGCATTACATTCGCCAACCCACGCCGCCGCGACAAGCCCGCCGCAACTCGCCATGGCGGCCCTCCTCGACGACGACGTCCTCCTCCTCATCCTCGAACATGTCGACCGCGAGGGCAATCATGAGCGTCACGCCGACCTCTGCGCCGTATCCCTCGCCTCGCGCCGCCTGCGCGCGCTCGCCCAACCCCTCATGTGGCGCCGGGTTCAAGTCAGGCTCGTCGCCAACTTCGACAAGCTCCTCCAGTGCGCCGCCCGCACCGGCTACGGCCAGCACACCCGCAGCTACAGCGTTGTGTCGAGCGGCGCCGAGGTTGTGTCGCACGCCGACGCCCTGGACGTCGCCGCCCTCTTCCCCCGCATCACCGACATGTCCATCTTCTTCGGCCACGCCGCGCCGGTCCTCCCTTTGCTCGAGCAGCACACGAGTGCGTCCGTCCTCTCTCTCTCGTCCTCTCAGTCTTCCCGTCGGCCTCGCCCGTGCTGACTTGCCCTTCGTCTCGTCCAGGTCTGCGCTCCCTCACGCTGTTCGGCCTCGAGGACCTCGCCGCGTCGTTCCCTCCCGCGCTGCCGAGCCTCGCCGAGCTCTTCGTCACAGGTTGTTCGATACCGGCAGCCGTTCTACGAGACTGGCTCCAGCCGGGCCACCTTCCTCGACTGCGCCGCGTTCGCCTCAACTGGCTGCGAGAGTCGCCCGGGTCATTCGAAACCCACCCGCTCGACCACCTCTTCACCCCTTCCATCCTCCCCCAGCTCGACTAAGTCAGCTCGGACCTGCGCCCGTCCGACTCGCACCCCGACTGGGCCGACGGCACGTGCCCGCCCGTCCTCCTCGACCTCGAGCTCTCCCACAAGCTCCCGCGACACTCGTTCCTCGCGATCTATTCCGACAACGACGTCAAGAAGGCCACTCTAATCGTCGGCCCGCTTCTCGACAAGATCGCCCTCAAGGTCCGCCACGCCCCTCCCTCACCGCCCGACGCCCCGACCGTCATCTTTGCGATCAACGGCGTCCTCGACCTCGCGCGCGAGCACCGCAGCGTCGACCAGGGCCTCGACGCCTTGCTCTCGGCGTGCAGCGCCAAGCGCGTGCGCGTCGAGTGGGTCTCGGCCCCGCAGGACGACTGCGAGCGCGCGTTTGCGCGGTACGCGCGCGCGCTCAAGGCGGCGGCCGGCGAGGGCGGGGCGGCAGGGCGACGAAAGGACTGAGGAGAGGAGCGACAACGAGGAGGACGGCGGTGAGCGAGGGAGCGCTCGAGCGTGTGGGACGAGCAGGGGCGCGAGGCGAGGAGCGTGCGACGAGGAGGAGCGGCGGTGGTGCGAGGTTCGGGCCGAGACGAGCGGTGGCGCTCGCGTAGCGGCGGGTCGGCGCGATGCAGTACGACGCTCGTCGCTCGTGCTCGTCGTCGAGGAGCCGAACGAGGCTGCGAGACCGAGAGCTCGTCGAGGTCGTCTCGCTCGCTCGCAAGCGGCGACTCGCGTGGGAGGCCGTCTGGTGGCAAGGCGCGAGGGCTCGAGGGTCCAGCTTGTGGTAGCGCTGTGCAAAGGAGCTCGTTCGTCCCTCGCTTGAGCCACCGAGAGCCCAGAGCTGGTTCGCGAGCAGGAGAGCGAAGGCTCGTAGCGAGTACAGCACGGACGAGGCTGGGGCTCGGGCAGAGTCTACTTCAGGCTGTAGCGACAGCGTTGCACGAGTCGGACGAGCGCCTCGCGCGCGTAGACGAGGTTCGACGAGGGTGACGACGCGCGGTTCCGCTCGAGGAGGTCGACTCTGCCCATCGCGCTCGACTCGCTCAGACGAAGCACAGCTAGCTCGTAGCGCACTCGGCACCTCTCCAGCCCAGCATCAAGCTCGCCCATCTCGTCCCTTGAGCCGCCGCCGCCTCGGTCGACGTCCTCATCGCCCTCCCCGACCTCATCCTCATCTCGCACCGCCCATACCACGCCTGAACAGCAACCATGAGCGGCCCTGAAACCGGTGGACGCTACTCGTGCGTCCTTGCTCCTCTCCCCTGTCCTCGAGCGCAGCACTGACACGTTGCTCCTCCCCCTCGTCGTCGTCGCCCCTCCCCCGCTCGCCCCCGACACAGCTTCTCGCTCACCACCTTCTCGCCGTCGGGCAAGCTCGTCCAGATCGAGCATGCCCTCGCTGCAGTCGGCCAGGGCACTACCAGCCTCGGCATCAAGGGTGAGCTCGTCGTCCTCTCCCACTCCCTCTCGAGGAGATGGCGCGGCCTGCGAGCGAGTTGGACTCGGATGGCGACGAGCGACAGGAGGGCCGCCGATGGCTCCCGATGCATGCGCAGCTGCGCGTACCTCGAGCGCCTTGTTCTCCGTCCTGGTGTCGTTCATCTCGCTGACCCATCGTCCTTCCCCCCTCACAGCGACCAACGGCATCGTCCTCGCGACCTCGAAGAAGGCGCCGTCACCTCTAGTCGACGACTCGATGCTCGAGAAGGTGCGTCCCCTCTCGCCGTCCCCTCTCGCCCACATTCCAGCCCGTCTCATTGACCCTCCCCCTCGTCCTCTCGCAACCCGCAGGTCGCCCTCATCTGCCCCAACATCGGCATGGTCTACTCGGGCATGGGTCCCGACTTCCGCGTCCTCGTCGCAAAGGCCCGCAAGTCAGCCCAGGCCTACTGGAAGATCTACGGCGAGTACCCGAGCACGCGCGTCATGGTGGGCGAGATTGCGACCGTCATGCAGGACGCGACTCAGTCTGGGTCAGTCGGCGCGCCTCCTCTCCTTTCGCGTCCTCTGCGGCTCGACCTCGTTGTCGAGGGAGGACGCTACGGGCACCAGCCGCGGCGACTGACCTCGTCCTCGTACCCTCGCCTGCAGCGGTGTCCGGCCATTCGGCGTCTCGCTTCTCGTCGCCGGGTTCGACAACGCACGAGGCCACACGCTGTACCAGGTCGACCCATCGGGCTCGTTCTGGGCGTGGAAGGCGAGCGCCATTGGCAAGAACCAGACCAACGCCAAGACGTTCCTCGAGAAGCGGTGCGTCCCGGCTCGTCCCCTCCTCGTCTCTGCGGGTGCGAGCCGCTCTACCGCGAGCGTGCTCGTGCTCGTTACGAGTTGGTTCCTGGGTCTGACGCTCTCGCCTCCCACGTGCGCGCGCAGGTACAACGACGACCTCTCGCTCGAGGACGCGATCCACACGGCGCTCCTCACGCTCAAGGAAGGGTTCGAGGGCGTCATGGACGAGAAGACGATCGAGATTGGCGTCATCACGACGAGCCCGACCGAGGAGGGCGTCGTCTCGGTCGGCCACGGTACCGGGCTCAAGGGCCAGCCTGGGTTCAGGAAGCTGTCCGAGGCAGAGGTCGCAGAGTGCGTCGAGCGCCTTTCTCTCCTCTCGTCTCTCCCTTTCTCGTACTACTAGACGAGCGCGTACTGACTCGCCCCGTTCCTCCCGCAGCTACCTGCAGCTGTAGACAAGCAGCAGATTGTGCAACGAGAACGAGCGGTTTCGGCTGTACCTCCTGCCTCGTCCCGCTGTCTCTTTCTCTCTCTCCGTCTCGCCGCTCTCTTCTGCGTCTCTCGAGAGAGCAGAGCTCGAGAGTGCTCGACACGACTCGCTCGCCAAGAGATGCTCGCGCTCGCTCTCGGACCCTCCTCTCGACCTCGTCCACCGTCCTCTCGCGCTCAGTCGCTTCGACAGCCTCGGGCCTCGCGAGGCGTCATCGTCGAGTCGTGCGTCCTAGGGCGCGTCGGCTGTCGTGCTGCCGAGACGAAGCTCTCGCTCGGACTCTCGCGCTCGAAAGGAAGCTCGACCGCACGAACAAGCTCGCGTTCCAGGCTCGCTCCTCGAGCTCTTGACGTTCACCGCCCTCCTCTCTTGAGCTCTGCGCCGTCCCACTCACTCGTGAGGTCGCTTTTGCACTGCGAGCAGAGGCGAGCAAAGTCGCGAGAGAGGGTCCCGGCGAGAGGCTCGAGCGCCAACTTTCGCCTCGTCGACGACACGCTCTCAAGCTCTCGGCGAATCGCGCTCGACGACGTCGCACCAGCCTCGTTGCACCTCGCTCCTGCCCTCGCCCCCACCGCCGACCCGTGCTCCCGCAGCTACGCGTCCGCCGCCCTCCTCGCCGCCTCGTCGCGCAGCCAGGTCGAGAACTCGGGCGCGAACGCGCACAGGACCGACAGCGTCGCGTACGACCGGATGTCGAACCCGTGACTCGCCGCGTCGGCGACGACGAGCGCGCGCTCGCGGCGGGCGGCGTCGTCCGCGCTCGGCGAGAGGTGCCACAGGCGATCGGGCACGAGCGCGAGCCGCAACTTGGGGAGCGACGCCAAAATACGGCGCAGGTCCTGCAGATCCTTGACGCTCGGGTACTCGTCTGCGACCTGGAAGCGTGACATCTCGACGCGGACGTGGCGGGCCTCGGTCGCGGGCGGGTCGAAGCTTCCGCCGAAACGAACGCGCAGCAGGACGAGGTCGTCTCGAGGCGGGTGCTCGACAATCTTGTTGACCTCGCCGACGTCCTCGATGCGGCTGGCCTCGAGCTGAATGTACTCGAGACGGCCGAGGAAGGCGTCGCAGAAGAGGGGAGGCGTGACGGCTGTCGCTCCTGCGACCCCGCACGTGTCGATCGACAGGTGGCGCAAGGCAGGAAGACGAGTTTCCGGTGCGAGCGTTGAAGGTGGCCAGAATGTCGAATTGCCGAGGCTGAGCGACTCGAGGCGCCGGAGAGGCGTGGGAAACGCGGACGTTTCGAGGTCGGTGTCGACGACGTGAAGGCGGCGTAGGTCTGCGGGATCCGGCGTTGGTTCGATGACGGGCGAAGTGGAGGTGAGGGGGAGTAGGACGCACTGTGGAAGGCGGAGAGGGTCTGCAGATCGACTCGCGGGCAATAGTTGAGGACCAGCTCCTCGACGTTGACGAGTGTACGCGCCGACTTGATGAGCAGCGCCGCACAGCTCGCCATCTCCATCGCATGCCTCGCGCTGGCCATGTTGGTGAACCAGAGCGTGCGACAGGCTTGTGCGACGCCTGGCCGGCCGATGAACGCCGCGTCGACGTCGACGACTTGGCCCTCGGCGCCTGGCTCGATGCAGATGTCGAGGTCGCGCCACTGCAGGGGCGTGCCGAGCTCGCTCCACCGCTTCGAGACGGCGTGAGCCGCGAGAACGGGCGGCTCCTGGATGGGCGGATCGTTGCCGATGAAGGTAAGGCGGGGAGGCGCGTGTGGGCGGAGGATCTCCTCGAGGAGCTCGACGGGGAGGCTGTCGATGTGGCAGGGCGGCTGAGGGTCGTGTGTGCTGCTCATGGTGCGCTGTCGAGTCAGGACGGCGAGCTGGGGCGAGAGCGAGAGCGAGGGAGGAGGAGAAAAGGCGGATGAGCGGGCCAGCCGGCCCGGCGACGAGGCGCGAGCGGCATTCACTCGGGCTCGAGAGCTTGGACGCGACGAGCACAGCACATCCAGAGCGCGAGCTGACAGAGAGGAGCTGCGCGAGCCTCGAGACGAGAGGCGACAGCGAGGCCAAAGACGAGGCTCGAGCGTCGACTTTCCTCTCGTCCGAGCCGCTCGCGAGCTCTCGCAGCCCACGCTCAACATCGACGACGCACAAGCTGCATTCCACCTCGTTCGTGACCCTCTCGCCAAGCCCCTCGTCCACCTCTACGCCCGCCCCTCGTCCCTCGCCGCCTCCTCGCGCAGGAACGCCAGAAACTCGGGCACGGCGGCAGCGTCCTCGGCCCGCCGCGCCGCGTACGTCCTCAGCACGACGCCGCGCCGTGCGCAGACGTCCTCGACGGCGCGCCTCGCCGCCTCGTTGGCGGCCGTCGTGTTGTGCGGCGACGGGTACCATAGGTAGGCGGGGACGAGGACGAGGCGCAGGTGCGGGTGCGAGGGCGGCGCGAGGACAATGCGCATCTCGACGAGCACTCGCTCGGTCCAGGTCGCCACGTCGGACTGGTCGAAGAGCGGATCGAGCGGGTTGAGGATGAGGAAGTGGGCGTGAAGGAAGGACGGCCTCGCGCTTGCGAAGGCGCTCATGTTGTGCGCGGGGTCGACATTCAGGTCGAGGCGCCACAGGATGGGCGTACGGCGGACAAGGTGCTCGACAGGTAAGAGCAGGTCGTAATGGGCGGCATCTGCGCCGTAGCTGCCGACCTCGACGTGATCGAGCTGGGCGAGAAAGTCGTTCGGGAAGATGTCCTCGTTCTGGACGACGGGCTTGATGTGACTGTGCGCGAAGACAATGCGACGTAAAGCAGGAAATGTGCTCTTGTTGAAGACGGGCTGGCGAGGCACCAGGGTGCCCTTGCCGAGGTGCAACGACTCGAGTCGAGGAAAGACGATGCCGGTCTCGAGCACGATTTCGGAGAAGCTGATCGACAGGTGGCGCAGATCTGCGTGACGAGAAATCAGTGCCGGCCTTGCTTGCGACGAGGAAGAGAGAGGGGGAGACGCACCTTGAAAGTGTGCCGCCTCGTCGAGGTCGAACCGAGGGATGGCTTGAAGGATCAGGCGCCGGACGGCGGGCATCCACGTCGCCCACCGTTCCAGACAGTCGGTGCGCTGGACGGACTGGAAGAACAGCCTGAGCTCGTGGCAGTCCTGCGCGAGGTGCGGCGCGTTGGGGAACAGGGCGGCGGCGCGGGCGAGGCTCGTTGTCGTGACACCGGCGTCGACGGCGCACCTTCGCCACAGGTGGTCGCGGATGACCGCGTGGAACCGCCTCGAGACGAGGCTGATGACGAGGGGGGCGTTGACGAGGCGAGGCCGGTCGTTGTGGAGGAAGATGGTCGGCGGTGGGAGGTGCGACAGGATGCTGGCGAGGATCTCGGTCGGGAGGCGGTCGATGTGACACGGCTTGAGGATGTGCTCTGCGCTCTTGGGCTCGCCGCTACTGCCTAGCGGGCCGATAGAGACGAGCGACGACGAGGTCGGGGCCGGGTCGGCGGGAGGACGAGGCGACGGCGGCGACATGAGGTTCATGACCGGTGTCGACGGTCGGTAGAGCTGGTGCAGAGCTCTGCGCTGGCTCTGCAAGCCCACAAGGAGCGGCAGGCGGTGTTGTTGGAACAGAAGAGCTCGCGTCCACTCGGCCGGCGATGAAGCTTCGGCTCGTTCCTCCTCCCGCCACGGTCCCTCTGCTGGGCTGACAGCTAGCTTGACTGTCTTCAAGCACCACTGTGAGCCCCCTCGACCCGAACGAGGCCCGTCAAACGCCTGCTCTCCCACCTCGCCCCGCCGACTCGCATGTCGAGCTGGCTCAGGCGCCGGTCTCGCGCCGAGTCGCCCAGGCCAGACGCAGACGATGAGCGAGCACCTCTGCTGGACCGCTCGGCCGAGGCACCGCTACCAAGAGCGACCCCTTTGCCCATCAGTGCGTCTCGCCCCTCCCTCTCTCCCTCTCTCCCTCGAGGGAATCCTCTCGTCGCTCTCTCGCACAGCACTGACTCTCCCTTGTCGTGCACACAGAGCAAGTCGCCGTCCTGTGCTTGATGCGCTTCGGCGAACCCATCGCCTTTTCCCTCATCTTCCCGTTCGTCGCCCAAGCCGTCGTCGACACGGGCATCACCAACGACCCGCGCAAGATTGGCTACTACGCCGGCATTATCGTACGGCCGACTCTCTCCTGCGCCACAGAGGAGAGTACTGACGAAGCTCGAGGCCCCACAGGAATCGCTGTTCGCGTTCACCACGTTCTCGACCGTCCTCGCCTGGGGCCGTCTTAGCGACCGCATCGGTGCGTCCACTCTCGCCCTCTCCTCTCTCGCTCGACAACCCGTGCTCACACTCCTCGCCTGCAGGTCGCAAGCCCGTCCTCATCATCGGCCTCACGGGCGTCACGCTCTCGATCGTCTCGTTCGGCTTGAGCAAGTCGTTCGCGGGCCTCGTCGTCTCGCGCTGCATGGGCGGCGCGCTCAACGGCAACGTCGCGTGCGTCCTCGCCTCTCTCCCTCGTTATCTAGCCGCCATTACTGAAGTCGTCTGCCCGCTTGCAGCGTCATCAAGTCGGTTCTCGGCGAGATCACGGACGAGTCGAACCAGGGCCGCGCCTTCTCGTTCCTCCCGCTCGCCTGGTCCCTCGGCAGCGTCATCGGCCCGCTCCTCGGCGGCTACCTGTCGCACCCGGCCGACAACTTCCCTGCGCTCTTCGGCGGGTCGGCCTTCCTGCGCGCCAACCCGTACGCGCTGCCGTGCTTCATCGGCGCCCTCTTCCCCTTCCTCGGCGCCGTCGTCGGCTTCTTCTTCCTCGACGAGACCCTCTCGCCCTCGTCGACCGCTCCTGCACCGGCCAAAGCCGCCACAGCCACCGTCGTCCCCGTCTCGGCCGCCGAGCCCGACCTCGACCGCGCCCGCCGCAAAAGCACCTCGCGGCACGGCCGGTTCGTCGCCGCGACGTCGACGACGCTCCCTGCGCCGCACGAGCAGCAGCGCCGCCTCGAGGAGGCAGATGACGGGACCGACAGCGGGTACTCGACGCCGGCGCGCGAGGCGAGCGCGGCGAGGGCGGCGGCAGGAGCGGGTGCGGGCGAGGGCGCCGAGGAGCTGGGCGCGGCGAGGAGGTCGAGGAGTGCGCCCGGGTTCAAGGAGCTGTTCACGAGGAGGGTGTGCGCGGCGCTCGTCACCTATGTGCGTCCCTCTCTCACTCTCTCTCCCTTGGCGGCCTGAGCGCGTCCGAGGCACTGACTTTCTATGCCGCCCCGCAGTCGATGCTCGCCCTCGAGACGGTCGCACTCGATGTGCGTCTCTCTCTTCCTCGTGCTCGACAAGCGCACGCTCACGCACTACCTCGCGCAGGCCCTCCTCATCCTCTTCTGCTACTCGCCCGTCTCGATCGGTGGCCTCGGTGCGCCCTCTTCTCCCTCTCTCTCTTCCTCTCGCACAGCCCTGACTCTCCTCTCCCTGTACAACGCGCACAGGCTTCCACGAAGCCGACATCGGCACCGCCCTCGCGCTCTCGGGCCTCTCGGCGGTCGGGTTCCAGGTCATCGCGTTCCCGCCCTTGCAGCGTCGAGCGGGCACGGTCCCGCTGTACCGCGCCCTCATGAGCCTGTGGCCCGTCGTCTTTACCCTGTTCCCTGTCATGGGCTGGTGCGCGAGGCAGAGGGGGAGGAGCGCCGTGTGGGCCGTCATGGTCGTCTTCCTCGGGCTCAAGAGCTTGTGCGTCCCTCTTTCTCTCTCTCCTCTCTGGCTCCAAGGGCACTCATGTATCTCTCCCACAGCGCCAACATGGCATATGCGACCAACATGATCACGATCACGGATTCGGCGCCGTCGAAACGGCTTCTCGGCACGCTCAACGGCGTCGCCCAGATGTGCAGGTGCGTCCCCTCCCTCTCGATGCCCTCCTCTCTCGGTCCCCTCACTCACTCGTCTCTGCCGTCCGCAGCTCACTCATGCGCTCGATCGGGCCAGCGAGCGCATCTGCCCTGTTCGCCCTCGGCGTCTCGCACGACCTCCTCGGCGGCCAGTTTGTCTTCCTCGTCATGGTCTTGCTCAGCGTCGGTGGCGCGCTCAGCACGCTCGCGCTGCACGAGGGTGGGCGAGCGAGTGCGGGCGAGGACGAGGGCGAGGCGGACGGCTCTCGAGGGTAGACGGACACTGGAACGAGAAGCGGCTCGAGCGCACGAGTGCGAGGAACGGTTGCGGTGCAGGAACGAGAGAGAGGGCAACTACAGCGAGAGGGAGAGGGACACGCTGCGAGGGGAATAGAGAGTACGGGAAGGACAGAGGGAGAGAGAGACGACGAGGCACGAAAGGGGAAAGCAACTGAGGGGAACGACGACGACGAGGGAGAGGGAAAGAGAGTGTCTATGGTACATTTTCCGCGCCCGTCAGAGCCCGATGCTCTCCATCTCGCGGCTCCACTGCCTGCCGGCCTGGCTCCACGTCCTCCTCCTCGCCCCGGCGGCGTCGCGCCTCCTCGCGCGCCTGACCCTCTCCTGCACCTCCTCGTCCTCGAGCCCGGGCGCGTGCTCCCTCTCGCGGTCGACGCCGCTCGCGCTCAGGCGCACGTCGACGAGCTCGAGCGCGAGGCGCGGCAACGGCCCGCCGCGCAGGCGCTCGTGGTGCGCGTCGAGGACGGCGAGCGCGCCCGGGTCGAGCGCCGAGCGCCACAGGAGGCGCGGGTGCTTCGAGCGGCCGCGAGGGTACGGCCCGTCGAGCGGGTCAAAGCCGTCGAGGTCCGAGGCGTAGCCGGCGGCGGCCGCGGCAGAGTCGTCGTAGGTCGCGCCCGACACCGGCGCGTAGTGCACCGTCGCGTGCGACGCCGACGCCTTGGCCATGCTCGACGAGGAGGGGACGGGTTGCTGGGCGGTGTGGTACGAGGGAGGGAGGAGGTCCGAGGGCGAGGCGGGCGAGCGCGGCGTCACAGGTGTCGGGACGGCCGACTCGATGTAGGCCTCGGCGCGAGGAGCGTGGTCCGAGTCGACGTGCGTCGACGACGACTTGGCGTCCGAGTCGGTGCGGCGCAGGTACTTGTGCTGCTTGGCGAGGCGCGGGTCCGGGAACGGGCGGCGCTCGTCCGACTCGTCGAGCTTCTTGGTCGCGCCGCCGCCGTCGTCGACGTCCGAGCTGTCGTACTCGCCCTCGTCGTCGTCGTCGTCGTCGAGCTCGTCCGAGGCGTCGTCGTCGTCGTCGGTGTAGACGAACGAGGGCGAGTCGGAGAACGAGTCGGACAGGTTGTCGTCCTCGTCGTCGTCCTCGACGGCGGCGGCATGCTTGCGATCGGCCGGGTGGACGCGCGCCTCGTCTTGGTCCTCGTCGACGTACGGGCCGTCGTGGTGGTAGTAGCCGTCGTGGAAGGACGAGGCGGCCGACGAGTAGGCCGACGCGCCGTGGTCGCCGCCGCGCAGCTTCTCGAGCTCGACACGAGGCAGCTCGCGGTGCGCCGTCTTGGGGGCGTGCGGAGCGGGCTGGAGGGGGACTGCGGCCTGGTGGAAGGGCCCGCCCATCTCGGTGTCGGCGGCAGGGTCGAGCGAGGTGTCGGCGATGGCGTGGGGAGGAGGAGGAGGAGCGGTCGCCTTGGTCACGGTGGGCGGACGCTTGGTCGACGAGGTCGCAGCCTTGGTGCTCTTGCCCTGTGTGCCGTCGCGGTGGTGGTCAGGGTGGGGACGAGAGGGAGGGAGAGAGGGGCCCGCTCCAGTCACCGGATCCCCCGCACGTTCGGTGTCGAGCGCGGGGCCGCAAGTGTGGAGGAGCAGAGGGGGAGGGGGAGGAGCTCGCGCGAGCGAGAGAGAGCGGGTGCGCACCTTGAGCTTGGCGTGCTTGCGCTGGCCATTGCGCTTCTTTGCCATGCCCTCGCCCGCACCCGGCGTGGTCGAGGAAGAGAGAGCGCCGTCGGTCGACGGACGGTCACCCGACCTCGACCTCGGCGACGACGCGCCCACCGGCGTCCGCGGAGTTTGCGACGGCGAGTGCGGCCGTGCTTTGAACAGCCCGGGCAGGAGCGACTCGAACGAGAGGCTTGAGTAGAACGGCGAGCTGAGGGCGGCGTCCATCGAGGAGGAGGTGGTCGCGAGGCTCGTGCGGGAAGGACGAGGTGGACGGCTCGCTGTTTGAGGGAGGGGTGCGCTCGAGAGCAAGCAGGGGACAATGTCGGTGCTCTCGACACACGGGCGCAGTTGCGCCACCTCGAACCGAGATGGTCCTCGCGCTCGTCGCACGCAAGTGAGAGCGAGGATGGCGCGATTTTGGCTTCTCTCGCGCTCCCGTCCTCGGCTTTGCGCTCGCTTGCACGCTTCGCTCGCCATAGATAACGCTCGTATGGGACCCATCCCGCGAGGAGAGTCGCGATTGTCGAACGTGCGAGAGTCGAGCGGACCCGGAGCGTCAAAATGAGCGCGACGGCGGTCGTCGCGCCAGCTCGTCGCACGGTCCTCTCTCTTATTCCCTCGTCGAGCACACTATCGACTGGTCGCTGTCGAGCTCCGTGGGCGCAACACGCCAACGCGCCGGCCACCGAGCCGCCGTCGAGCGAACAAAAGTCGAAACCGCGCGCGACGCACGGGCCTCGCCGCGCCGCTTCCCCACTCGACCTCTCACTCGTACACCGGGGCGGCTGCAGCGCTCGCTCGTATCCCTACAACGTGGCGCGAAGCTGATCTCGCCTACCGACCGCGGACCGGCGAGCTGGCCGAGTGACCTCCTGAGCGAGCGCCGGGGCCTTCGCAAAACGAGCCCCTGTCCGCTCTCGCTCGGCGCCCACCCTCTCTTGTCCTCCTTCTCCTACCTCGTCTCGCTCGCACTCTCTCCCCAGCTCCGCAAACCGCACCCGAGCACTCGCACGACCGCCAGCAACGCCGCTCAAGCCCGCCCACGCGCTCGTCCGCCTCCCCCAAGTCACCCTCGTCCGTCACCTCGTTCGCCCCGATGCCGGTCAAGACGCCAGCGCAGAACAAGGCCAAGAGTGCGTCGAGCTTCCCCTCAGTCTCACGAGCGCGCACGTCGCCTGACCGCCTGCCTTTCCCTCGACGCAGAGACCGCTGAGTGAGCTGCGACCGAACCTTCGTCTCTCCCGGCCTGCACTGACGTGCATCTCTCTCGTGTCGCAGACAGAGCGGATACGTCGAGTGGACCGTCTTCTACAAGGTGCGCACCCTCTCCCTCAGGCCGGCCCTCGGCGCGAGGAACCCGCCCCGCCTCCTCGACCGCGAGCTGACCGCCGTCATCCCTCTCCGTCTCTCTCATCCTCGACCTGCAGACCGAGAAGGAGCGCCTCAAGGCCGAGCACCCCGAGTTCGACGGCCGCAAGATCCAGGCGCTGTGCGGCGAGGCGTACAGGGTGCGTCCCGACTTTCGCGACTCGTTGTCCGAGTCCGAACTCGTCTTAGACGGACACTGATGCGCGTTCGAGCTGCTCGCACACAGAAGCAGAAGGAGGAGGCTGTCGCTCGTCAGGACGAGTGAGAGAGAGCTTGACAAAAGCGCGTTCGTGCGCGAGGAGAGGGGGCGAGGAGGATCCGCTTGCTTGTTCGTACCACTTTCTTTTCGTCGTACCTAGCGTGTTACAGAAGGGTTTGTGACCGTCTCGAGCCCGGCGAGAGTGAGAGTGAGAGCGGGTGCGAGCGCGCCAGCGAGCCAAAGTTGACTTCGCTTCTCGCGGCGCGCTCGCTTCTCTCCCTCCTTCGTCCCACTCTCGCACTCTCGCTCTCCTCGGAGCACCTCGCCAGCCAGCCTATCGCCCGTCTCGACCGCCTCAAGCCCCGCTCAGGTCACGAAAGCTCCGCCCTCGACCTCCTTTCCTCGTCGCCTGTGTCCTCCTCCGAGCAAGATGACGCGCAACTCGACGGCCAAGAAGGGTGCGTCGGCAGCTCGTTCTCTCCGACGTCGCTGTTGTCTCTCAGGAGCGCCGTACTGAGTGTGCGACGATACCTCTCGCAGACTCTTCCGCCTCAAGCTCGACGTCCGTCCCCCTCTCCCTCTGCCTCGTCCGGAGCACCAGCGACTGACTCCTCCCCTCCCGCAGCACGACCCGCAGCAAGTCGCGCATCCTTGACTGGCCCGACTTCTACGAGGTGCGTCCCCTCTCTCTCTCTCCTCCTCGCCCCTCGAGCCACTCGAGCCCCTCCTCGTCCTCCCTCGCTAACCTCTTCCGCCCGGCCCCTCGCCGCTCCCGCAGCACGAGGCGGCCCTCATGCGCGCCAAGTCGCCCAAGATCAAGAGCCGCATCGTCATGAAGCGCGTCAGCGCAAAGTGGAGGGTGCGTCGGCTCGTTTTCCTCTGCGACTGCGTCGGCTCCTTCTCGACGGGAGCCTGCCTGACGCTGTGGTACTTGGTCACCGCGCACAGAAGCAGAAGGCCGAGCTGCTCGAGGAGGCGCGGGAGGAGGCCGAGGCCGAGGCTGAGGGCGAGGGCGAGAAGCAGGCGCAGAAGGAGGAGAAGTAGCGAGGCGAGGGCGGGGCGCGAGCGGCGGCGACGACGAGGAGGACGCGCTTGGAGATTCGAGATCGTGTTGTGCAGTACTAGCATGCTTGGCCAGACCCATCGCGAGTGACGAGAGACGAGTCGAGCGCCACGGAGAGAAGAACGTGCACGAGCCTTCTCAAGTCGAGCGCTCTCCTCTCGACGGGCGCAGGCACGAGAGGGGGAGGAGGAAAGAGAGAGGTTCCAGTACAGGCGCAGGCTCGAGACTCCTGGTAAAAGATACATCCTCTTGAGCCCTGCTCGACCGACGAGTCGCTCGAGCAACCGCTCTCGCTCCTCCTCCTTCTCCTCCGAGTCGAGACGTGGCAAGCAAACGCTGCGAGGCGTTTACCTGTTCGACTTGGCGACACGCTCGAGCTCGCTGTGGGTCGAGGGAGACAGTCAGTGAGGGAACCGAGAGAGGGAGAGAAAGAGGGAAGGTGAGGACGCACTCCTTCTTCTTGATGGCGTACGAGTTCGACGAGCCCTTGGCGGCGTTGATGAGCTCGTCGGCAACTGTGCGAGCGGCGATAACGAGTTAGTCACGCGTACCTCGCTAGAGGGCCACAAGACAAGACGAGGGAGAATCGACGACGCACGGCACTCGGAGATGCTCTTGACGTTGCGGAACGACGACTCGCGGACACCGATGGTGATGAGCGAGACGGCCTGGTTGACGCGGCGGAGCGGCGAGACGTCGACGGCCTGGCGGCGGACGGTGCCCTGCGAGCCGATGCGGGTCGAGTCCTCGCGGGGGCCAGTGTTGACGATGGCGTCGACGAGGACCTGGATCGGGTTCTGGTCCGTGAGGAGGTTGACGATCTCGAACGCGTGGGCGACGATGCGGACGGCCTGCGAGCGGGAGAGAGGACGGGGTGCGGCGAGGTAAGCGACTGGGCTGAACAAGGGCTCAGGGCTCCAGAGGCGAACGGACCATCTGCTTCTTGCCGTTGTTGCGGCCGTTCATCATGAGGCTGGAGCATCACAATGGCGGGTGCGCGAACGCGGGCAGAGGAAGGCGAGAATCGGGGATGGGAGGGGGAAGAGAGGAGGGAGGGGGAGGAAGGGAGGCAAGCGAGGGTCAGTAAGACGGCTCTGAGGCGAAGGAGGTGCTCACCAAGAGACCCGAGCCCGCGCGTTCTGCCACCCTCTCCTGCCGCCTCGTCTCGACCATGCCGCCCTCGTGCACCGCGCTGCCCCTGCTCCTCCATGAACGCGCGAGCCAAGGCCGAGCTCGGATCGGCGACGACGACGCCGACGACGATGATGCGGGATGGCGGTTGGCCTCACCTGTTGACGAGGCGCTCGACGATGGGCATCTGGGCCTTGCGGAACTGCTTGGTCGCATAGCGGCCGGCAGTGTGCGGGAGGAGCACCGGGTTGCGGACCTGGATGTAGTCGGTGAGGGAGATGTCCTTGACCTCGACCTCGGACGGGTCCCACTTGCTGAAGAGCAGGACGCCGTTGGCGTTCGCCTCAAGGACCCTGTAGCGCAGGCGAGGGAGGGAGAGGGTCAGTGAGGCTGATCAGGTGTGAGGGAGGATCTGGTGCTGCTCGCGGCGTGCTCGTAGCCTCGTGCGCCGCTCCAGTACCGCCGCCAGCTGCTCCACCGTGCTCGAAGTCGGCCCTGGCGCGCTGCAGCGTCCGCCGCTCGGCCCCTGCCGCCTCGCTCGACCGCATTGCGAACTCGACGGGGTCGAGCTCGCCCGGTCGTCAACTCGCTCCCTCAACACCCAGGCCGGTCGCCGTGCGGCGGGAACTGCCGCAACAGGGTGTGCGAGTGCTGCACGGCGGTCGTGCGCAAGGCTATGCGCGGCGAGGCGAGCGGCGAGGGAGGTGTGCTGGTGCGACGACCGCGAGTCGAGGCGAGGCGCGAGAAGGACGGGGATGGCCGCGTTGCCAAGGGGAGGGGGATGGGACGCACGAGGGCTCGATGGGCGAGAAGTCAGTCGAGGCCATTGTCGGAGGAGGTGAAGCGGGAGACAAAGCGAGGACGAGGTCGGGAGCGCGGCGAGAGGTTTTCGGCGCGGCCGCCTCTCGCCTCTCCCACACGAACCACCTCTCGCTCTCCTCTGAGCAGCTCGAGACTAGCTTCGAGCGACTCGCAGAAACTGCTACTCCAGCTTGGCTCTTGCTGCGGCGCGCTTCCGAGCGTGCGCGCCCGGACCCTCCTCGCTCTCCTCCTCGAGCCGATCTCGCGCGTCCCTCGCCTCGGCCTCTGCTTCTGCTTCCTTGCTGGCTCGCCAGACTGTACCGTCGCTCGTGTGGAAAGGCGAGACAGGCGCACGCGCCCTCGCCGGACTTTCCGCGAAGCAGCCCGCACCGTCCGCCGGCTCTCGCCTCCTCCTCGCTCTCGTTCTCCTCCTCGCCCAGAGCTCGACTCGTCTCGGTAAGGTGAGCACGAGCGCACACTCTCTACTGTCGAGCCTGCACTGACCGTCTCGCATCCGCAGCTCCTTGTTCGACCACCATGTCGTCCCGTCTTCCCCAAGAGCTGTTCGACGCCATCCTCGACAAGCTCGCCGAGCCGCCGCACAAGTACAGCGACTATTACACGAGCAAAGATGCTCTCGCCAAGGCGTCTCGGTCGTCGCGCTGCCTGAACTCGGCCGCGCAGGCCAACCTGTGGCGCAACATCTGGCTCCTGGACCCGAGCGTCGCCGAGTTCTGGTCGATCAAGGCCGCCGCCGCCGTCAGCAAGCTCGGCAGCCGTACAACTACGCTCGTCTATTCGTCCGACGAAGAGTCGATCGACGGCGGGCCCCTGGACGTGGCGCACGTCTTCCCGAGCATCGTCGACCTGCACATCATCTGCCGCATTCTGTCCCCACGCTTCGCAGTCGGCTTGGAGTTTCTCTCCACCCACACCAGTGCGTCTCCTCTCGCCTTCGTCGACCACGGTGAGTCGACCTGACCTCGCCGCCGTCGCAGAGCTTCGCCACCTCAGCCTCGTCAGCCTCGTCCTCGACAACGTCCTGTCCGTCAACCTGCCCGGGCTCGAGACACTCGAGATGCTCAACTGTCTCCTCTCGGCAGGGGAGGCAGCCGTGTTGCTGCGCCCTCACGTCATGCCGTCACTGCGCGTCCTGAGCCTGATCGGCAATTTGGACCGCGGCGCAAACACCGCCCTCGACCTTAGAGCCGTCATCGCGCCGAGCCTCCTGCCGCAGCTCGACTATGCTACGGCCGACGTCTACGGCCTTGACCCCGAGAGCGAGTTGGGCAACGGCGTCGTCCCTCCCTTCCTCTTTGACGCCTCCTGGCGCCACGTCACGCCGCTTCCCAGGCACTCGAAGCCGCTCTACGGCGACCGGCCCAACCCGCACTACATCTGCCTCGTCCTGACGACCGTCGCCAACGGCCTCCGCCGGTCCACCGCGAGCGCGCCGTTCGTCGTCGTCCTCCCTCGCACGGTCCTCGAGGTCGCCGTCGAGGACGAGCGCGCGGCCGCCGCCGTCCGTTGCCTCGAGTTGAGCGCCCAAGCGCACGCGGCGCGCATCATGTGGGTCCCCGAGCCGCCGTGCTGGGACTCGCGGGCCAGGATGGAGGGCGAGTTTCGCGCGTACGGGCGCGCGCTGCGGCTCGCGAGGGAGGCGGCGGCGTGAGGGCTTTTCAGGGCGAGGTCTCGAGCGCGAGCGACTCTCTGCACGTATCCTGTGCAACAGAGCTTTCCTTCCGTCGTCTCGAGCAGGTTCGGCGCGTAGCGAGCTTCCGAAAAGTTGGCCTTCTCAAGTTGCCCTCGCTCCTCCTTCTCGCTCGCTCGGCTCGTCGGCGAGAGGCTCAAGTCCGGTTCTTGCTCTCCCTCTCTCTCTCTCGCTTCTCTGTGGATGTTCTCGCCGCTACGAGGGTCAAGCGGGAGAGCCACACTCCAGAAATCTCGCCCTCGCAAGCTCTCGAGGAAAGCGAGACGAGGCCAAAGTCGGTTGGACGACGTGCTGCACAGCTCGACAAGCCTCCTCCCTTGCTCCTGCACTCGCTCCGTCACGCCTCGGACCCGCTCGTCGCCTGCGCCGCCTTGAGCTCGCGCGCGTACCGCACAAACACGCGCGAGACGCCGCCGCACAGGAGGTCCATGCCCTGCTCGGCGCTCCAGATGATGCGCACGTCGCGCCCGCACGCCTGCTCGAGGCGGCGAACGGCGTCATGAAGATGCTGGTAGGCGGGCGGGGAAGACGAGAGGGCAAGGCCCTTGTGCGGGAGGATGACGACGCGAGGGCCGAGCGCGGCGGACGACGACACGGTCGACGCGATCTCGTCGGCGAGATGAATAGTGTAGGCAACGACATCGACTTGCGCGAGCATGGGGTGGACCGAGTGGCGAGGGATGGTCGGCGTGTGGAACGTCGGGTCGAAGAAGAGGACAGGAGGAGCGGTCCCGAGGGCGAGCGGCGACTGCGAGTCGAGGCTCCTCTCGTCGGTCTGCAGAACGTCCAACTGGGCGAGCATGGCGGGGCCGAGGACGCTGCTGAGCTTAAACCGGCGCAACATGACGCCCTCGCCGACCTTGACGACGCTCAGGATGCGCAAGGCGGGGAGGTAGACCGGCTGGAGCCACTTGGCGGCGGCGGGGATGTAGACGAAGCAGTAATGGACGTCGAGCTGCTCGAGGAGTGGCGCCTTGAAAACCATGTGCGACCCGAGTTCCGAGTGCACGAGCGAAAGGTGACGGAGCCCTGCTCGAGGAAACGTGTAAGTCAATGTCTCGCCTCGAGCGTCGGGAGCCGGCGACGCACTGGTGAAGCTCTCGATGTGGGCGGGATTGCGCGAGGTCCACGGGCCCGAGAGCAGAAGCTTCTTGACGCTCGGCAGGACGCGCGCCGTCTTGACCGCGTCGGGCAGCGAGCCGTCGTACTCGCGCTTGCCGACCGTGTACCATCTCGTGCCGTGGCCGAGCGACTCGACAACGCCCGACGACTGGAGGACGACGGCCTGCGACTGCTTGACGACCCAGATCTGGCGGAAGAGCCGCGGCTGGGCGAGGCGACGCAGGCGGTGCGAGGCGAGGCAGACGTTGCGCAGGGCCTTCTTGCTGGCACAGTAGACGGCGTACTCGGGAGAGGGCGTGGCGAGCTCGTCGAGGATGAGGAGGAGGGCGTCGTCGTCGAGGCGGTCCGACATGGCGAGGCGAGGAACGTGCTGATCGAGGACGACGAGGGTCAGGAACTGCGGTGAGGACAGGCAGAGATAAAGAGAGTGTGCTCACCGGTGCTTGTACGAGTGCTGGCGAGCGCGGGTCGACGAGCGAGCGAGCACAAGGAGCGAAAGAGGGACGGACGCTGCCTCGGCTGGTCGGCGTGCGCCGGAGAGTCCGGCGGGCTCGAGCCTCTGTGTCGCGACTTTCCGCTCGTCGGCAGACGGCATCTCTCGACAACTCGAGCGCAACGAGAGCCCGGCCACTTCAGCGCGAAGGAGCGGCACTCGAAGCGGTCGGTAGACGAGCGGGGAGGAGCGAGGGAGCAGCGAGACTGAAGCGAGATGGACAGCTGGGGCGAGCAGGAGCTGGAAGACGCTGACGAGCCTGCCTCGAGTCGGTCGCAGGACACGGCGAGGCGAGACTCGAAGTCGGGAGGAGAGGCGAGGAGGAGAGGAGAGCGGCGGCTCGTCAGGAGGGCTCGGCGGGTAAGAGCTGTGGGCGCATCAGGCCGCAGTGCTGCTCGGAAGACAGCAGGGGGCCTACAACACAGCCAGAGTGAGACGAGGCGGAGAGGGAGAGACTCGCTGTCGAGGTCGCTGGCGCGCCAAGTCGTCCGCGGCGGGCGCTCCAGCCTTGCTCCCTCGCACCCACCTCGACGCTTTAAAATGGCGAGTCTGCTGCCCTACTCGTCTCTCCAGCAGCCTTCGACACCCTCAGCACACGCGCGCCTCGCCCCGCCGCGCCGTCGCCGGCCCCTCGAGCCGCGAGACGAAGCTCGTCCCGCCCGCCGTTTTCACCCCGGCCCCGGCCCGCTCGACAACACGCACGGCGGGCGAGGGAATGCGCGCAGGGCGTGCAGCCGCAGTGTGGGCAGTCAGGGTCGTCTCGGGCGGGCAGCGAGGGCGGTGTGAGGTCGCGCGGGCGAGCACCCGCTCGCAGCCTTTCGTCCTCCCAGCGACGACCACGGCCAACCTCGACCCCTCGCCCCAGGACGGTCCGCTAACCCTGGCCTTTCTCTGTCGTGCAGGAGTCGGCATCCACCAAGACTCAGGTCAAGCTTGCCAAGGTTGTCAAGGTTCTCGGCCGCACCGGCTCGCGCGGTGGTGTCACCCAGGTCCGCGTCGAGTTCATGGACGACACGACCCGCTCGATCGTCCGGTCCGTCCCCCCTCTCTCTGCCGCTTCGAGGCCGGGAGCGCGACCGCTGACCTCGCCTCGTTCCACCCCCGCAGGAACGTCAAGGGCCCGGTCCGTGAGAACGACATCCTCGCTCTCCTCGAGTCCGAGCGTGAGGCCCGGTGCGTCCCCCTTTCTCTCTCGTCCTGGAGCACTGCGCGATCGAGCCCTGACCATCGCCGTCCCTCACTGCGCCGCCCCCACCTCTGCCGACCCCGACCTCGCCCCTCCTCAGCCGCCTCCGCTAAGCGACGTCTCCGCCTCTTTCTCCCGCTCTCCCTCCTCGACATCACCAATCCCGACCGCCCGACTCCTCGCTTCCCCTCCTTCCCCGACACTCCCCTCCTCGCCCCTCGGACCCCGCCCGGCTCTCCTCGACTCGACCCCGCCCCACCTACCCACCACTCTCAACCCACCTTCTCTGCGCCCCACCGACAACGACGACGACGCCCTTTCGACCACGCCTGCGTTCGCCTCTCCTGGCCTCCTGTCCCCGGACGGCGTGACGAGATGGGCTCGTTCGTCGCTCGTCGATGGTGCACGGGTCGGGAACGGGAACCCTGGAGGGCGCGAGGGCTCGAGGACGAAGGACATGTCGGTGCGGCAGATGTGGGGCGTGTAGACTGTTGGGGCAAGACGGCGAGGTCAAGGCATCGGTTTGCGTGACCCTTGTTGTGCTTCGAGCGTGCCGGTCGTCGTCGTCGTCGAGAGAGAGAGAGGGGCAGCGGACGTCCTCGAGTTGCTTTGGCGAGCGAATCGTCTCCTTGCAGTTCCGCTGCAGCAGCGTGTGTGAGCCAGGCTTTCTGCTAGAAGCGCTCGCAGGCTTGTGGCTCGTCCCCCTGGCCTCATCTCCCTCCTCCTCGCTCCTCCTCTCTCGCGTCTCTCCACTTCACCTCGCCTCGCTCTACGGCCGCCATGCCCATCCTCCCCGCCTCTGCTGGCCTCGCCTGGAAGGCCGGCGCCCTCCTCAGTGCGTCCCGCGCCGTCTCTCTGGCCCTCGCTCCGTCGCCGTTCGCTCGGCATCGGGCGCTCACCTTTGACGACACTGCGGTGGGCGTACAGCCTCGAGCGGCATCATGGCCGGCGCGTTCGGTGCTCATGCACTCGCACCGCGGCTCGGCGAGAAGACTGCGACCTGGGTGAGCTCTCTCGCTCTATCCCCCCGCATCGCCGCACAGCCGACGAGAACGAGGAGGTTGCGCCACAAGCATGAGGCTGACCGCTCGTGCGTCGCGGGTCGAACGGCAATGCAGGGCATGGCGAGTCAGTACGCGATCCTGAACGGTAGTGCGTCCACTTCCTCCTCGCCTCGCCGTCGTCCTCCTCGACCCCGACTCGCGCTGACCTTTCCTCCCCTCTCACTCCTTCCACGCCTTCCCCAACCCGACCTGCATCTCTCCTACCCACCCTTCTGGCCGCCACCGCCCACCCACCTCTCGCCGACGACCCGCCGCTCCTCGACCTCGACCCCGCCCGCACCCAGTCGGCCTCCTCGCCATCTCGCAGCACCCGACCTACTGCAAGCGCCTCTCGGTCCCGCTCATCATCGCCGGCACGACCCTCTTCAGCGGCTCGATATTTGCCCTATTGCTTTTCAAGGACCGGTGCGTCGCGCTCGTTCCGCCCCTCTCTCTCTCGTTGCGAGGTGTGCTTGTGACACGAGACTGATTCGTTGTCGCTGCTACGCAGCATGGGCTCGTTCGCGCGCATCGTCGGCCCGACGACGCCCGTCGGCGGCCTCCTGATGATCGGCGGCTACTTGTCGCTGCTCTTCTGAAGTTGCCGACCTCGTCCTGTCGCGCCCGTCCTCCTGTCGTACCACCACCTCGTCGCAACTCTCTTCGTTCACCCGTCTTGTTACTCGGCGGCGCGAACGGGAGTTGCGCTCGAGCTGAGGCTCGTCGAGAGCGGGAGCGAGAGCGACGCACGAGCCTGCGCTCAGTCTCTCGCTTCGCTTCTCTCGCTCGCTGTCCTTCTCTTCAGGGCTCTCGAGCAGCTCGGACGAGTGCACGACCAGACGGCGATGCAGCTAGGTACGACAAAAAGCGAGCCTGCACCTCCTCCTCCTCGACCCTCCCCCGCTCGAGCCGCTACTTCTCCTCGCCCGAGCCCGTCTCGCCGCCGCCCTCCTGGCTCGCGAGCTCCGCCTTGTGCCTCTGCGCGCACTCCCAACTCCTCGACTCCTCAGCTCTGCGCGACGAGCGCCGGCAAAAGAGAAGGCGGGGAACGCGAGGGACGCACCTTGAACGCGGCCGAGAGGCGCTTCTGCATCGTGCGCTGCTTGAGCTTGGGCTGCTTGGCGAGGAGCTTCTTGCTCTCGACCTGCCCCACGAGGTCTTGGACGCAGGTCAGAGTCGCGCTTCAGAGAGGCGAGACTGGCCGAGCGAGAGAGGGACGAGGGACGCACGGCGTAGAAGGCCTGCCAGGCGGCAAAGTGGCTGCTGTCGCGGGTACGGCAGAGTCAGTGACGTGCCTTGCGAGCGAATCGAGGAGGCGGACGAGGACGCACTTGTCCTCGGGCTTGGGCTTGCGCTCGTCGCCAGCTGCGCGAGGACGAGGGGAGGGTCAGGGCACGCGCTTGACTCGGACGGCTGAACGAGGAAGAGGGGCGTACTCGGCTTGGTCGACTTGGCGCGGGCCATGGTCTGGGGCTGAGCGAGTCGAGGTGGAGCGAGAGGAGGAAGAGAGGTCGGCGCTACGAGGAGGTGAGGAGGGGCGGCGAGGTCAGGAGTCGGGCGTAGAGAGAGACCGAGAGAGGCTATGGACGCACTGGAAGGTCTCAGAGAGCGATTCGAGGCGAGATGAGGGGAGGAGAGAGAGGAAGAGAGGCAGAGGCGCCACGGCGAGCCCGAGCCTCTCGCGCTCGCAGATGTCAAAAGCGAGCGGGCTCGCCGCACAGCGCTTCTGCCGGCTCGTCGCCCTCGGGCAGTCCAAGAGAGGCTCCTGTGCGCGTGTGCGCGGCGTCTGCATCCCCTCGGATGCGCGCGGGTCGCTCAGAGGAGCGGGGAAGCTGCGCGAGTTTGACATCCGGCGCGCACGACGCAGTCGGGGCCGACGCTCATTGCTCGCGACCAGCTCACTTTCTCGCACTCGAATTGCTCTCGAGGCGTACAGTGACAGCGACAGGATGGGACGAAACACAAAGTACTGCGACTGCGGCTACGAAAGAGACTGCTCGACCGCTCTACTCGGTACAGACCGTTCTCGTCTAGCCTGATTTCTAGCGGCGGGTACGGCGACACAACAGGAAAGGAACTGCGGAAGGGCAGGAAGGAAGAGGGACTAGAGAGAGGCGGCGCCACGCAGGTCGTCGACGTTGAGCCAGTCGACGCCCGCTTTGAGAAGGCCGCGCCAGACGTCGTCGCGCACAAAAGCCGGCCAGCTGCGTCGGCGAGCATAGTCAGAGCCACGTATCGTTGAGTCGAGGGAGAGAGAGAAGAGGCCACGCACCTCGGCGTCTCCCAGAAGCGCGTCTTGATGCCCTTCTCCCTCGCGGCGTGCACGAGCTCGGCGATGCCCTGCGCCTTGTCGGCGTCGACGTCGAACGAGTCGAGCCAGCCGAACATGTGCTTAAAGCTCGTGCTCGCCATGAGCGTCACCGCCGTCGTGTAGGCCGGGTTGGCGATGTCCTCGAGGGGCGCGTCGAGGAAGATGTCGCGCAGCGGCGTCTGGCTCGAGACGAGCGCGAGGTCGCAGTTGCCCGTGCAGGTGATCGTCAGAGGGCGAGTCGTGAGGGTGCCAGACGTCGAGTTGAAGGTCGTGAGGAGGTTGAGCGCGCGGAACTGGGCGAGGGCGTCGATGACGGCTGGGTGGAGCGCCGACGGGTCGGTCTTGTAGTCGAGCAGGAGCTGCAGGCTCTGCTCAGGGTCGTAGTCGAACACGCCGCTGCAGGTACGGGAGTCAGCGTCGGGCTCGGGCGGAGAAAGAAGGACGAAACGAGGCTCACTTGGTCAAAGCGGCAGTCTCGCTCCCGGACGCGAACGGCGACGCCGGGTTCTGCAGCTTGATGATCTCGAGGATCGGGTCTGGGTGCGAGTCGTCAGTCAACGAGTCTGTCTACAGGCGGAAGGAGGGAGCGTACCGAGGTAGAGCTCCTCGAGCGTCCGAGACGAGGTGAGCGAGACGCTCTTGTGGCCGACCTGCGCCGGTACGAACGAGTCAGGGCGGGCCTCTCGACGTTCAGAGAGATCAGTCGACGTACGAGAAGCTTGCCCTCGACGAGATGGATGTCGGCCTCGACGCTTTTAGCCCCGACTGCGAGTGCGTCGAGCAAGGGGACCGGGCGCGTGTCTGCAAATCGAGAGGCGTCAAGGACGACGCCGGCGAATCGAGGGGAGACTCGGGACGTACAGTCGTTGTGCGAGTGGATGTTCTGGCGGGGGCAGACGAGCTGGGTCAGCCGCGGGATCTCCGAGAGGGCGACGTGGGAGGAAGAGAGGTGCCGTCCTCCTCGAGCGTCGCGCGCTCGTGCGGAAAGCGGTGCTCACCTTGGGCACGATGCCTTTCGTCAAGCTCGTCGGGTAGTTGAGCTGAGGGAGGCCGCTCTGGACAAGCAGACCCGAAATGGCTGCCATGGTCGAGCGCGCGAAGAGGACCGCCGAGTTGCCGGACGCTGCCGCGCTGTCGGCGGCGGGAGCGAGGGTCGACACGAGCGGGATGTAGACCATCGTCGCGAGGGTGAGGATGAGGAGGACGTCGAGGAGGAAGCGGTGAGGAGGCCCGCGTCGAAGAAGTGGGGGGAATCGGGGAGTTGGTCGGGAAGGTGCCGGACGAGGAGACGGTGGAAGGCGAGGGAGGAGGCGCAGCGTCGAGTGAGCGAGGGAGAGCGTCCCGTGCGCAGCAGGGAGCGGGTCGTCGAGCGACCGGGACGAGGATGCGCGGGACGAAGCGACGCGGCGCAAGTCCCTCGTCGAACGAGGACGACGGCGGACCAATGTGGAGCGAGAGCGGATTGGAAAGAACGTGGTCAGCGACGGGCGATCAAGCCATGCGCTCGTCGCAGATCCACGTTGCACGACCTGCGGGTCAAAAATGTGCGCGCCGACCGCGGGCAAAGACGAGGTCTGGACCGCTCAGGCCGCTCGAGAGGAAAGTGGGGGCGAGCGCGCTCCTGAGCGCTTCGTCGCGCGCTCTGCGACCCGCGGTGCATGCAGAGGTGACGCTTGAGCACGAGCACGGGCGACGGCGACCAGCAACGGCGTCGAGGAAGCCGGACTCGGTCGTGAGGGGAGGTCGACGACGGATCGACCTTCGCAAACGGAAGGTGATGCTCCCCCTGCCCAGCCTGCGACACGCCTCTTTTCCGACGGCACCGACGCACGGCGCAAGCGCTGTGTCAGCCCGTCTCTCGCCTGCGCTCGCAGCCGACTGTCTCGAAGCCGGTCGACCGCGAGAGACTCTCCGAGGTGCGCGAAAGAGCGAGAGGTCCGGGAACGACGACGCGAGAACGAGAGAGGGTGCGACGGGCGCGATACAGCTCAGGGCGGGTGGTACTACTGCTAGACTGTGTGACAGCTCGGGGGAAGAGAGGATACAAGGGTCGAGGGGAACCAAAATGCGGCGAGGAGACATGCGGGATGAGGGGTGATGCTGCAAGATGGGGACGAGTAGGGGATACAGGTGACGAGGACAGCTAGATCCAGTCGTACAGGACCTGCGGCTGCTGCAGAGGGCTGACGAGCCCGGCCGCGGCGAGCTTGGCGTGCTCGGCCGCCGCAAAGCTCGACGACTGGCGCCGGTGCCGTCCGACGTGCGGGCGCTTGCCGATGAGGGGCGTGGCAGGAGGCGACGTCGCCGGCGACGTCGTCGTGGTCGAACGAGGAGCGCGCTTGCGCTGCGGCGAGATGGGCGACGGCGGCGCGAGCGAGATGTGCGGGAGGGGCTTGACCGCGAGGGCGTCGCCGTACGTGCTCGTGCTCGACGAGCTCGTCGCCGACGACCCGCACGACAGCTCGGGCACGCTCGAGATGAAGTACTCGGACAGCTCGTCGAGCGCGGGCCCGATGTCGTCGGCGGCGATCGGTGACCGGCGCGGGAAGCACGCCGTCGAGGTCGTCGTCGCCGATTCGCACGAGTCCGCCGACTCGGCGGTGAACGTCGACGCGGCTGACGGGGTGGCGACGAGGGCCGGCGAGGTGCTCGGGAGGAGGAACGCGTCGTTGGGGAGGATGATGGCGTTGAGCGGGAAGTCGTCGCCGTGGATCGAGAGGGGCGTGTAGGTCGTGTGGCCCGTCTCGATGAACTCGACCTCGAGGTCGTACGACGTCGAGCGCGAGTGCTGCTGTTGGAGCGACGTCTGGAGCTTGCGACCGGCGGCGTAGATGGCGAGCCCGGCCGGCGACGAGTCCCTCGGGACGGGAGGCGGCGTCGACGGCGTGCGCGAGCGACGGGTCGAGCTGCACCGGCTCTTGCGCGAGTAGTCGTCCTCGGCGATCTGGCTGAGCCGGCCTCGCGAAAAGTACTGGTTGGCGGCGTCGACGGCGGCGGCCTCGTCCGACTGGCGGTGACGGTGGGCGGTGCGAGGCGTGAGGGGCACGCGCGACGGGCTCGGCGAGATGGGTGCGGAAGGGAGGAGGTCGACGGGGCAGCCGAGGACGGGCGACGCCGGGATGGACGAGGCGGCGGTCGAGATGGACCAGTCGGACGAGGTCGATTGCCCGCGCGAGTGCGACCGCTTGCCGGACTCGTCCGACGACGACGCCATCGACGTGCGGCTGCTGCCGCCGGGCTGGGTGCTGTAGAAGGCGTCGCCCTGCGAGAGGGGGAACGAGGCACGAGCAGAGTCAGTGCCGAACTCGCTCGGGAGGGCGAGGAAGCGGGAGGGAGACGCACCAGGTCGGCAGGGCCCTCGGACCAGTCGCCGGCGCAGCCAAAGTCGAGGTCGCGCGAGCGAGTCCACCGTTGCAGGCGACGCTTGAGGCGGGACGAGTTGAGGTCGCGGCTCGGCGGCGTGCGGGTCGGGAGCTTGGTGGACGAGGTCGAGGCTGAGGGGACGTGCATGCGCTGCGGCGTCGTCGGCGGCTCGTTCCACAGGTCCTCCTCGACGCCGCACGAGGCCAGCTGGCGCGACGAGGAGGGCGACGACGGGGCCTTGACGAGCCGGCTCGGCGTGCGAGGTGAGGGCGGCGCCTGGTACATGGGCATGAAGGGCGGCTCGGCGAACGGGATGTGCGGGAGGGCGACGCTGCTGGTAGTCGACGGGAGGGACAGCGACTGGGTGCGCTTCGAGGAACGTCGAGGAGCGGTGGACGAGGAGGGGAGGGTGAGGAGGGAGAAGCGGCGAGGGCGAGGGACGACCGGGACGAGGTCGACGCTCGGCGCTGGCGGCGAGAGCACAGGCATGCTGGGTCGCCGACGACCAGCCAGGGGGTGGGCTGAGACGCCGCTATGGAGCTTTATGAAGAGGGGGTGGGCGAGGCCAGACAATCTTCTCGGACAGGAGATCTGCGACGCCGCGCCGACCGGGGTCGAGAGCGGCGGGGGTGCCTGTCGACGACCGTGTTTCGGACCGCGGCCGGGATCTGGCTGTTCTGCTGTCGACGTCGCCGCGAGGGTGCGCTCCTTTGTCGAGGTTGCTCGAGAGGTGAGGAAGGGTGGGAGGACGACCGACGATGCCGGAGGAGGCGCGCAGCGAGCAAGCAAGCTTGACGGCTGCGGCGGGCGAGGGCTGCCGTCTGCGTCGGGCCAATTGAGGCCCGGTTCGAGGTTCCTCGTCGCCCAGCTGGGGCGGAGCGCCGGGAAACCAGGCCGGCGAGCGAGCGCGCGGAACGAACTCTTCCCGCTCGAGGCAGGAGCGAGCACCGTGTGACGAGGGCAAGCAGCAGGCTGGACTCGGCGGGGGGCGGGACGAGAGCCGGCCGGGATGCCAGCGGTGCGGTGTCCAGGCCCCGGAGACGAGGCGGGATGAGGCGAGCGAGAGGAAGAGGGCGGAGCAGCTTCCGAGTCCGGCGCACTCTGTCTCGTTTCGACTTGATCACGGCTCCAGTCTGCGCGCCGCAAGGCGGGCCTTCATTTTGCTTGCACGCCCACACGAGCCGGCGAGCGAGCCGGCTAGAGCGGCCGCCGCTCGCCTGCCTGCGCGCCGTCACCTCCTGCCGCCGGCCTCCTCTCCACCTCGTCGCCTGCACCCTCTCGCTCAAAGCGGGTCGAGCTCCAGGAGTGCTCTCGCTCGTCCCTCGCAGCAGCGCAACCAAGTGTCGCGCGCCTCGCACCGCGTGCTGCAGCTGCGTCGGGCCGACGGCTCGCGCCCTCAGCTCCCCTGCCAGGAGGCCGCCTTCCAGCGACACGGCACCACCGCGCTAGCGAGTTTAATCTGCGCGAGCTCGCAAGGGACTGGCGCACTTGTCGGCCGAGGGCTCAGCGTCGAGACGAGCCAAGCTGTGCGCCCGACACCTTCCTCTCTCGAAACTCGAAGCCGTCAAGCCGGCCAAGCGGACGTCCGTGAGGCTGACCGTCCTGCCCCTCACACAGCTCTTTAGCGCCCGCAAGTGCTCACCATCAGCCTGTGCGACCGTGGACGACCCTTCCTCGACCTCTTCCTCGTCGCCGCACTTCGCCGTCCGCCGGTCCTCGTTCCTCTCGCCGGCCAAGCCGCCCCGCCGTCATGCCGCCTCGTCCACGAGTTCGGCACGCCCTCGCCCTGTCGGCACTGCTGCTCGGCACTGCCCTCGCCGCCGGCCCTCAGCACCACCTCGCGCCGACCACGTGCCTCGAGACGGCCACCGCGCTCGAGGTCAACGAGCTCTTGCGCTCTCGAGGCGAGGGCGCCGCCATCATCCTGTGCCCCTACGCTCATGTGACTGTGCGTCGGCCGTTCTTCCTCTCTCGGCGGCGAGTGACGAGGAGCTGACCGTCCCCGGCGTCCAGATCGACTCGCACGGCCCGCCCATCACGTTCACCGCCCCTCGCCAGTCCATCTTCACCAAGGGCTTCCCCGACGACCATTCTCGTGCGACGCTCGTCATCGAGGACGCGACCCGGCACGTCTCGGGCGACACGACGACCGCCATCGCCGCCAACTGCGCCGCCTGTCGAGGCGTCCAGATCCGCAACATCCACGTCGATGGCGGGCGAGAGCACCTCGGCGCGCTCGAGGGCGGCGACGCGCTCATTGTCGTCGGCGGCGACGCAGGCGGGCAGACGGTGCGGCGAGTCGACGCGTGGGGCGCGCGAGGGTTCGCCGTCGTGCACGCCGCCGAGGGCGACAAGGGCTCGTGTCGCGACGTCGTCGTCACCGAGAACGTCGTCCAGTCGGCCGGCGACGCGCCGTACGACGCGTTCCTCGAGTCGGAGCTCGCGAGGCTGCGAGAAGGGCCGCCGGCGTTCCTCGGGCAGGAGCGTCCGGGCACCTGGACCGACGGCATCAGCATCGCTTGCGCTCGCTCGTGCGTCCCTCTCTCTCTCTCGCTTCTTCTCTGTCGTGGCGGCACCCTGACGCTCTCTCCTCGCGCAGGATCGTGTCGGACAACACCGTCCGCGACGTGTCGGGCGTCGGTATCGCCCTGCGAGGTGCGCCGGCTACGACCGTCTTCCAGAACACGGTCGTCGCTCGCGACCGCGACATGCTCGTCGGCATCTCGATCGTCGCCAACCCTGCTCATCGCGAGGCGGCGTCTGAGCTCGGCGGCGTCTTCATCCGGTGCGTCCTCTCTCCCTCGCCTCCTTTCTCCTCGGCCCGACTGACCTCGTCCTCTCCTCGCAGCGGTAACCGGGTCCACGCGGCGTCGGCCATGATCCGCATCGGCATCTCGACGGGCTCGGGGCCCTGGGCGACCGACGAGCTCGAGGGCGACCACGAGATCCCGTTCGCGAGCGAGATTGTGCGCAACCGCCTCTCGTCGTACCACGGCTACCTCGGCTACGCGATCGCCCTGTCGGACGCTCGTGCGCTCGTCGTCAAGGACAACGCCGTCTCGTGCGTCTCGCTCTCCCTTTCTCGCCGCTCTTCGACCTCGAGGACCGCGCACTGACCCTCTTTTCTCGCCGGCCTACAGCGCCTCGATTTGGGGCATGTCGACCTCGTCGTGCTACTCTCGACCGGCCTACATCCCTCCCACCCCTCTCCTGCGCGACCCTCGCTCCGTCATCGGCTCGCTCCAGCCCGGCTTCACCAACTCGCACTTTGGGTTCCTCCTGTGCGTCGGTCCGGGCTCGGCCTCGAGCTCGTTCGAGGTGAGCCGCCACCAGATCAACGACCAGCACGCCAAGGCGTTCCACGAGGCGCTCAACGCCGCAGAGCAGGCCATCGTCGCCGACGACGGCCGCTTGTCGTCGTCGTCGGGCACCTCGAGGAGGAAGGTCGCGCACGCGCGCCCGGCGACCATCCCGCTCGGCGAGCTGCACCCGCACCCGAACGGCGCGCACGTCGGCGTCGTCGAGGCGCCGCACGGCCGGGCGCCGCACGAGGGCCGAGCGGTCGAGCTCTCTCGCGCGCTCGCGGCGCGCAAGGCGCACGCGCACAAGCGCCTCGTGCGCCCTGCGCCGGCGCCGGTTCAGAAGAAGCAGCGCGCCGATGCGGCGGGGCCGTCGGCGGCTGAGCGGGAGCGCGCGGCGGCCGAGGAGGTCGTGCGAGGTGGGGCGGGAGGGATGCAGCGCAAGCGGTTGAGGGCGCCGAGGCCGCTCAGGAGGGCGGCGGCGGGCTCGATGCACAGGGGGGACGAGTCGGTGTTCTAGATGGACAGGGTGGGGCGCTGGCTCGCTCTCTCTCGCTCGCGGTTTCTCTTCCTGTATCCTCTCCCTCCCTCTCGACGACGTTCACGATGTAGCAGCGCAACGACGAGCGTCTGATTTTCTAATGTGCTCTATGACAGGTGACAACAAGGGAGAGCGCGAGTCTATGTGCGGTGAGAGAGAGTGAGTGGGGAAGAGGGAAAGTCTATCTCGAGCGAGGAGAGGGGGGGAGGAGGGAGGACGCCGAGATCTAGCTGAGGCCGTTGTAGCGCTTGACCGACTCGTAGACAGTCATCGAGATGCCGTTGGCCGGGATCTGCAGGCGAGACGCGACGTCAGGAGCTGCTCGGCTCGAGAGCGAGAGAAGAAGAGAGAGGAAAGGAGGTCCGAGCGACTCACAGCGTACGCGATCCGGATCCCCAAACCCCTCGTGAACGCCCTCGCGCCCTCCTTCCTCCACATGCTCTTGACGATGCCGCTGATCCCACCTCGGGCGACCTTGCCCGACACGCCCGACGTCTGCCACCGCGCCTGGACGACCTCGATCGGGGTCGTGACGCACGCCGCGATGGAGCACGCCGTGACTGACGCGAGGGTGTAGCGCAGGGTGACGGGGATTGAGGAGAGGAGGGAGGATGAGGGGCTGGTGGGTGAGGGGGGAGGGGCGCGAGAGGGCGAGTCGGGCGTGGGGGAGGTCGAGGTCGCGACGGCCGAGTAACCAGGGATGAAGCGCTGCTTGAGCGACTCGTAGCAGCTCCAGTAGATGGCGATGTTAGGCCTGCGTAGAGAGAGAGAGGCAGACGAGTCAGCGACGCGTACACGCTGCTCCAACGAGCCGACCCGCCCACCGGCGAGCCCGCCCGCACGCTGAGAGGGGCAGAGAGAGGCGCTGGCGACGCACACAAAGATGGCCGTACCGAGCCAGTAGCCCTTCATGAGCCCAATCGCGCCCTCCTCGTGCAGGATCTTGCGCGTGAGCGCGACGGCCGACGTGCCCTCGCGGCCCGTCTGGAGGCGCGACTTGAGGACGTCGAGAGGGGTCCAGATGGCGCCAGATGCGACTGCGGGATGCGAGAGGGTGTCAGTGTGCTGCACGAGCTCGAGGAGGTCGCGAGGGGAAGAGAGAGAGAGGGCGAGCGACGCACATTCGGCGGCGGTCCCTGCAGCGACGAAGACGGGGAGCTGCTGCAGCAGGCCTGGCGCCGAGTCTTGAGGGAGCCACGACTCGCTGAAGTAGCGTTTAGAGGCTGTGTGGGTGCCGGGCGAGGTCAGTTCGAGAAGCGAACGGCGAGAAGAGCGAGAGAGAGAGAGGGGAGAGAACGGACCTTCGTAGACCGAGAGGTAGACGCTGAGGGCCGGGACCGAGAAGCCGACCGCGACAGGTAGACCTGCAGGACGAGTCCACCTCAGCTCGCGGACGAAGAGAGAGAGGCTCGGGGAGAGGAGGGCGCACCGGCGTAGAGGCTGCGGATCCGTGGTCGAGGGACGAGCTCCTTGATGGGCGGTACCGGGTAGCCGGCCGTCTGGATGCGGATGCGGATCGTGTCGACTGTGTGCGGCGTGGCTGTCAGCTCTAGGCGCCAGGAAGAGGTGGTAGAGAGAGGTGGACGCACGAGGATGAGTGCACAGGCGGGCCGAGATGGACGCGAGCGACGAGGCGACGAGCACGGCCGGCTCGAAGTAGGGGCGAGCTTGAGGTGGCTCAGGATGCTCTGCGGCTAGCGTCTGCTCGTCCTCCATGGCCGTGGTCGAGGTCGAGAGCCGGTCGCGGTCGTTGCGATGAGCCGGGGTCGGTCGGCGGCGAGGGCGCAGGCGAGGGTGCCAGTGGTTGGACGGGCCCTGTGCGAGGCTGCAGAAACTTTCTGGCTATGCAGCAAGGTGCACGAGGCGAGCGTGAGAGAGAGCCAGCTCTGTGGCCCTCTGCTCCGGACTTCGCCGCCGCCATCTGCGTCTCTCGCTCACGGGACGCGCACGCTCGACGGGGCGACAGACCAGCTGCAGTGCAAGACGCGCAACAAAGGACACACTCGAGGCGAAAGTCGAAGAGTACACACAAGGGGAAACTGACACTGTCCGTCCTCCTCCTCTCCCTCCCTCACCTCCTCGCCGCCGCCCCCGACGCGAACCCGACCAACGACGAGCTCGTCGGCAGCTCGTCCACCGTGCAGAAGTACGGGTGCGCCGCCGCCGGGCGCGAGTCGACCGCCGGCCGCGCCGGGTAGTGCCGCACGGGCGACGAGCCGAGCCCGGCCGCGAACGCGAGGAGCGACAACGTCGCAGGCGGTGACCCGGTCACGGCCGACGTCGTGTCGTCCGCGACGTGCACCTCGACCTCGTCGCCGTGGTACGGCGCCTGCTCGTCGAGCGCCGTGCCGTACGACAGGAGCGAGTCGAGCGACGCCGCGCTCGACGAGTCGCTCACGGCGCGCCCGCCGGTCGACGACGACGAGAACGAGCCAAACGTCGACGGGTACCGCGGCGCGAGGTCATGGTCGAGCTGCGCGAGGCCGCCGTCGAGGGGCGAGAGCTCGGTCGGCGAAGTGGCGTAGACGGGGTGCTCGCGAGCGAGGGAAGGAGGAGGAGGGAAGGGAGGGGAGGGCGAGCGGTGCGCGCGCGGCGCCGACTGGCCGATGCCGCGCGTCGCGCGCTGCTCGATGCGGCGCCTCGAGGACGACGGCGGCGCGAGGGCGAGGGCGTGGGCGGGAGGAGGAGGGAGAGGATGAGGGGGAGGCGGCGGCAGGGGCTCGCCGCGCACGATGGCCTGGATCTCGTCCGACACGCGGTCGCGGCCGGACTCGTCGAAGAAGGCGCGGCACCGTGCGACTTTGTCGGCGACGACGGGCGCCGCGACGCCGGCGTCGACGTCGTCGACGAGGCGGCGCATGGCCTCGGCGGACCCGCTCGTGTGGGCGCGGCGCAGGGCGGCCCAGCCGGACCGGCGGCGGTTGTTGACGAACCAGGTGTCGAGCTGGGTCTTGGTGTGGCGCGGGACGAGCGCGAGGAGGTGGTCCTTGTCGGCGGGCGACGGGTACGGGTTCGAGAAGTGCGCGAGGAAGTACTCGCGGTACGGCGCGCAGTGCGCCTGGTCGTCGGCGGGAGGGTCGGGGGACGGCGAGAGCGGTCGGCTCGAGTTGTGCGAGGCAGGCTTGAGCAGTTGTCGTGCCCGCCCGATCGTTTCCCGCTCGACCTCGTCGTTGACGTCTTGCAGCCGCAGCAGGGACGTAGACACGTTCTTGACGCGCAGGGCGAAGTCGACGATGCTGCTCATTGTACTTGGGCGGAGCTCGCCTGCTTGACCGGCTCGCGCCGCGTCGGCGAAAAGCTGCCCGCATTGCTCGACGAGCGGCTCGACACTGCCGCTCGCGAGCGCGTTCAAATAGGCGGACTCGCAGGTCCGCAGAGTGTAGAGCAGGTGTGCGTCGAGGGTGGTCATGACGAGCGTGGGCAGAGGAGAAAGAGCGGGAGGCGAGACGAGTCGGAGAGAAGCGAAGACAAAGGGCGAGGTGAGACGAGGAGCGAGCGGAGGACAATGTCGCCCGAGGACTCGGTTCGCCTCGTCCCTCTTCTCCTCTCCCTCATCCTCGCCATCGTCGACATGGCAGCAGCAGCTTTCGCCCGCGCGAGTGCCTGCGCAAGCGCGCTACTCGACCACCCGGCCTTGCAGAACTTGCCGCCTCAACCTCCTCTGCGCGACTTCCAGCCGGTCAAACCGCCTCGATGTACATTCCAGGGCATCACAGCTCTTCTGCAGGGCCTCAATTGCTCCCCTGAAGCTGCCTGCGCCCTCGACTCGGCCTATCAGGCCAGCTGTCGCGAGCTGGCGGCGCGTTGCGTCGCTTCGGCCACGGCGGGCCTGGAAGAGTTGCGGAGGACGCTGGCGGCAGGGGACGAGGCGCAGTGGGCTGAGTGGCAGCAAGCTGTCGTTGTCGCCGTGGACCGGCGCTTTGAGCACGCTGCGGACGAGATGCGCGACCGCCTCCTCGACGACGTCCGCTCCGCCCAAGCCCGACACGCCTCCTCGCCCGCCCACGAGCCGCAAGAGCCCGGCCAGTTCACGCCCGACGTCCTCGCCATCCTGCATGCCGCGTTCAACGCCGCCGACCACGTGTCCAAGGCCGAGCGCCGCACCCTCGCCGCCGCGACCGCCCTCTCGGAGCGCCAGATCCTCACCTGGGTGCGTCCCCTCTCTCTCTTCCTCCTCATCGACGAGCACAGAAGAACGACGAGCTGACCCGAGAGCGACGACGCAGTTCGCCAACCAGCGCCAGCGCCGCAACAAGGTCGGCAAGAAGCAGCAGCAGCAGCAGCAGCTCGGCGTTCGCTCGGCGCCGTACTCGGCCGCCTTCCGCCCTCGACCGCCTCAGCAGCAGCAGCAGCAGCAGCCCTACTTCGACGCGCCCGCACGCCGCACCGTCTCGGACTCGAGCAGCGGCTCGTCCTCCCTCGTCGACTACGAGTCGGCGCACTCGTCGGCGCGCTCGTCGGCGTCGAGTGACTGGTCGCCGACGAGCGGCACCTACCTCGCCCAGGGCGACATCCCCGTCGTCGCCGCCGAGCACGGCGACCCGGCCCAGTACGCGCTCGACGTCGCGCACGAGCCCCAGTTCTCGCTCCCGTATCCGCCGCACCTCGCCCTCTCGCACCACCTCGACCACCTCCCGCCGCCGCCGACGCACGCCCACTACCCGCACGACGCGCCGTACCCCGTCACCGATGAGCGCGTCGACGTCCCGATGATGCAGCTCGAGGCGCCGACGCCGCTCGATGCCGCCTTCCCGCACGCTCTCGCCGCGCCCGACGCCTCGTGGGCGCACCCGCACGCGCTCGAGCCCGACTCGCGCGTCCCCCTCGACACCCTCTCGGCGTCGTACCCGTCGTCGACCTCGGCCGGCGTCGACTCGCGCCGCTCGTCGGCCGACTCGGCCTACTCGCTCGCGCCGGCCCCGAGCGCCGAGCCCGCGTACCTCGCGCCGCAGTCGGGCTTCTTCCTCGGCGCCGCATCGGCGCAGGCGCCGGCGGTCGCGGCGCTCGGCGGCCTGAGCGACGCGTGGATGGACGACCAGTTCTACGAGAACCTGTTCGGCTCGCTCGGGCTCGACCTCGGCGGCGGCGGCGGCGGGGCGCAGACGGCTCGGTGTCGATGGGCGGCGAGGGTACGGCGCCGGGCTTGACGCTCAGCATGGAGGCGGTCAGGGCCGAGGAGCAGCTCGCCGGCGGCGGCGGCGAGGCGGTGTGGTTCTGAGGAGGAGCGAGCGTCGAGCAGATACCCCCCCCGCCTTTCCGTGTCGAGCCTCTTGTTGTTTGTCGTCCTTCTTTTGCAGTCGCAGCCTCGCAGTTTGTGCTCCCTTTCGTGCGAGCGAGCGAGGCGAGGTCAAAGCGAGGCGTGCGCTGAGATTCGCTTGAAGTGCGGGGGAGATGAGACTCTCGAGGGGAGGTCGCTCGTTGATCTGCGAGCCAATCCGAGTTGGCCTCATCGAGCGCTCGTCAGCGAGGCTCGCTCGTCGTCGCGTGTGCCTCCCTCGCTCCCTCTTCTCACTCGTGCTCGCTCGCTGCACAGTACTCCAGCCTCAGACTACCTGTGCGCCTCCTCTCACTGTACCTACGCCCCCGCACGCACGCTGATCCGCCTTGTCCCCACCCCCAGCTCCTCCCCACATCGTCCAACTCGCCGCGACCATGTCCTCCTCCTCGCGCGACCTCGCCCACCAGGCCGACAAGGTCGCTCGCCCCGTCGCAGAAGTCGGCATGGGCCAGCGCCCGTGGCTCCTGTCGCACCCGATCCATCCCGCAACTGGTGCGTCGTTGTCGCCGCCTCTGCTCGAGCAGTTCCTCGTCCTCTCGAGACGGATCACTGACGAGCTCCACGCCGCGGCATCCTCGCAGTGCACTACCCGATCGGCCTCCTGTCCATCTCGTTCGCGCTCGACGCGCTCCAGGTCGCGCCCGCCTTCACCTCGGGCCTCAACTACCTCAAGGTGCTCCCGCCCGCGGCCGCCATCAACGTCCTGTCGCACTACACTGGCGCAGCAGGCCTCCTCGCCGCCATCCCGACCATCGCCTCGGGCCTCGCAGAGCTGTGCGTCGCAGCCGTTTCTCTCGAGCGTTCGCGCCGTTACTCTTTCTAGACTGACTCGCGGGCTCATCGCGTCGTGCGGTGACGCAGGTACGCCATGTGGACTGGGCAGGCCAAGGCCAAGGGCGGCGAGAAGTCGCTCAAGGACGCCATCAACAAGAAGGACGTTTCGGGTGCGTCGACTCGTCCTCATCCGGCCTCGCCGCTCCTTCTCGAGAGGCGCAGCGAGCTGATAGTCATTCTTGCCGACGCACAGGCGAGAAGCTCAAGGTGACGCTCCTCCACGCGACCCTCAACGACATCGTTCTCGGCATCGCGGCGTACAACTGGTGCGTGCGACGCGCTCCCTCCTCGTCCTCGCTTCTCCTTTTGCGGGACCGCAGGCTGATGTTGGAGGTCGTTCATGCCACAGGTGGGTGCGCCGACAGGACAAGGACCTCCTCTTGCCGTACACAAACGCGCTTCTCTCTGCTGCGTGCGTCCCTCCCTCCTTCCTCTCCTCCCCCTCGAGCGTTCGCACTGACCCTCTCTCCCTCCTTCGCCTCTCCTCCTCACCTCTCATCCCTCGCCAACGCTCTCTCCCTCTCGCCGCACCACCCTCACGCCGCTCTCACTTCGCCCTCGCCCTCTCGCCCTCGCCCTCGCCTCCTCGCCGCTCCCTCACCTTCGCCTCCCCCATCCCCGCAGCGCTCTCCCTCTCTTCCTCTACTCCGCCTACTTGGGCGGGTCGCTCGTGTACAAGTACGGCGTCGGGGTCCAGAGGCAAGGAGCGGCGGCCGACGTCAAGGAGCGCCAGGAGAAGGAGCAGTGAGCGGGCGGGGCGAGGCGGCTCGAGCGCGCTCGAGGGAGCTCGAGATGGGTTGGAGAGGACGAGCTTGTACAGGACTCTCACGCAATGAAGTATCTCTCTTCTCTCTTTCGCGGTGTCTCGAGCAGGAGAGCATGGGCGAGAGCATGGGCGACGAGGCTCGAGCGAGAGGACGAGCAGCAGAGGCTCGTGCGCAGCTGTTCGCGCCTCGTTTCGTCGCGAAGGAAGGTCAGGGCGAGCTTGCTTCTTAGACGCTCTCTCGGCTGCGACAGGCCCGTCGTCGACCTGCTGTGGGTGCGCGAGGACAGAGCGGACCTCACCGAGCCGGCTCGCCGCAAGTCCTCCTCGAGGCGGCTCACCTCTCGCACCTCGACCAGCGCGGCAGGATCGACGGCAAGCGGGCATCTCGTTACATTCAAGGAAAGGAAGCTAAGGGTCGAGAATGGAAGAACGAGGCCCTGCTCCTCAGGCCCGACCGGTGCGCCCGCGCCGAGCCTTCTCCTCGCGGCGCAAGTCGCGCTCCTGCGTGACGGCGACCATCCTGCGCAGCGACGGGTTGGCTTGCGCCCACGCCGGCCAGAACTCGAAGTCGGCGGCGTCGTCGAGGTAGTAGATGCCGACCTTGTGGCTGTAGCACTCGCTCCTAAGCGACCGCCACTGCTGCTCGGCCGCCCGACTGCCGACAGGGGCCCTCGGCACGTTGTTCCGGAGCGTGACGGCCCGAAAGATGGTCGTGACGTAACCACTCTGGACGAGGAGGGACGCGAGGCGAGCGACCCGGGCGAGGAGCTCGGGCACCGCGCCATCGTAGAGCACGGACTCTTCCGTCATGAGGACGAGGTTCTGGACGCCGAGATGAACCGATGAAGGCGACCAAGGGATGCCATCCCTCTGAGCGTTGCGCTCCATGTTCCTCGAGATGCGGCCGTCGACGTGCACGAGCACGCGCTTGACCTTGACGTCGAGGACGGGCTGGCACAGGTGCCACTCGTCGAGCGCGACGTTGATCGACTTGAGCTGCTGCAGGAGCTCGGGCTCGATCTCGGGAAACGCGGACATGCCGTTGACGATGATGCGCTGGATGCTGACCGTCTCGAGCACGGGGAAGTGGCGACTCTTGAACAAGATACCGATGACCCTCGACGACAGGACGATACCCTCGAGGGCGAGATGACGGAGCATGGGCATGGCGAGCGAGTCGAGGAACTGCGGGGCGACGAGCAGCTCGAGGTGGTCGCCCTCGATGATGAGCGAGCGCAGACCTGGAGGAGGAAGGGGTCAGTATCGCTCTTCCTTCGGTCGAAGGTCGAGAGAGAGAGAGAGAGAGAGAGAGGGACGCACACTGCCGCTTGAGCAGCTCGGGGAAGAGCAACTTGCCGCCCGGGTAGGGCTGGCGAAGCGAGATCTCGACGACCTTGTGCATCTGGCTCAGAGCCTGCATGACCGTCGCGAGCTCGACAGGCACCCGGATAGCGGCTTGGCTCTTGTCGTGGCGCTCGTAGTTGAGCACGCGCACGAGATCGCGCCCATCGCAGGCCGGGTCGAGGATGCGGTCGAGGTCCATGAACGAGGCCATGACGGGGCGGATCCACAACGCGTGCCACAGGAGCTCGTGCGCGACGACCTGCACGACCTTGGAGACGCGCTCGACGCTGCCCAGGAAGGCCAGGCGGGGGCGGAGGGTGGCGGCGTGAGGCGAGTCGAATGACGAGGCGGCCAGGGGTGGGTGCGTCTCGTCGAGGATGCGGCGGAGCAGCTCGTACGGGAGGCGGTCGAACATGGTCGTGTGGTGCTCGAGGATGCTGCTGCGACCCGGCTAGGCGAGCTGCGCGGGAGCAGAGTGCGGTGCAGGAGCGAAAGAGGCGGAGGTCCGGCTCGTGGAGGTGAGGGAGGGCCGCTCAGCCTCAGGGCCTGCGGGAAGGGGCTTGGCAGTTGCTGGAGATGTTACATAGCCTGCTGCAGGTCTACCTTCGTCCCCTCGAGGGAGCGAGCGAGCGTGATCCCCCCACCTTGTCCTCATCAGCGAGTCCTCCCCTCCTCCCTCTCTCCACCCACGCCCTCAAGCTGAGACTGCTCAGAGCCATGTCGAGCTACCTCAACAAGCTCCCTCCGCCACCTCCACCGCCGCGCGCAGCCAACAGCGCCGCCCCCGCCTCGGACGAGGCACCCGCAGCCCACCTCGCGGTTCCCACGTCGCGCAAGGGCCACAAGAGCACGGGCAGCACATCCAGCCACTACAACGACGCGCCAGAACTCGACTCGGTCCACCGCACCCCGAGCCAGAAGCGCTCCAGGGCCACGTCGAGGGCCGTCGCCTCCCTCAACCCTTCGCCGCCCCCGCCGACCACCTCGTCGACATCGCCATCGCCCGCACCTATCCCGAGCGCAGTCGACGACGCGCCGCCAGTCGTCCCGACCGACGAGACCATCCTCCCCGCCTTCACCGCCCCTCCCCCTCCTCCTCCCGAGCCCACCCTCAGCCGTCGCTACGGCCCCCTCGCCGACTCGTTCCACCACCCAGCCGACGTCCTCACCTTCCCCCAGATCTCGCCCGCCCTCCCTCTCAAGCTCGTCCTCCTCTTCATCCCGGGCAACCCCGGGCTCGTCGACTTTTACCGCCACTTCCTCGCCTCGCTCCGCGACTCGCTCCCCCTCGAGCTGCGCAACCAGACCAAGCTGTACGCCGTCGGGCACCTGCGCCACACGCCCGGCTTCGACGAGGACCGAGGCTTCAACCCGCGAGGGCTCCCGAGCCTCGATGACCAGGTCAAGGACAAGTGCACGTTCGTCGAGAGCATCGCCGACGAGGACGGCATCGGCCGGCCAGATGGCCCCAAGCTCGTCGTCCTCGGCCACTCGATCGGCGCGTGGATCGGCCTGCAGGTGCGTCTCTCGCGCTCTCTCCTCTCACCTCTCTCCTCGTCTCGGCCCGACCCGTCAAGTCGGCCCGTCACTGACTCGTCCTCCTCGCCGCAACTCGCAGATGCTCAAGGCCCTCCCCCAGCACATCTCGTCCCTGCACGCCCTCTTCCCGACCCTGTCGCACATGGCCCTCACGCCCAACGGCCGCCGCCTCTCGCCCCTCTTCTCGTCATGGGCGCTCCGCCCCGTCTTCCTCTCGACCTCGGCCCTGTCGTACCTCCCGCGCGCGCTCCTGTCGCGCATCGTCGCGCTCATGACGGGGCAGAGCGGCGCGGGCGCCCAGGTGACGACGGCGCTCGTCGGGAGCCCCGAGAGCGTCGTCGCGGCGCTCACCATGGCGCGCGAGGAGCTCGAGCGCGTGCGCGACGTCGACGTCGACGCGCTCGAGCGGTACGGCGACCGCATGTGGGTGTACTGGGCCGCCAAGGGCGTCGATGGGTGGGTCACGGAGGAGGCCGTGCGCGAGATTGACGAGGTGCTCGAGCGGGTTGCGGGCGAGGAGGGCCGCGCGAGGAGGCAGAGGTGCAGCGAGGGGATGCCGCACGCGTTCGTCCTCAACGAGGGTGAGTCGGCCTCTGTTCCTCTGGCGTGCTGGGCCTGGACGGCTCGCTCTCGAGTTGTCGGGCGCAGCTGGCGACTCGTGATAGTGGGACTGATTCTCTTTCTCCTCGTCGCGCAGCCCACACGACCTCGCTCGCCCGCAAGTGCGCCGGCTGGATCGTCGAGGACCTCAGCGCCGCCGAGGCCGGCAAGTCGGCGGCCTGAGCGCGAGTCGGACGAGGGCCGTCGCGTCGAGAGAAGGAGGGTCCGTGCGCTGCGTCGTCGAGGTGTTGTCATTGTTCGTGTTCTCGTTTGCGCCTCTCTCTGCGTCCTCGTCTCGTCTCGACCTCCTCGACGCTGGACTCTGCTTCTAAAGCTGAGACTCTCGCGGCTGCCGGAGAGTCCGCAGGAGGCCGGCGCCCGGTCTGCGCTCGCGCGTTTGTCCCGCTCTCGTCCTTCTCGCTGCTCGCGCTTTGTGCTTCTCGCTGCGTGCTCTCGACTCGAGACTCTTCTCGTCGTCAAGCCTGCTCATCAAGCCGCCGTATCGAGATCATGGGCCGCACCAAGAACCGCAGCAAGGCCAAGTCGGCGTCGGCGAGGACTCGGTGCGTCCTCCTTTCACCTTCTCGCTCGAGGCCAAGGACCAGCAACTGACTGTTCGTCCTCCACAGCGTCGAGAAAGGTCAAGATGGAGCGAGCGAGCCGGCTGTCGAGGTCGCACACCGCGAGAACGAGTCGAGGTGCGTCCTGCGGCTCCTCCCTCGGTCGTCAAGGCGAGCTTGAGCTGACTCTCTTTTCGCTCCCAGCCTTGCCGCCAAGCTCCCGGTCAAGGTCCTCGAGCGTATCATCAACATCCTGTGCCCGTCCACTTTCGGCTTCGAGGACTGCAAGGGAGCCTTGGAGGACTGCCGCATCAAGCACGACGCCCTCAGCTTCGCCCTCGTCTGCACGAGCTGGCGAGATGTCGGCCTCGCTCGGTTCTGGCAACGCGTGTCGGTCCCGTCGCGCGGTCCGATTCAGGCGTCGATACTCGCGGCCCGCAGCCGGCAAGGGCTCGTGCGCGAGTTGACGGTCACGTCGACCGCCGCGCCCCGCCAGGCCACCTTGTCGCGCATTCAAGTCGACACGGCGTCAGCATGTGTCGGCCAAGATCTGCAGGCGCTCCTCATCTCGGGCGCAAAGGCGTTCGAGCTCGTCCTGCCTGCGCTCTCGGCGGGCAGGTTCTCCTCCCTGGTCGACCTGCGCGTCTGGATGTACGAAGCAGACCCTGCCGACGTCCAGCAGGTCTACAAGGCCTTCGCGCACCTGCTCGAGCTCAAGGAGTTCGACTTCCTCGTCCAGTACCGGTCGCCGAACGGCACTTTGTTAAGGCCGCGCATGCCCGGACCTCGTCGGCGACTCTCTCGGCTCGCCGTCCGCTTGCACCCTACCTCGACCTCGTCGAACTGCTACGGCCGCATCGAGCTGAGCGTCCTCGCCGGCCTCCTCTACGTCGCCGATCTGTCGGGCTTGCGCGAGCTGAGGCTCAACTACAGCGTCTCGCACGCCGTTCCCGCACAACTCGCGCCGCACCTGCGCCACCTTCGCATCCTCCGCCTCGTCGTCGCACCAGTCCTCTTTCCCTCCCTGCCCGCCGCCCTCACCTCGATCCTCGCCGACCTGCCCAACCTCGTCGCCCTCGACGTCGAGATCGCCATCTTCCTCAGCCGCGACATCGGCACCATCCCGCCCTCGGACGCCGCCGCGCTCCTCGCCGCCCTCCCCCTCTCGCTCGAGGTCGCCCTCGTCGAGCTCGACTTTACCCAGCCCGGCTCGGCCGCGCACCTCGCCGCGTTCCTCGAGCGCCGCCTCGCGTCGGGCGTCCTCAAGCGTTGGACGAGCGTGCGAGGGACGAGGCCCGACGCGACGCTCAAGACGACGTGGCGGCGGTACGGCGGCGGCGGCGAGGACGGCGAGGACGGCGGGGCGAGGTGGGAGACGGAGGACTTTGAGGAGTCGGACGCGTCGGCGAGGCTCGTGTAAAGCTGAGCAGCGGCAACGAGCAGGTCTGTATTTCTCGATGCCTGAACGTGCGAGAGAGCGAGAGAATCTGCGAGCGAGAGCGAAAGTGTCGCTGTCGGCCGGCGAGGAGGCCTGAGCGCAGGCTCGCTCGACCTTCTCAAGTTGCACTTTCGGCTCTCGCTCTCTCGCATCGTGAGAGAGGGTCGTCACGAGCAGTCCTCGAGTTGCACAGAAAGTATACAGAGCCCGTCCATCGTCGCCCCGCTCACGATCGTGCCCTCGCCGCCTTCTCCTCGCGCAGAAACTCGAGAAACTCGGGAACGGGGTCGTCCTCGACCCATGGCCGTTCGCACGACCGGAGCACGATGCCGCGCCGCTCGCAGTCCTGCTCGAGGGCCTTGATGGCGGCGAGCTCGGGCAGCGTCGCCTCGGCCCTGCGCCACTCCGCGCCCGCGACGAGGACGAGGCGCAGGCGGGAGGGCTCGTGCAGGGCGACGACCCGACGGAGCTCGACGTAGAGCCGCTCCGAGTGCACCGAGATGGGTACTCCTGAGCCCGAGTCGTGGCTGTACTTAAGGAGGAGGTGTTGGCCGAACGGGACGGACGACGTTGAAAGCATGTTGTCGCCGTTGTGCAGGTGGTCGGCGAGGCTGACGAGGATGCGCCAAAGGATGGGCCGGGAGGAAGGGGGGTCGTCGAGAGGGAACAATCTGTCGCGGCCACGGTAATGCCAGGTTCTGACCGACACTTCGAGGCTGTCGAGGCGAGCGAGGAGGGGGTGGTTGAAGACGGGCTCGAACGAAGAGATGTGGGGCCTGCAGGCATCCACAACGGCGAGGTGACGCAGGACGGGGAATGTCCGAACGGGAGCGCTTGGTGATGCGCCTGTGACCTCGACGGCGGAAAGGCGCAGCGACTTGAGGTGCGGGAAGACGGTGCCCGCCGACGACAGGTCGAGCTCGCAATCGTGGAGCGTCACGTGGCGTAGGTCTGCGGGAGTGAATATCAGATCTATCCTGCCATGAGACGATGGAGGAAGGGCACGCACTGTGAAAGCGAGCGAGGTCGACGAGGTCGAGGCGGTTGAAACCCTCGGCGACGAGCCGGGCCGTGCCGGGCAGGACGACCGCCCAATCTCGCGGCGGCCGTAGGCCGTTGCCCAGACGGAGCTCCAGGCCGAGATGCGCTATGGCCGGCCACTTGGCGACGACGGCGATGGCTCGCAACAAGCCATCCGGTGTCGACTCTGCGTCGACGATGGAGCGCTGCCACATGAGGTTGCGGCTAAACGCGTCGAAGCGCATCGAGACGAGGTTGACGTCGAAGAAATCGTTCTCGACGAGCGGCGGGTCGTCGTCGAGCGAGATGTTCGGCGGCGGGAGGTGGAGGAGCATCTTGACGAGGAGCTCGTTGGGGAGGCGGTCAAACGGCGAGGGCTGCTGAGGCGTGTGCGTGCTGCTCATGGTACGCTGTCGAGTCTGCTGGGCGGGGCAGCAAGCGCGAGGTGGGAGGAGAAAGAGCAAAAGGAGCGAGAGACGGATCCCGGCGAGCTCGACGAGGCGCGTGCGCTCGAATCGTCTCACCTTTCTCGAGTGCGACGGCTGCTCTCGAGAGTGGCTCGAGATGCTCTCGCTCGTCGACGAAGTACTGCGCAGGCTGAACAAAGCGTCGTTGTTCTACCGCCCCTCCTCGACCTCCTCCGCTCCACCGACGACGAGCGCACCGCCGCGCCGCTCAACAAGGACACGCTCCACAGGACACAACGAGAGAGATGATGAGGGAGGGGGAAGGTATGTCAAGCAGGAGAAAGGGGAACGAGACGGAGGAAAAGTCGAGGCGAAGGTGAGGAGGAAGAGGGAGGTCGAGGTCGAGCGCGTCGGCTCTTTTCGGGTCGGTGGGTCAGTAGGTAGGGAGAAGGAGTGGGTGCTGATGCTAGGGAGACAATGGAGGGGAAGGGCAAAGTAGGGGTAAAGACATGGGCGAGGAAAGGGGAAAGGGAGGGAAAGGAGCTGCGACGAGTCGAGGCGAGTCGAGGCGAGTCGAGGCGAGAGGGGAATAGGCACAGAGTGAAAGAGGACGACTGAAGGAGAGACGCGGTCGAGGGAGGCGAGGCGTGAGGGGCGAAGAAGGCGAGGCTGGACGTGCGAGAGGGCGACGACGACGACGACGACGAGGGCTCTAGGCCTTGACGGCGACCTGCTGCGCGCCGCTGTTGGCCTTGACGCCCTTGCCGCCCTGCTGGTGCTCGCCGCGGTGCCCGCCCTGCCCGTAGTGCGGCTTCTTCTTGCCCTCCTTGCGCACGAACCCGTCCTCGTCCTTGGCCGGGCCCTTGCTCGACGTCGACGACGCCGACGCCTCCTTGCCCGACGACGGCTTGCCCTCGACGGCAGCGTCGCCGTTCTCGCTAACCGGCGCCGACGTCGACGCAGCAGCCGCAGCGGCCTTGGCGGCGGGCGAGAAGGCCCGAGGCGCCTTGGGCTTCTCGGGGAGGACGACGCTCGCGCCGCGAGCAGCGGCCGACGCCCAGCCGCCCATGAGCTTCTTGGGCGCCGGTGCGGGAGCGGCGGCGGACGCCGGGGCGGCGGCGGTCGACGAGGCAGGCTCGGTCGCGTCGGCGTGCGAGACCATGACGAAGCCGTCGGCCTCGTCCGACGCCTTGGGCGACGACGGCGTCTTGGCCGCAGCGGTCGACGACGACTCGGCCTCGGCGGGCGCAGGCGCAGATGCGGGCGCCGGCTTGGCGTCGTCGGCGGCCTTGGGCGGCGAGGGCGCAGACGACGACGAGGCGGCGACAGCGGCGGCCGCAGCGGCGGCGAACCCGTCCTTCTCGTGCGCCGGCGAGAGCGGGCCCGCAGGCGAGAGCGCCGGGAAGTCGTCGCCGCTCGGGAGGCGCTGCGACGCCGAGGCGTTCTGCTGCTGCGACGACGTCTGCTGCTGTTGCTGAGCGGCACCCTGGCCGTTCGCGGCGCCGCCCTGCTGCTGCTGCTGCTGCTGGCCCTGAGCGGCAGGAGCGCCGGCGTGCGCGTGCGGCGACTGCTTGTGCGCCTGAGCATGCGCGCCGTGGTGGTTGTTGTGGCGCGCCGGCGGGATGTGGCGCGTCAGGCCGTTGATGGCGGCGACGAGCTGCGGCGCGGCGCTGCCGGGCGGGAGCGAGCCGTTGCGCGGGCCGCCGGGCACAAAAGCACGCTGCTGCTGCTGCTGCGGGCCCGACGCGCCGGCGCCGGCCTGGCCGTCGACGGGAGCGGCCGCGCCCGACGCCTGCTGCTGCTGGGCCTGGCGCGCCTCCTCGGCGAACCGGCGCTGCTGCTGCTGGCCAGCCATGCGCTCGCGGTACGAGTAGCCGCCGTTGAAGACGGCGCCGTTCTCGAGCTGGCGCTGGGCGAGCGCGGCCGGGTCGAGCTGCTGCATGGCGGCGGCGGCCTGGGCGGCCTGCTGGACCTGCTGCTGCTGGACCTGCTGGACCTGAGCCTGCTGCAGGTGGGCGTGGACGGCCGCCGCCTGGGCCTGCTGGACCGCCGCCGGCGACTGGTGGTGGTGCACCTGGTGCCGCTTGAGGTTCTGCTGCTGCTTCATCGCCTTTTGGCTCGCGAGCCATGCCGGAGGCATGCCGCCGCTCGCCTCGGGGTGGTCCGTGCGCCCGTCGGCGCCGATCATGCCGCGCCCGAGCCCGCGCGCGTCCGAGCCGTCCGGCAGGAGGTGCGCGAACGGGCACTCGTCACCGTTGCGGCACCGGTTGGCCTCGAAGAACGAGCACGGCGGGCGCTGACCGCCGAACGAGCGGCGCTTGCCGCCCGGGCCACCGGGACCACCGGCGCCGCCGACGACGCCGTTGCCGACAGGGAAGCCGTTCGGGCCTGGCGGGCCCGGGATCGAGCGACGAGGGGCGTGCGGGCCACGTGCGAGAGGCGGCTTGGGGTAGCCGCCGTTGAGCATGGGCGGCGGCACGACGGCGGCGACGACGGGCGGCGGGACAACGCCGGCCGGGAGGGCCGCGATCGGGGCAGGGACGGGCGCCGAGGCGACAGGTGCCGAGGGAGGAGGCGAGGTCGACGAGGCCGAGGCGGCAGTTGCGGGTGTGGCAGGCGTCGGGCCCGACGTCTGGAAGAACGTGTGGAGCGACGGCGCGGCGCGAGGAAGGGTCGAGCCCTCGGCGGACGACGACGACGACGACGCGGCGGCGGGCGCAGCCGAGTCCTCGGCGGTGACGGGCGACGACGACTGGGCGGGCGAGGCCGACTCAGCCGCTGCGAGCGCTGCCGAGCCGTTCTCGACGGGCGCCGGCGACGTCGACGCAGAGACGGCGGCCGACGAGGGCTGCACCGAGCGCGCATCGGGCGACGGCGCGACGACAGGTGCGGACGGCGAGGCCGACGGCGCCGGGACGGGCGCAACCTCGGCGGCGGCGGTCGCGGTCGGGAGGGGCATCATCTGCTGCGGCTGGTGCGGGGCGTGCGGCGGCGGCGGGACGGCGTAGTACGGCTGGGGCGGGAACGGCTGCTGCTGGTAGCCGTGCGGCGGGTAGGCGCCGAACGGCGGCGGCGGCGGGAAGTAGTACCCGCCGTGTTGAAACGGCGGCTGCGGGTAGCCGTACTCGAGCGCCTGCTCCGGGTAGTACATGGGCATGCCGTACTCCATGCCCATGGGCATGACGGGCGGCATGGCGTGCTGCTGCTGGTGCGCCGGCTGAGGCTGCTGCTGGTGGTGCTGCGGCTGCTCGTGCTGCTGGACCGTCGGCGCCGGCGAGCCCGACTGGCTCGGGGCGATCTGGGCCGCGACCGACGGCGACGCCGGGACGCCCGGCGAGCCCGACACGCCCGGGATGCCGTGCGAGAAGATGCAGTGCTCGCCGTACTTGCACTGGCCGAGCGGGAAGAAGCGGCACGGGATGTTGCGCGCGACCTCGGCCGGCGGCAGGTTGACGTTGGCGCCCTCGGCACTCGCGCCGTTGACGGGAGACGAGCCGTTGGCTGTTGCGGGAGGCAAGGAAAGTCAGGGGCGGGCCCTGGAGGAGCGTGGGCGGAAGTTGAGGTCGCCTCGTCCTCGTCGTGCGGGAGGTCCGCGGGCGCCGACCTCGACCCGACGCACCGAGCGGTCGCGCCGCACCCCGCCCGCAGCTCCCACGAGCATTGAGACGACGCCCGCCGAGCGCCATGCGACCCGCAGCCGTCCCGACCACCCCTCGCCTCGTCCCGCCCGGCTTCATGCGCCTCGCCCGCCCGACCCAGCCCCACGCCCACCACCGCCGCGAACGCCTCGCGACGAGCTCCACACGGCCCCTGCGCACCGAACGGACCCGCCAACCACACGCGGCCGGGCGCCAGGCGCGCAGGAAAAGTTCTCTGCGGCCCGGAGTCGAGCGGGCGCGAGGCGCCGAGCTCCGCTCGAGCTGGGCGGTCGCGCTCCCCCGGGTCGCGTCGCAGGTAGAGGAGGGGGCAAGAGAGGGCTGTGAGAGAGAGTGGGACGCACACTGGCGGTCGCCGTTCATGGCCTGCGAGGCGTGGTGGCCCTGGTGAGCGGCGGCCTCGCGCTGCTGCTTGATCGAGTCGGCCGACTGGGCCTGCTGCTGGGCCTGGGGCGACGGGCTGACGGCCTGCGGGTTGGCGTGGAAGGTCTCGGGCGCGGCGACCATGGCTTGGCTGGCGGTGGTGCGCGGCGGGCGTCGAGGCGAGCTGGGCCGGGCGAGGGCGAGAGCCGGGGAGGGAAGGGGAGAGCGACGAGGGCTCGGGAGAGCCTGCGGGGTGGCTCAATATCAGTTGCGGGTCCGTATGAGAGGACTGGGCGTGCGCACCTGCGAGCTGGACTTGGTGCTGGAGGGCGACGGCGGGTAACGAGCGAGCGACAACTCGAGTCCGGGGAGGTCGCGGCGGAACGACACCGTCGCGGCAGCTAAGCCTGTCGACGACGGGCTTGGGCGAGCCCTTGAGGCGACAGGAAGCTATCGTGGCGGGCGCACACGGCCAGGTCGAGGCGATGGCGCAGTCGAGCTGACGCGCGGTCGACGAGGTGGGGAGGCGCGTGGCCACGCCTCGCCCTCGTCGGGGGCGAGCGATGTCGTGGTGGTGGCCATGCTCGAGGTCGACTGCGGAGGTTTTGGGGCTCAACTGGCGGAAGGAGCGCGAGCGAGCGAGTGTGAGAGGAGGACGAAGCTGGGAAGCACGACGCCACAATGGGGACGGCCGCAACTCTCCCTGGTCGACCACCTGCATGAGAAGCGTGCTAGTGACTGCGTGCAAAGGCTAAATAGCCAGCGAAACGAGATACCGCGGAGGGAGAGCAACGAGGTCCTCCAGGCTCGAGCGCAGCAGGTCACCTCGCTCGCTCGCGCTCTGTGTGGAACGAGAGGCACGATGCAGAGAGCGCGCAATGTACGAGATACAGGCTACGAGCACAACACTCCTCCCCGTCTACCCGTCCTTCGCTCCTCGCCGCCCCACCGAGCGCACCGACCTCGCCCTCGACCTTGCCCTCGCCCGCCGGCGCGCGCCAGCTTACAAGCCCTCATCGGCGAGCTGCTCGGCAATGGTGCAGAACATCGAGATGGGCCGGAACTTGATCTCGTGCCCGGACCACGCCGCGAACGAGTAGCGCACCTTGCCGACCCAGCCGATGAGCTGCGGGACGGTGCGAGGGTTGGTCAGCACTACGAATTCCACCAAGAGTTGCCAGCGCCTGAGACGGGGCAAAGCGACTCGTGAGGGGAGAGAACGAGCCGACGCACGTCGAGGTGGTTGACGTTGTGCAGCGTCGCGCGATAGTCGCCCCACTTGGCCGACTCGACCGACACGAGCCCGTCGTTTGGGCCTGCAGGACGTCAAGGAGGTCAGTCACGGCTCCTCTTGGACGAGGACGCCCTGAACGACCGCCACCGCCTCAGGAGAGACGACGCCGGCCGAGCGCGAGACCACCCGAGAAAAGAGGAACGAGCGGCGCGCCCGACGCACCTTCTCGCTCCGACACGATCCCCCACGGGATCCGGAACGCGTTGCTCCAGCTCGGCGTGAACTCGGCGCCGTAGCTGACGTACTTGACGTCCGGGTCGTCGGGCGTCTCCTCGTTGAAGCGCGCCATCTTGGTCCTGCGGGGCGAGGGGGGGGCGTCAGTCAGGTTGCGATGGCGAGCGATGGCGACGAGGAGAGAGAGAGAGACAGAGAGAGAGGCCAGGACGCACGTCGTCAAGTCGTTGAACGCCTCGCCGCCGCCAGGGACGCCGAGCACCTTCATCATGCCGAGGAAGCTCGGGACCCGTTGCGCGCCGAGGATGTCCTCGAGGAGGTAGTCGGCGAATGACGAGCCGCGGTGCGGCGTCGAGATGGTCGTCAGGGACCGCACCTTGAAGTTGGTCGGCTTGAGGCGCGAGATGAGGAACCGCCCGTCGAGACCGCCCTGCGCACGCCTCGCGCGATCAACGTCAGGTCGACTCGGGCAGGACGAGAGAGGCAGACGAGGAGAGAGAGAGAGAGGGCGGGACGCACCATCGAGTGGCCGATGAGGTTGACCTCGCGCCCGGGGAACCGCTCGCCGATGAGCTGGCACAGGACCTTTGCCCTCTCCTCGATCGAGGCGCTCGCCGGCACGCGCCCAATCATGACCTCGGCGCCCATGGCGACGAGCGCCTCCTCGACGCCGATCCAGTAGCTGAACGACAGAGGCTTGACGCCGGCGAGCCCGATCGAGTCGAACCCGAACAGGCCGTGGCAGAAGACGAGCGGGAGCCTCGGCGCGCGGTACTTGTCCTTGAGGATCGAGAACGTTTCGGCGTTGTCCTCGACCTCCTCCTTGATCGCCTCGCGGTCGTCGGCGTCGACCAGGTTCTCGACGTCGGACGGCTTGGCCGTCGGGCCCTCGTCCTTGCCCGGGTGCCGCTTGGTGCTGTAGTGGCGGTGCTGCTGCTGCGGCGCCGCAAAGGGCGAGGTCGGCGGCGACTTGTTGAGCGTGGGCGACTTGGCGGCCGACGTGAAGAAGGACGCCGGCGACGAGTTGAACGGGTTCGGGAGCGTGAGCGAGTCGAGGAGCGACGTCGTCGAGCCCGCCATGCGGCTCGTCGTCGACGCGATCGACGCAGACGCCGAGTCGGCCGCGCCCGTGATGCTCGACAGCGACGGTAGGTACGATTTGGACGGCGAGGTTGAGGTGACAGGGGCGGCGGCGGGCGAGGGTGGGAGCGACTTGTCGAGCAGTCGCCGCTGCGCGATCGTCTGCTGCTGCTTGGGCGGCGACGCCGGCGGGCACTCGTCTGCGTCGAGCACGAGCGACTCGGCCGAGCGCGACGCGGCGATGCTCAACTCGTCGAGGCTCGCGTCGAGCAGCTCGGCCTCGAGGCGGTCCTGCTCGGCCTGGGCGTCGGCCTGCGCCTGCGCCGCCGTGACGGCCTGCTTGCCCGCGAACAGCGACAGGAAGCCGCGAGAGGCGTCGTGCGCGTCCTTGGCCGGTGGTGTCGGCGGGAGAGGCGCCGACGCGGCGTCCTGGAGCGCGACGGCGACGCCCTTGGCCGCCTCGGGCTCGACGACGGCGAAAGGCCACCACCTGCCCCAGCTCAGCTCGGACAACTCGCCGTCGCCCTGCCCCTTGTGCGCCGCCGCTCCTTCCTCTGCCCTCGCGACGTCGCTCGCCCGTCGCGACCTCGGCGTCGGCCCCTGCCCGCCGTGCGGCAAGCTGCTCCTCCTCCTCGGCGGCGCATCGGCCGCGGCGCGGTCCATCAAGTCATGCAGGCTCGTGATGCTCGACCCTCGCACGCGCGGTGCGCCGCTCCTGCTCGAGCCCGACGCGCGCCTCGCCGACGACGAGGTGGGGCTCGCCGAGTCGCCGGTCGACGAGCTGCCCTGCGCGGGTGCGGCTGCGCCCGGTCGAGGGGGCGAGTAGGCCGAGCCGTCGGGTCGGAGGAGGTCGACGAACGAGGCGTGCGAGTCGGAAATGGACGACGAGGGGAGGGTCGGGCGGGTGAGCGAGTCGAGGACGAGGGGCGAGGCGCGAGAGAGCGAGGTCGACGAGGGGTGGAAGTGGGCGGGTTGGGGCTTGCTGATCGAGGTGGGCGAGGTCGAGAAGGCCGAGTCGCGCTGTCCCTGGTCGTGTGGGCGAGACGGAGGCGGGTGGGGAGCGAGAGGCCGAGGGGAGGACGGGGCGGGCATGCGGCGGCGCAGGACCTGGGCCGTCGAGCGAGCGGGCAGTGTGCGGGCCAGGGTGGGCTGGTACTCGAGCACGCACTCGAGCAGGTGAGTGGAGAGCGGGTCGACGAGGAGCGATGAGAGAGAGGCGCGTCACTCCTCGAACAGCTCCTCGTCCCACCTCGAGCGAGCCACTGAGCCTGTCAAGCTCTTGTTTGAACGCTCAAGAACCCTGTCCTGCCCGTCGTGCACCGCCCGCCGCGGTTGCCAGCGAGCTCTGCTCCCTCGTGCCGCGTCCTCGCGCTTGCGTCGCCGCCGAACCTCGTCCACCGGCTCGACTGCTGGCGAGCCACGGTCGACGACGTGCACTCAAGCCTGCGTCGCAGCTCTGCCGGGCGAGCGCCCCCTCTCCCGTCCTCGGTCACCTCGTCCGCCTCGACCACCCGACCTCGCGGTTGAACGAGCCCAGGTGCGTCTCACGGCTCCTCTACCCCTCTATCGGCTCGGTCGACAGTCTCATATGATACTGCCACGCATCGTTTTCGGCCCGCAGCTCATCTCGTCGTCGGAGTCGCCGCCCTCATCGCTGTCCATGCCGGACGCCGACTTCTGGGCGGCGAGCAAGCCGCCAGAAGACGGGACCTGCGTGTTCGACCGCGTACCGAACGAGATCGTGTTCAGCATCCTGTCGTTCCTCAAGCCTGGCAAGGTCCCTGTCGTCGCCGCCGCCGACGACAACGCCGTCGTCGTTCCCGAGCCGCCGCCCGAGGACAACCCCCTCCTCGTCGTGCGCCAGACGTGCCGCCTCATGAACATGCTCTGCGCCCGCCTGCTGTGCCGGCACGAGATCATCTTTGACGGGCTCAGCAACACGGCGCACGATGCGCCCGCTCAGCCGTTTCTGAGCGTCGTCATGGCGTCGGGTCCGCGGCGCCGGGCCGTCCGCAAGCTCGCGTTCGACGCCTCGTTCGAGCACATCCTGATGCACGTGCTGCGGAACTGGTCGTTGTGGGCCGAGGTGCTTCCCAACGTCGACGAGATCGTCGTGTCGGGCACGGACCGCGTCCACCTTGACGGCCTCGCTCGCTTCAGAAATGCGTCTCTCTCTCACTTTGTCGCGACCGTCGAGTCCTGAACTGATCACCTTGACCCCCTGCAGGCCTGCGTCACCTCGTCATCGTCAACGCCGACTTTGCGATCAGCCCGACCTACACCGACTTCCGTTCCCTCGTGTCGCTCGTCCTCTGGTCCGCGACAATCACCGATCCAGCGACGCTCACGACTGCGACCATGCCGTCCCTGCGCCGGTTGGTGCTCGTCAACTGTCGCATGTACAGCTGGCTGTACCTGCGGTCGCGGTGGGCGACCGGCCTCTTGTCGCAGCTCGAGCTCCTCGAGGTCGGCGAGGACCGCACCGAGGGCGCCGACGTGCGCCTCCTCGTCCCGTACGCCCGCCTCCCGTTCACGCTCCCCGTCCTGTGGCACGTCGACCTCGACCGCGCCCTCGTGCGCCTCAACTTTCCCCCCTCGCGCGCCGCCCTGCGCCGCCGCCACTTTATCCTCCTCACCCTCGACGACGACGACGACGACGACGCGGCTTCCTCCTCGAGGCGCAGCAATCCTCGCGATGCTCGGCACGTCCGCCTCCTCAAGCTCCTCGACGACATCCTCCCCGCCCTGCCCAACCTCGAGCTCGTCCTCGTCCCGCGGTCCTTCTGGGCCCCGCCCGCGCCGCAGGACCTCGGCGCGGCGCACCCGGCGCGGCAGGCCGCCGCGCGCCTCGCAGAAGAGAGGCAGCAGGCCATCGTCGACGAGTGCAGGTGGCGCCACATCGCGCTCAGGACGTACGAGCCGCGAGAGGACGAGGGCGTGGGGTTCGTGCCCGAGTTTGAGGCGTTCGTGCGCGAGCGGGCCGCGAGGAGGAGCGGCGCGACGATTCAGGGGCGGTGGGCGACGACGAGGGCGCAGTGAGTTCTCTCGAGATGCAATTCGTGTCGTGTTCTACGCCCTCGAGCTGCGTGAGAGCGAGCGAGTTTGAGAAGGTCGACGGCATCGCGAGCTCGAGAGCTGCTCTGCCGCACAGCGTTCGTCTCTCGGGGCTCACAAAGGCTGACCTGCTCTCGATAGTGTCCCAGCACAGGCTGCATAGCTTTCTCTCTGTGCCGCTCAAGCCCAACCTCGATGCTGAAGGCGTGCCAGTTGCACCCTCGCGCTCGCTCTACAGCATCCTGCTCGCCCGGCCATGATCCACCGTCGTCTCATGATCCACCTCGTCCATCTGCACTCCATCTTGTGCAGCCCGCATGAGACTGGGCGGCCGCTCGCCTCGCGAGCGACCGAGTGCGTCGTCGAAGGGAGCGGCGTCGGGCAAAGGCGGCGGCTTCGTCGGTCCGAGGGGGCGGCTTCGGGTCGAGCTGTCGACTCGATGAGGCTGAGGTGGTTGGCGGGGCCGCACGAGGTCGAGGATGAGGCGAGCCAGGTTGGTAGACTCGAGGCGAGGAGGGGCGGACGAGGGAGAGCGAGCATGCGGCGAGGGCTCGCCCCGTCGCGATAGGGTGACAACGATAAACGCTGTAGACGATCCGTAGCAGTCTCGTCGAGCAGCAGAGCCCGTGGCGATAGCGAGAGTGGACAAGAGATGAGAAGGGGAGACGACGACGACCAACTGCTCTCGCACCTCTGCCACGCTGCTCGATACGCCAGAGCGAGCCTGCCAGCACCACAGCAGCTCGCCGACCCGCTGCAGGCCGCGCACCGACTCGCCGCCAGCGCCGCGTCCACCTCTCGCCGCGCCGAACGGTTCCTCCCCGTCCTCGCCAACTCTTCGCGCCCGTCGAGGGCAGGCGCCGCAGCGCTCCCTGCAGCGGCCAAAGCGGCATCAGCATCTCGACTCACCACACCGAGCGCACCTGTCCGAGTCGCCTCCCGTGTCACCTCCTCGCGACTCTCCCCACCTCCCGGTTGAACGAGCCAAGGTGCGCTTCACGGCTCCTCTGGCTCTCTGTCCATTCCGGTACGACACTAACACGCCCTATCCCCCACCTACAGCTCCCTTCGTCACCTGCACCGCCGTCCATTTCTCGGGCCATGCCGAGCTCGCCAATCTCGACTCGCGCTCGGCGCCAGGACGTCGACTTCTGGGCGACGAGCAAGCCGCCAGAAGATGGGACCTGCCTGTTCGACCGCCTCCCGAACGAGGTCGTCACCAACGTTCTGTCGTTCCTCGTTCCCGACACGCTCGTCTTCATCAACAGCGTCCGGTACCGCCCGCCGCCGCACGAGCACCTCCTCGTCGTGCGCCAGACGTGCCGCATCATGGCCCTGCTCTGCGTGCCGATCCTGCGCGAGCTCTACACGGACGACAGCGCGCAGAGCGACCCGGTCCTGCAGCCCCTCCTGCGCCACCTTCGGGTCTCGACGGCGCGCGCACGTGCGGTTCGCCGGCTCGTCCTCGAGGGCCCGTCGTTCAGCATCTTGATCGACCTGTCGTCGCGCCTCCAAGGATGGCCGGAGGTGTTGCCCAACCTCGAGGAGCTCGTCTTGTCGCGCACCCAGCGCGTCAAGCTCGACACTTTCGCGCCTTTCACCCGTGCGTCTCGAGCGTCCTTCTCTGTCTCTCAGACTAGTGTACTGACACTCTCGCCCCTACAGAGCTGCGTCACCTCACGGTCGTCAACACCGAGCTCACCCTCGAGTCGAGGCGCACAACCTCGTTCCCGTCTCTCACGTCCCTCACCCTCTCGTCCGCCACCCTCACCGAGCCCTCGATCCTCAGCAACTCGGTCATGCCCGCGCTGCGCCACCTGTCGATCGTCGACTGCCGCGTCTTCAAGTGGCTGTACCTCCCGACGCGGTGGGCGACCAACCTCCTGCCGCAGCTCGAGGTGCTCGAGATCGGCGAGGACCAACACCGCGACGCCGACGTGCGGCTCCTCGCGCCGCTCGCCACCCTCGGCGACACGCTCCCCGTCCTGTGGTGCGTCGACCTCGACCGCGCCCTCGACCGCGCCCTCGTGCGCAACCGCTGGCAGCGCTCGCACGCCGCCCTGCGCCGCCACCTCTTTGTCCGCCTCGTCCTCGCCGAACCGTCGTCGCCCTCGCCCCTCGAACCCGCACGACACACGTCCTTCCGCAACGCGCCGTCGCGCCTCGCCAAAGTCCTCGACATCGTCGCCCTCCTCCCCAACCTCGAGCTCCTCCTCGTCCCGCACGACCTGTGGCTCCCGAACGCGCGCCCATCGTCGGCCCACGCGGCACAACAGGCCGTCGTCGACGAGTGCGCGCGGCGCGGGGTCGCACTGAGGACGTACGACGGGCGCGGCGCGAGGGGCGAGGGGATCGTGCCCGAGTTTGAGACGTTCTTGCGCGAGCGAGCGAGCGGTTCGGGGCCGTAGAGGGGGGAGAGCGTCGGCGAGCGACAGTAACTTATTTAGATGTGCTATTGCATTGGTGCCCTCGTTCTCGAGCCTGCAGCGAGCGAGCGAGTTTTGAGAAGGTCGACTTTCGAGATCTCGAAAGCCGCCGTCCTGCGCCGCGCTCGTCTTTCAGCTCTCGATGAAGCCGTCACAGAGATCACGAGAGCCGAGCAAAGGATTCGTGGCCCTCTCAGAACGGCTCAAGCTGGATCTCGGCGCTCAAGGAGGACTTTCACGCTCGCGCTCGTTCTACCTCCTCCTCCTCGCCCAGTCCTCCAGCCGCGCGCGCTCCTCCCCGTCGTACGCCGGACCGCTCGCTGCACGCGACGGACCAGGTCGTCCCGTCCTCGCCGGCGGCTGCGGCTGCATCTGCAGCTGCGCAGGTCCGTGCGGCCCGACGCCCTGCGCGGCGAGCCACGGCGGCGGCATGCCGGGCGAGCGCCCCTGCGGCATCGTCGGCGAGAAGTAGGCCGAGCTGCTGGCGCTGGCGCTCGACGAGGGGCTGTAGCCGTACGAGGCGGGCGTCGAGTGCGAGGGCGAGGTCAGGAGGTGGTGGTGGTGGTGGTACTGCGGGGCGGGAGGCCAGTAGGATGAAGGGGCTGCGGCTTGGTGAGGGAAGTATGAGGGCAGGAGGGATGGTTGCTGTGTCTGTAGGGGCAGGGAGCGTGAGGCCGAGGACGCTCGAGGGAGGGAGCGACTGGGCGAGGGAAGAGGGCGAGGACGTACCGGCTCGTGAGGCGCTCTGCGGCCGTGGAAGGTGGGAACAAGATCAGGCTGTCGTCGTGACTCGGACACACAGAAGGGAGGGAGGGGAGACGACGACGCACCCTAGTCCGGCAGCGTCGCTCGGCGAAGCAAAGTTGAGGTGGTGCGACGGGCCGGCAACAACACCTTGCTCGTCGACAGGCGGCCAGAAGATGGCCTCGTAGAATCGGCCGATCTGCGAGTTGAAGAAGACGAGCCGTGTCAGCTCGATGAAAAGATAGGGAAGAGGGAGGAAGGGAAGAGGGAGGGAGGGAAGAGGAGGGAAAGGACGGACCCGCACCGCCGGATCTGGCAGACGGCCCGCACGCCGCAGCTCCGCGCACGCCGAGAAGAGGATGCCACGCCCTTTGTCGAGCGCCTCGAGCTGCTGACCGGGCGAGAGGCGCGCAAAGTGGGCTTGCTGAGCGGGGTGGTGGAGCGTCTCGAGCGCGGTGTCGAGCTGCGAGAGGTAGACCCCGTCCGGGACGTAGTAGGCGCCGATGGGCGTGCGGTACAGCTTGTCGAGGTCGTAGAGGAAGAGGAGGAAGTCGGCGTAGCGCTTCGAGTCCTTCTGGGTCGAGGTGTGCGCGATGACGAAGAGCTCGTCGCCGGACGGCTGCGAGGGGCAAGTGGGTCAGGCTCGTGGTCGACGGCCGCCTAGAAAGCGCGAGAGATGAAGAGGCGCCGAAGCTGCAGAGGGACGTACGAGGAAAGTCGCAGGAAGGCGACCGGCTTGCAGACCCGTCTCGACCTGGTCGACGGCGGCGTTGAGCACGCGCAGGACGACGCCCGGCGCGATGTGCTCGATGCGCTGAAGCTTGACGATCGTGAAGCCCGCCCCGCTGCAGAGCTCGTCTCGCCACACTGCAAACGAGGCGAGCGCGTCGGGGCGGCGCCAGCACGCGAACTCAACCCGCTCGACGCTCGCCAGGATCGCGTCGTACGTTCGGCGCGCTTGCTCGTGGCGGATCTAGGGTTGTGCGCAAGAGTCAGATTAGGCCTGCCAGCTTGTGCGGGCAAGGGGGAGAGGACGCACCCGGTTTCGTTCAGATACAGTGCCGGCCATGACGCCGACCATCTTGAGCAGCTCGCGGTACTTGATCTGCGTGCGGTCGGGTACGAGACGTCAAGACGAGGCGAGAGAGGGCAGGAGAGAAAAGTGGACGCACGCTGTTCCAGTCAAAGTGGTCCTCGGGCCGGCGGGTCCAAAGCTGGACGTAGCTCGAGAGAACGAGGTCGACAACCTTGGCGCGCTCGTGCGGCAGGAGCGCGTCCCAGTGCGTCGTGCGCTTGAAGGCCACCTGCGCGCCGGTCGCGACGGTCCTGACCACTTGCGGGCGAGGATCCAGTCGTACAGGCGGACGAGCTGCGAGTGCAGGACCTCCTTCGACGAGCGCAGCGAGTCGTCCATCGAGCGCCGACGAGCGCGAGAACGACGTGCGCAGGAGGGAGAGAAGCGAGAGCGAAGCGGCGGAAGCGCGAAAGCCAGCGCAAACACCGAGGGCCGTGCGCGCAACTTTGTGCGTGCGGGGTCGAATGGGCGATCCTCGCGCAGCCGAGAGCCGAGCGCAGCCTTTGCGCATCGCTCGAGCCGAGCCTCGCCGAGGAGAGCGGTGGACTGTGGGACTGGACCGTCAGCGGGCGGGGGAAGAAGTGGAAGGGGAGGTCGAGGGGGACGCACCGAGGACTTGGCGTGGCAGTGCCGGCGCGACAGCGACACAGATCCTCGCGCAGTTGCGCGGGAGGAAGTGCCGCTGGAGAGCACAAGGCGAGCGAGAGCATCCTCATCAAGTTGGCGAGCGGGGGACCAGGAGAGGACGACGGCAACAGCCTCTGGGTGGCTCGGGAGCGCGTGAGAGTACTGAAGCTAGGCTTACGCGCATGCAGGGCCCTCGCTCGGCCAGCCAGAGAGAGAGAGCGGGTCGACGTCGCGGGCAAACAAGCCTCTCCTCGTCCTCATCTCTTCGCTCCACCACGTCGCAGCCATGTCGACCGCCGGTCGCGTCAGTGCGTCCCTGCTCTCACTCTCCGCTCTGTGCGTCAACTGACCCACTCCTCCTCGCGTCGCAGACAAATCTGGGCATCGCTTCGCCCCGAAGCGCAAAGCACCCGCCGCGCCCACGCCTGCCTCGACTCGCACACACCGCGAGGGCTCGACAGCAAGCTCAACCGCCGGTCCGACACCTCGAGCCGCCCACGCGCCGCTCCCGGCTCTCGACGAGGACGCCGCCGAGGAGGTCGCCGACTCGCAGGCCCCCACCGCCTCGGGTTCCGCCTCGAGCGCACCAGCAGCCGCGTCCAGGACATCACCCAAACGCCCACAAGCTTCCCTGTTTGCGCCAGCCGACCCGACCGGCTCGACCCAGTCGTCGTCGCAACAACCCGCCTCTTCCCTCGCCTCGTCGACCGCGTTCGGCTTCTCGCCCGCCGACCCCTCTGCGTCGACCCAGGCCACCTCGTTCGCGCCCTCGCAGCCGACCCAGCGCAAGTCGCCGCAGCGCGCGACCGCCGTTCTCCCCCTTCCGCCGTCCTCCTCCCCTCAGCGCGTCGCCAACAGCTCCCTTTTCCAGCCGCCCGCCGCCTCGACCTCGTTCTCCTCCCCACAGCGCCCTACCCCGTCGACCGCCGCACCGAACTCGCCACGTGCGCGCGGCACCGCCTTCGCGGTCGGCACCGCCCCGCCGACCGAGAGCCCCCAGCGGCAGCGCGAGCGCGAGCTGCGCGAGTCGTTGAGCCCGGTTCGCCAGGCGGCGCCGCTCCCGACTGCGGCCGAGGCGACGGCGCCGGGCTCGCCAAAGGGCAAGGGCCGAGCCAAGGGCAAGAGCATCGCTGCGCCGTCCGCGCCGCCCGATGACGGCCCCGCCGCGTCCACCTCGGCGTCGGCCACCGCGACGACGCGCTCGTCCGGGCGTCGCGCCGCACCCGACGCAGCCGAGTCGCCCGAGCGCGAGCGTGCCGAGACGGCAGCGGCGGCGGACGAGCAGGACGAGCCTGTGCAGCCGGCGGCGACGGGCGCGACCAAGGCGGCGAGCGGGACGCGCTTGCCGAGGGCGGTCAAGGCGGCGGCCAAGACCAAGGGCAAGGGCAAGCAGAAGGCGGTCGAGGAGACGGCCGAGCAGGAGGGAGCGGTCGAGGACGGCGACGAGGCGGGCGAGCCGGCGGCGCTGAAGAAGGGCAAGGGGCGCGCCGCGGCCAAGCGCACCGCCGCCGCCGCCGCCGGCAGCGAGGAGGAGGGAGCTGTTCCGGCCAAGCGCCAGGCGGCTGCATCGCGCGCCAAGCCCAAGGCCGCTGCCGCTCGCGCGAGCAAGGCCAAGGGCAAGAGCGCCGCCCGGGCGGCCTCTCCCGCCGCCTCGGACCGCGACGACGACCTCGAGCCGTCCGCATCCGCCAAGGCGCCGGCGGCGGCAGCGGCCGGCGCGAGCGACGACGAGGACGAGGACGAGTCGGCGCAGGACGCGATCGACGCGAGGGTGCGCAAGCGCGCCAAGCGGCGGCAGGAGAAGGGGCGGGTCGGGCCGAAGAAGGGCAAGGCGGACCAGGCGCTGTTTGGGTCGGACGAGAGCGAGGCGGGAGAGGGCGAGGAGGACGAGGACGACGAGGCGCAGAACGGCCTCGACGACCACGACGACGACGGCGACTCGGACGGGTTCGACCCGGCGGCGGCGACGTCGTCGGCCAAGCGCACCAAGAAGAAAAAGGGCACCAAGAAGGGCGCGTCGGTCAAGGTCAAGGCCGCGTCGCCCGCGCCGCTCCCGACCGTCGACCCGTCCGAGACGCTCATGGCCGACCTCGCGTCGGTGCGCCCCAAGTTCTCGATCGGCCGCCCCTCGGAGCGCACCCTCTTCTTCGAGCAGCGCAAGCTCGACGCCAAGAGCGCCCGCAAGGAGAAGCGCCGCAAGATGAAGCTGCGCGCCAAGGGCCAGCTCGAGGAGAGCGGCGACGAGCAGGACGGCGAGGCGGCGGCAGCGGCGGTCGAGGGCAAGGAGGCGAGCGCGACGCCGGCGCCGCGCGCGAACCCGGCGGGCCTGCGCGAGATGGAGGAGGACGAGGACGAGCCGCAGGCCGGTCCGTCCGGGTCGGACGCCGGCGCCGCCGCGGTGGACGGCGAGGAAGGTTCGGCACGCGGCGAGGGCGACGAGGACGAGGACGAGGAGGGTGCGGGCGAGCGCGCCGACGACTTTGTCGAGACGCAGTACGCGCCGCAGATGCGCATCATTGACGGGCAGCTCGTGCTCGACGAGTCGAGCCTGCAGGTCGACCGAGGCGGGGTGCGTCCACCTCTCTCTCTCTCTCCCCTCTCTCGTACATACGAGCCAGGACTGACCCAAGCTGCGCACCCGTCGGCGAGCAGGACGAGCACCTCGGCCCGCGCGAGGTCATCGAGGAATCGGCCCAGGACCGGTTCGTCAACTCGAACTCGTACGGCAAGCGCAAGACGGCCGCCCGGTGGACCAAGGACGAGACCGAGATGTTCTTCGACGTGCGTCGCCGCTCGTTCCCCTCCCTCTCGTCGTGCCCCTCTCGCCATCCCGGCGCAGTGCCTGACGTGGGTGATCGTCACGCGCGCAGGCCGTCTCGCAGTTCGGCACCGACTTTGAGATGATCGCGGCGCTGTTCCCGACTCGCACCCGGCGCGAGGTGCGCAACAAGTTCAACAAGGAGGACCGCCTCGACCCGGCCTTCATCACGTCGCTCATCATGAAGCGCAAGTCGGTCGGTGCGTCGCCGTGTCTCTCCCTCTCGTCTCTCTCTCTGTGCGCTCTCTCGCGCAGTGACTGATGCGGTCGAGCGCGGTGCACAGATGTCGAGGCGTACGCCAAAGCGACCGGGCAAGACCTGTCGGGCCCGGTCCCCGAGGACCCGATGGAGGCCATCAACCGCCGGCGCGCCGAGCTCGAGGCCGACCCATCCCTCGCCGAGGCTGCCGCGTCGGGCTCGGGCTTTGGGCGCAAGCGCAAGGGCAAGAAGGAGGAGGTCGACGAGCACGCGCACGCCGGGTCGAGCAAGAAGCGCAAGAAGCGCAAGCACGACGAGGCGCGTGGTGCGGCCATCATGGACGAGGGGAGGGGCCAGAGTGACGAGGAGGAGGAGGAGCTGCGGCGGGTGCGGGAGGAGATGGAGGAGGAGGAGCGGCAGAGGATCATCGACGAGATGGAGGCGGCGGCGGCCGGGGCTTGAAGCGGCGGGTGCGGCTCTTTCTCTTTGTACGTGTTGTTGGTAACTGCCTTTGCTCTCGCGTGAGCGTTCGAGAGCGTTCGAGCGAGCAAAGGCGCCGCTGAGGTGAGCGCGCTTGCGAGGGTCCGTGAGCTCGCCGAGGTGTGCCTCTCTCGTGCCGGCTTGTTCGGGCGGCCGTGGTTGTCACACGCACGCTCCCAGGCGAGCAGTAGCTCTCGCAAGGCGACGACGCACGAGACTGTTCTGCTCGATCGCCTCCGACGTCGAACTCTCGCTCGCTCGCTCATCACTCGACTCGACCAGGGCACGCACGCCCGCGAGCGCACCACCAGAGCGCATGGACTTTGCCAACGGCTTCACCGAGGTCGACCAGCCCTTGCTCGCGCCGCCCTTGCCCACGACGGCGACAGCGACGACCACGACCAGCACCGCCTCGACCTCGACTCGCCCTCCTCGGCCCCAGGGCGACACGCTCGACCTCACCGAGGACTCGCCAGAGCCTCAGCTCGCGCCTGCACCGGCGCGCCACGCCGCAGGCGACTCGAGGAGGGGTGCCGGCGGGAGGCTCGGAGGTCGAGATGGGGCGGCCAAGAGCCACGGCCACGGCGCAGCGGGCGCGCACGGGCATGCAGGGGCGCGCGCAGGAGATGGCGGCGAGTCTGGAGCGGCGCAGGACTGGGCGGCGGTCGTCGGTGCTTCCCGCTCGCCCCTCTCGTCGGCGGCAGGAGGAGGCGCAGCCGGGTCCGGGTTCGCCGCAGGCCTGTCGGGCACGCCAGGCGGGTTCGCCGCCTACGCGTCTACATCGCCCAAGCAGCGGCTCGCCCCACCCGTCGCAGGCTCGTCCGGCCTCACCTACACGCCTTATCCTCCCGTCCCCTCGTCCTCGTCCACCTCGTCCTCCTCTCCCGCCGTCGGCCGCATGCCCGTCATCTCGTCGGCCGCCAACGCCCGCCTGCCCTCGTCCTACCTCCCCGGTGCCAGCCGAGGGCCTCATGCCGCCGCCACGCCGCAGGGCGCCAAGGGCAAGGGCCGCGCCGTCGACCAGGTCCTCGACCTCACGGCCGACGACGGCGACCTCGAGGTGTACGAGCTCAAGCCTCAGCCCGTGTCGGACGACGACGACGTCGTCATCGACGAGTCGCCCGTCTGCCTCGGCGACATCTTCACGTTCGGCCTCGTCCTCAACCGCGTGACCGAGATTGTCGCGCCGCCGCCGCCGCCGACCCAGTTCGCCGACGGCACGCCCGTCGCCGCCGAGCAGCTCATCGCCATGCAGGCCGAGTACGACCGCGCCATGCGGGCCTTCAACTGCCCGCTCCCCGTCCATATCCGGCGCGACAAGCCGACGTACAACCAGGGCCAGTGGCGCGAGATGCTGCGCCTGTACACGCCCGTCCGCCACGAGATGTTCGGGTTCGTCGACTACAAGGCGGCCGACATCCTCGGCCCGCTCCTCGGCGACGGCTGGCACGGCACGGGCATCACCGAGGGCGGCAACGGCAAGCTGTACTGCGAGGCGTTTGTCGAGCGCATGGGCCACAGCAACGTGCGTCGCCACGCTCTCTATCTCTCTCCTCGACGACGAGTTTCGTGACTGACTCGTTCTCGTCACCTGCAGCCCGTCATGATGCGCCTGCGCCTCCTCCTGTTCGCCCGTCCACTCGACGTCCCGCTCGTCGCGACCGCCCTCGAGTCGGCCCACCCGCCCCTGTGGCTCGCGCACCCGGTGCACTACAACCCGTCCGAGCACCACGGCGCGCGGTACGCCAACCCGCACAACCCGGCGCCGGGCGTCGGCGCGCGCGGCGCAGACGCCGAGCGGCGCCGGCAGGCGCTCGTCAGCGGCATGTACGGCGGCGGCGTCGGAGCTGATGCGCAGAGGGTCGTCAAGACGGTCGATGCGCAGCGCGAGCAGGTGCAGAACGTGCTCATGGACCTCAAGAGCGGCGTCGAGATGGAGGAGGTCACGCCTCGTGCGTCCACTCTCTTCTTCTTCTCTCCCCCCTCTTTCTCCTTCTGCAGCCTCGTACTGACGCTCTTCCCTCCCTCAGCACCGATCGTCGCGACCAAGCTCTACCCGCACCAGAAACAGGCGCTCGCCTTCCTCCTCGACCGCGAGACGCTCGTCGAGGTGCCCGAGCGCGACAAGCGCGGCGACAAGCCGACCATGGTCGCCCTGTGGGAGCGCATCTCGGACCCGTACGGCCGGCCCAAGGGCTGGAGGAGCGTCGTCACCGACCTGCAGATCGAGGGCGTCAAGCCGCCACCTCAAGCTCGAGGGTATGTCCGCGACCGTTCCTCCCTCCCTCTCACCCTCCCTCTCCTCCTCTCGCGCCTCTCACTGATGCACGCCCTCCTCGTCTACAGCGCCATCCTCGCCGACGACATGGGCCTCGGCAAGACGATCGTCATCATCTCGCTCGTGTGCACGACCCTGCCCGAGGCGCGTGAGTGGGCCAAGGACCCGCCGACCAAGGACAAGCTCGACCCGCGGTTCGAGGAGAAGCTCAAGGCGGCCGACCTCGCCGGCGCAGGCCGCACCGTCGACGTCAGCCAGTTCAAGTCGCAGCTGTGGGGCATCACGGCGGCCGACGCGGGCGACGGCCCCGGCGGCTCGTCGTCGACGTCGGCGTCGGGCAAGCCCCTGTCGAAGAAGAAGCAGGCCAAGCAGCGCCGCGAGAAGAAGCGCGAGGAGGCGCTCCAGTCGCGGTTCGACAAGCTCGAGGTCCGCTCGCGCGCGACCCTCATCGTGTGCCCGCTGTCGACCGTCCAGAATTGGGAGAGCCAGTTTGAGGAGCACACGGCGCACGTCGACGTCGAGCAGGACGGCGCCGACATCAAGGTCGACGAGGACGGCGGCAAGAGCATCGTCGTCGAGCGCTCGACCAAGGCGGGCAGGGCGGTCCAGCGCAAGATGCGCGTCGCCGACAGCGACGACGACGCCGATGACGCCGACCACGACGACGACGACGAGTCGGACAGCATCAGCGACGGCTCGTCGCCCGAGCCGTCGGCGGGCAGCACGAGTCGGGCCAAGGGCAAGAAGCGCGCCCGGTCGCCGCCGCTCAAGATCTACATCTACCACGGCGCGCAGCGCTGCAGCGACGTTGCGCGCCTCGCCGACCACGACGTCGTCATCACGACCTTCTCGACGGTCGGGACCGAGTTCTCGAAGCAGACGCGCGCCGAGGAGGAGCGCGAGGACGAGGAGGAGAAGCAGGCGCAGAAGGCGCAGGAGGAGGAGGACGGCATCATGCAGGTGTTTGGGTTCGCCGCCGACGGCTCGATCCTCGAGCGGCCGCCGGGCGAACTCGTCGACGACGAGAAGGACAAGAAGGAGGCGGCGGCCAAGGCCAAGGCCAAGAACAAGCGCAAGCGCAAGCGCGTCGAGGGCTCGGGCGTCAGCCCGCTCCAGGCGATCCAGTGGTTCCGGGTCGTACTCGACGAGGCGCAGTGCGGCCCTCTCTCCCTCTCTCTCTCTCTCGCCCTCTCCTTCCTCACCCGAGCCTTACTGACCACTCGCCCTCGTTGCCCTCTCCTCGCGCAGCATCATCAAGGAGCACAAGACGATCCAGGCGCGAGCGGCGTGCGAGCTGTCGACCTCGCGCCGCATCTGCCTGAGCGGCACGCCCCTGCAGAACTCGCTCAACGACATCTTCTCGCTCGTCCGGTTCCTCCGCCTCGAGCCGTTCCTCGACCGCCACGTCTGGAACCAGTACATCGGCGTCCTCGCGCAAAAGGGCGACGAGCTCGGCACCGAGCGGCTCCAGGCCATCATGCGCTACATCGCCCTGCGCCGCACCAAGGACACCAAGGACACGCAGGGCAAGCCCATCCTGTCGCTCCCGCCGATCAACAACGCGCTCGTCCACCTCAAGTTCACCGAGGCCGAGCGCGCCTTCTACGCGAGCCGGCACCAGCGGTACAAGCACGACTTTGCCCAGATGGAGGCCAACGACTCGGTCATGAAGAACTTCTGCTCGATCCTCCAGGAGCTCCTCAAGCTGCGCCAGATCTGCGTCCACCCGGCGCTGCTCCAGGACACCGAGGACCGCTCGAGCGCCAACGGCGGCGACCTCGTCGCGACGATCGAGGCGCACGGCATCTCCAAGTCGCGCGCAATCCAGCTCCTCGCCCTCATGCGCGACGCCGGCGGCGGCGACTGCTCCGAGTGCGGTTGCGCCATGCAGGCCTTCTCGCGCGCCAACGTCGAGGACCTGAACGGCGCCGCCGCCGACGACGACGTCAAGCCCGGCCGCAAACCTCCCGCCAAGCGCGCCCGCAAGACCAAGACGCAGACGGGCGCGACGTCGGTCGCCAACTCGACCGAGGACGACGGCGGCGCGGTCCAGGACGACGTGTCGGCCGTCGTCACCCGGTGCCAGCACGTCTACTGCGCGCCGTGCTTCAAGTTGCGCGTCTGCCCCGAGTGGCCCGACGTCAAGGGCGAGGAGAAGGTCGTGTGCCAGGTGTGCGCCAAGGAGATCCTGCCGGCGCTCGACGCCGTCGAGATCGGGCCGCGCGAGTACCAGAAGGCGCTCGAGCGCTCGGCCGACGAGGGTCTGCCGGCGACGGGCAAGGGCAAGAAGGGTCGCAAAGCCAAGGCGACCCGGCTATTCGAGCACAGCACCAAGACTCGGTCCGTCCTCGTCGACTCTCTCCTCGTCGCCTCGCCGTCTCGCCCGCACTGACCTCGTCTCGCTCGCCTCCTGTCCGCAGCGCCCTCCTCGTCGACCTCCTCCCGTTCTCGCAGGTTAACCCGCACGCCGAGAACTACAACCCGGACTACGTGCCCGAGCCGGCCACGACGATCGGGTTCCAGCCGGTCCAGGGCGAGATCGTCAAGTCGGTCGTCTTCTCGCAGTGGACGACCCTCCTCGACCGCCTCGGCGACGCGCTCGAGGACAACCACATCCAGTACGACCGACTCGACGGCGGCATGAACCGCGAACAGCGCTCGGCGGCCATGGCGGCGTTCAAGGCCGACCCCAAGTGCGAGGTCCTGCTCGTCTCTCTCCGGGCCGGCGGCGTCGGGTGCGTCCCCTCTCTCGCCTTCTCTTCTCTTTCGTGTGACCGACACTGACAAACTTCCTCGTGCGACAGGCTCAACTTGACGGCGGGTCGTCGCGTCTACCTCATGGAGCCGTTCTGGAACCCGGCCGTCGAGGTGCGCCTCTCTCCCCTCTCTCTCTCTCTCTCTCGCACACCCACTGACTCGTCTTTCCTTGACCCGCAGAACCAAGCCGTCGACCGCATCTACCGCCTCGGGCAGACGCACAGCGTGCAGACGGTCCGGTTCGTCATGCAGGACTCGATCGAGACCAACATGCTCAAGATCCAGAAGCGCAAGATGGAGCTCGCGTCGTACGTCCCTCGCTCACCCTCTCTCGTTCTTTAGTGGTGGGACGTCGACACTGACCTCGTTCTTGTCCCGCAGGATGAGCATCGGCCGCACGCTCACCAAGCTCGAGCTGCAGGCGCAGCGCAAGGAGGAGCTGCGCATCCTCCTCGGTTGAGGGCGAGAGGGAGCACGAGGAGGTCATCCAGCACGCCGTGTCTTTGTTGTACTCGTCGTCGCACCGCAACGCTTTTTTCGTTCTTTGCCAAGCTCGGCCGCTCAGGCCCTCGAGAGGCTCTCGCTCTCGTCGCTGCGTCTCTGCTTCACTCGCTTCGCACTTCTGCTCGGTGCGCGCACATAGACTCGGTACAGCTACCTCGCTACAGGTCCGCTGCCCGTCTCTCCTTGAGCTCCCTCGCCCACCGCCAAAACTCGCCGCAGACCAAGTCGCGCTCGCTCTCCCGCCCGTCGACATCGCCGTGCCACAGCACCGTCGTCTGTCGCACGCTGCACGTCGCGACGAACACGGCGACTGCCTCGCCGACACGACGGTCGGCGGCCGCGAGCGCGTCGAGCGAGCGCGGGAGGAGGATCACGCGCTCGTGCGGGTGCCGCTGCGCCTCATCGCGCTCCTCCTCGCCGGCCGCACGCTCGAGTTGCGCGCCGACCTTGCGGAGCATCGTCGTCGCCCTCGCGGCGCCGTCGAGCTGGTGCGCGGCGAGGATGAGGTGTCGCGGGAGGAGCGACACGAGGCTCGACGCGAAGAGGAACGGCGGGTTGACGCTGTCGTGGTGCGCCTGCAGGACCTCGAGGGACAGTCCCGGTGTCTGAACGATGTCGAGCTGGTCGAGGAAGGGGCGGGAGAAGGAGAGGGAGGGTGCGCCGGCGTGGAGGGCCGAGTAGAGGGCGACAAGACGGACCGCCTTGACGGACGGCAAGTACGACGGGTCGAGCCAGGCGGTGAGGAGGGAGGACGGGATGATGGTGCGCTCGAGCCGGAGCTGCTCGAGCTGAGGGAGGTGGACGGGCGACGAATCGCCGAGGTCGACGTTCGTGAGGACGAGTCGGCGAAGGCCTGCGAGAGGTCCGAGCGCCGTGAGTGTTCGCCTGTGAGGCTCTGAAAGAGGAGGGAGCTCGACGACGCACCGACGTGGACGCCCAAGAGCGTCAAGTCGAGCGCCGACCGCACGCACTCGATCCGGATCTCCTCGACGGCAGGAAAGCACCTCGCCGCCTCTGCGCCCTCGTTGGGCGACACCGGCTCGCCCTCATCCGACCTCGCGCCCGCCGTCGACACACGAAACAGCCTGGTCGCCCTCGCGACCGCCTGTCGGTCCTGGTCCTCGGCGCGCGTGAGCCGCTCGAGGTGCGCGCGGCGCGAGCTGCGCAGGTCCTCCCACAGGAGCGGGCGCGCGAGGCGCGAGTACCGCCGCGCGACGCGCGACAGGACGCTGAGCGTCTTCTGGCGGGCGTCGTACTCGTCGGCCGTGTGCGCAGGGGTTGCGATCGCCTCGAAGACGAGGAGGAGGAGCTCGTCGGGGATGGCGCCGTTGTGCATGCTTGCAGTGCGAGGCGCGCGGGCTCGGGTAGGGGAGTGAGAGGCCTTCTCGAGGCGCGAGCGTGGAAGGGGAAGAGAGAGCGAGAGCGAGACGGCAAGAGCGAGCCGAGAGAACGACGGCGCACGCACCCTCGGTCGGCGTGCGCAAGAAATGGGATCTGCTCCGGGCTGCTCATTGATCGGCTCGGACAGTCCGCGCCAGGGACACTCCTGTGCCCATCAGCTGAGCCCAATTGAGAGGAGAGCAGACGCCGAGCGGCGACTCGCCGAAGCTACGGAAGGCCCGGGCTTCGCAACTTGAGAAGGTCAAAGCGGGCGTCGAGCTTCCTCTCTCTTCTCGTCGCAGAGATGGGTCACGAGGCTAGACAAAGTCGCATTGCAAGAGGAACGACGAGAAAGAAAAGGGCAAGAGAAGGAGCTAGACCTCGCCCGCCGCCCTGAGCCGCTTGGCGTAATCCCAGAATCCAAAGTCAAGCTGGCCGCCCACCATCGTCCTCGGGTCCTCGGCGTCGCCGACGAACCGCCCGGGAATGCCCGCCGCCCTCGCAGCGTCGCACAGGTTGGCCCAGGCGGCGCACAGGCCGACGTCGTCCGAGGGCGAGCCGATGGACGTCGGGTCGCGCGGGAGCCAGACGGACTTGACGTTGCCCGCCTTGATGCCGCGCGCAAGGTTGTCGAGGGACGTCGAGATGTTGGCGGAAGAGCGGTCGAGGAAGACGCGACAGATCGACACGTGGCGAGCGAGGGCCTCGAGAGCGAGAGGACGGGCGCCGGCGTTGAGGATGACGCTGGCGAGGAAGGGGACCTTGTCGCGCGGGGCGAGCCTGACCAAAGGGACCCGACGCTGGCCTGGAACATGTCGAGCTGGGCGAACAGGTGGTCGGGCATGCCGATCGCCGGCATCCACCACAAGTCGGCGGCGAGCGCGCGCAGGCTCGGCATGAGCCCGGGCACGTGGTACAGGCACTCGAGGAACGCAGAGAAGCCCGAACCGACGAGGTCGAGAGACGCGGTCGTGCGGAGGCAGCTGGCGCGAGGCATGCTCGAGTCGCGAGGGAGGTGCAGGACGCCGAGGTGCTCGAGGTCTGCGAGCGCGACGACGTGAGCCATTGGTCGTCGGGGTGTAGAGAGGCTGCAGGAGGGGGACGCACTGGTCGACTCGATGTTGTCGAAGAGCGCGACAGGCTGGAACCGCCGGCCCTCGCTGTCGGTGTCGTGCACGACCTGGACGCGGCGCGCGGCGGCCATGTGCTTGAGGACGGGCGTGTAGGCCAAGTAGGCCTCCTCGCGTGCGACCTTGGTGAAGGCGAGCGAGACGACACGGGTATAGTGGCCGAGCTGCCTTGCCGCCTCGACGAACGCCTGGCCGTCGCCGGTGCCGTCGACCTCGAACGCGACCGTGTGCCACAGGAGCGGCTGGGCGACCTGGTGGAACCGGCGCGAGGCGAGGCAGACGCTGTAGAGCGGGTGCTGCTTGGTGTCGGTGCCGACGAGGTTCGAGAAGATCTTGTCGAGGAGCTCGTCGGGGAGCGAGTTGGCCGCGGACGTCGAGGCGGCGGGCGCGGCGCTGGTGGTGCTCGGCGTCGACATGGTGCGCGAGATCGGCAGTCGCTGTGCTCAAGAGCTGGTGGAGCGAGAGGCGAGGAGGAGGCGAGCGAGCTCGGCGTCCCTTGAGGAGACGCACGCGCCGCGGAGACGAGGCCCGGGCTCCGGTCCGGCCACGAGTCGCTTGCGAGAGCAGAGCTCTGTCTCGGCGGTAAAGCAAGCCGCACGTCGATGCAAGCTTGCTCCCACGAGCGGGAAGCGAGGAGGAGGAGCAGGAGCAAGGGAAGAGGAGGGGAGCGGTTCGCCGCTGCGCGTACAGCTGGCGTCCTTGGTCCTGCACTGCACGCTGACAAGCCCATACCGGCGACAAGGGCGCTGCGAGGTTGACAGAGGCGAGCGAGTCTCGGCCGCTTCCGAGCTTGTTCGACCTCTCCACACACCGCCATGGCTCCCAACGCCCGCAAGCGCCACGCCGACTCGCAGAACAACAAGGTGCGCCTCTCACTGCCCTCTGTGCGAGATCCCAGCTCACCCTGTCCCGTTGCCGCCGCAGGGGAGCAAGCGCCGCCGACCTCACGCTGATGGCGACGAACAAGACCCGGCCGCAACAGAGGCCGCACTAAAGGCCTACATGGTGCGCCCACTCTCTCCCAATCGGCTCTCGCAGCGCTGACAGGCCCTCGAACGCGCGCAGCACCACGCCGTGCGCCTCGTCCACAAGGCCGTCAAGAAGGCCAAGACGTTCGAGCTCCAGAAACTCACCCGCAAGCTCAAGCAGACCCGGTCCGTCCATCTCACTGCCACCTCCTGTACCGCAGAAACTGACCACAAGCGAGCGGTCCCCGCAGGGAGCCCAAGGAGGGAGCTCAAGTCGACGCCGCCCTCCTCGCCGACCTCGAGGCGCAACTCGCTGCTCTCAAGGTGCGCCCAAGCTCTCTTTCCTGCCCTCAGGACCTAAACCGACCCTTCTGAGCGGCCCCCAGACCCTCGACCTCGACCCCATCCCCACGCACCTCCTCACCACCCGCCTCTCCAAGCTCCACTCGCTGCGCGCCTCGCCCCTCCTCCCCGTCCTCCTCGCCACCCTGCCCGCCCCGAAATTCCCCTGGGCCGAGCTCGACCCGCACAGCGCACCGTCCAAGGCGCGCAACCGCGTCCTCGCGCACAAGGCGATCGGCGACAGCTGGGACGAGGTGAGCCGCGCCGTGCGCAAGCGGCTCGGCGAGGACGTCGACGCCAAGGGCGCCGGGAACAAGGTCGAGATGAAGAAGGGCATCACGATGGACCCGGGGCGGCAGGCGGCGATCGAGGCGGCGTTCCTTGGCGGCGAGACCGGCGGAGCGGGCGAGGGAGACGCGGAGGGGGCGGCGAGCAGCGAGGACGAGGGGCCTGCGGCGGGCCTGTCGGACGACGAGGGCCCCGTCGCGGGCAGCGAGGACGAGGACGACGAGGACGAGATCCGGCGCGAGCTCGCTGCGCTCGAGGAGGGCGTCGGGAGCGAGGGCGAGTGGTCCGGCTCCGACTCGGACGACGACGACGGCTTCGCCGCCGCCCCTTCCACCTCCACCTCCACCAAGCCCCTCAAGCGCCGCCAGCTCTCCCTCTCTCCCTCCCCTCCACCCGCCGCCAAGAAGGCGCGCGCGCTCGCGCCGCCCTCCAAGCCCATCACGTCGTCGTCGTTCCTGCCCTCGCTCAACGCGGGCTACGTCTCGTACTCGGACTCGGACGGCGAGGACGCCAAGTGGGTCAAGGACGCCGAGCGCGAGGACCGCAAGGAGGCTGGCGGGCGCAAGAACCGCCGAGGACAGCGCGCGAGGCAGGCGTGCGTCCACCTTTTCTCTCTCCCTCTCTCTCTCTTGCCTCAAAGCGCACGCGACTGACGCAGAATCACGTGCGGCGCAGCATCTGGGAGAAGAAGTACGGCACGGCGGCCAACCACGTCGTCAAGCAGACGGGCGGCACGCTCGTCCCGCTCGCAAAGATCAAGGACGACAAGGCGGCCCGCGCGGCACGTCGCGCCGCCGCGGCCGCACGAGGCGACGCGCCCCCTGCTGCTGCTGCTGGAGGTGGCGGCGAGGCGGCGCCCGAGCGCAGGAGGCGCGAGTTTGAGCCGCCCAAGGCCGACCTCGGGTGGAAGGCGCGCTCGGGCCCGTCGTCCTCCTCGGCGGCGGCGACGAACAACGCCGCCGCTCCGAGGCCCGCAGCAGGAGCCGGCGGCAAGCCCGCCGAGAAGATGCACCCGTCGTGGGAGGCCAAGCGCAAGCAGGCCGAGGCGCTCAAGCAGGTGTCGGCGCTCAAGCCTCAGGGCAAGAAGATCACGTTCGACTGAGCGCGCGCTCTGCAACGACGATGGCCTTTCTTCCACTCCTCTCTCGAGCATCGAGTTGAGCCGAGAGAGCGCGAGAGAGAGAGAGAGACCAAGAGAAAGTGTGCCTTGCGAGGGTGCGAGTGAGGGTGACCAGAAACTGAAAGTGACAAGGAGATCTATCGACGAGAAAACGCTGCGCTCGACCTCGCTCAGATCGAGTTCCTCCGGATGCTCTGTCCGCGCTTCTGCTTCTTGACAGGCTCGCCGTCGCCCTCCATGCCGGTCGGGAGCTCGCCCTTGTCGCGCCACTCGTCGAGGAGCTCGTTGGCAAACTCGAGGCCGGCGCCGAGGATCTCGGGGAACCGCTTGAACTCCATCGTGCCAAACTGGGTGACGGGCATGCGCATGTAGAGGACGCCCGGGGTCGCCTTGGCCTCCTCGAGCGTCTTGACCGACGAGACGCTGCGCGAGGGCGGGACGATGACGCGGGTCAGTCAGGGCGTGCTCGGGCTCGCTCGTCGTCGGCCGCCGAGAGAAAGAGAGAGTGAAGGAGGAGGACGCACTAGGTGAGGCGAGCCTGGATCTCGGTGATGCTCGGCACGTTGGGCGCCTTGCCGAACGGGTTCCACCGCTGGATGAGCAGCCACCATCCGCTGACGCTCTCGCCATAGTTGCGCGGGCTCGTGTCGTCGACGCTCCCGACGTCGACCGCGAACACGCTCGCGGCGCCCTGGGCGAGCATGACCGAGACGGGCAGGTTGTCGACGTAGCCGCCGTCGACGAGCATGTCGCCCTCGTCGCACAGCGGCGGGAGCAGGCCTGCGAGCGACATGGACGCCCGGACGTAGCGCCAGGCGTAGCCCGACGTGTGGACGTCCATGCGCGAGTGCGTGATGTTGGTCGTGTTGCAGAAGAAGGGGATCCACCTGCGTTCGGCGTCTACAGGGTCAGTACGGCGACGACGAGCTCAAGGTGGAGCGAGAGAGGGGACTGTCGACGCACATGTCCTCGATGTGGGTGCCGTAGAACGACTTGTAGATGCCGCGGTTGAACTCGTGACCTGCAGCGACGCGAGAGAGCGAAGTCAGGGTCGGCGGCGAGAGCGACAACGACGACGCGAGAGGAGAGAGGGGGGCGCACCGGTCGTGTAGGCGACGACAGGGTACGTCAGGTCGGTGAGGATGCGCCACAGGGTCGACATGCGCCCGCTGAACCGCTTGGCGCGCCCGTACGCCGAGACGAGGTCGCCCTCGCGCGCGTACAGCCCGCCGACGAACGCGCCGATCGACGTCCCGCCGACCATGTCGATCGGGATGCTGCGCTCCTGCAGCGCCTGGAGCGCGCCGAGGTGCGAGATGCCGCGAGCGCCGCCGCCGCCGAGGACGAGTCCGATCGACTTGCCGCACAGGCGGCGCGCGAGGCGCGCAAAGTCGCTCTGCGCCGGCGCACGGGACGGCGCAGGACGTGGGCCGACCTTCTTGTACTTGTTGATCTGGAGCTCGACGCGGGCGGCGATCTTGCGCAGGGCGACGACGGCGGCCGGGTCGTCGACGGACGAGCGGTCGACCTCGGGCGTCGCGCCGAGCATCTCGACGTGGTGGTGCGCATGGACCCAGGACCGGTTCTGCGAGCACGGTGACGAGAGAGTGAGTCAGGCGAGGCCATAGAAGAAGGAGGTCGAGAGAGCGCGAGACGGACCTTGAGCCAGCGACGGGTCGTTCCGGGGACGACGTTGCGCTCGGCGTGGAGGAGGACGAGCTCCTTGCGCGCCGTCGTCTTCATGCCAACGAGGAGCTTCTCGTGCTCGCCGAGTTCCGGGTCGGCGCCGCCGTCGGCGACGACCATGATGCAGTCGGCCTGGCGGATGCACGTCTGGGTCCACGGCGCCGAGACGGCCGTGTCGGCGACGTACAGGATGATGCGGTACTTCTGCTCGGTCTCGGCGAGCCACCCGGCGAGCTTGAGCTGGCCCATGCGGCTGAAGGCGTGTCGGCCGAGGACCTGCATGACGGTCGCCTGGTTGAGGTACGAGGTCGGGGCGCCGATCGACTCGAGCGCCTGGTGCAGCTTGATCGCGAACTCGGAGATGGGCACGTGGCGGTTGGTCGGGATGATGGCGACGGTCTGTGAGGAGCGCGAGTGTCAGGACGGGGACTTCCAACACGAAGGGCGCTCGGTCGGGGCTCGACCGCGCCGAGCGCCCGCAGAAGGAGGACGGTCCTGACGCACCTTGAGGTTGAAGTTGTTCTTGCCCATGCTGCCGTCGCCCATGCCGGGCGCGCCGAGCTCCTTGGGCAGGCCGCCGACCATCCTCGCCTCGCGCGCGACCTGGCTCCTCAGCCTCGCGGCGATGATGCGGCTGATCTGGATCGTGACGAGCGGGTGGCGGACCGAGATTGCGTTGAAGAGCGTCATGGGCATGCGCGCAAGCTCGGTGTCGCGGATGGCGTGAAGCGTCGACGGGCGCGGCGAGGCCGTGATGCAGTCGAGCTCGCCGACCGACTCGCCTTGACCGTGCTCGGCCTGGATCGAGACGCCGCCGCCTTGACGGTCGACGATGGAGCGCAGGCGACCGTTGATGACCTGTCGCAGCGAGAAGGAGAGAGAGAGAGTCAGGATGGCGCGAAAGAGAGGCTCGTGCGCGACGAGCGGGACGCACGATGTAGAACGAGTCGGCGTCGTCGTCTTGGCGGTAGATAACCTGGCCGGCGCTCACGTGCATCCAGTCGAGCGCACTGTCGATGTGGAGGACTGTGGCGAGGAAGCGACGGAGTCAGTCTCGGTCCCGGCGAGCGAGGAGGAAGGGAGGGACTGAGGGACGCACCGAGCGGCGACAAGAGGCTGATGAGGCGCTTGGCGAGCGTGAGGAGGACGATGGGCTTGCGGTCCATGATGCGCTCGAGGGCTTTGGCGGGCAGGAAGCCGACATAGCACTCGGTCTTGGCGACGATGTCGACGTACGAAGGGAAGCCCGACAGGGACGACAGGTAGCCGGCGATGCCGCCAGGGCGGACCGTGAACAGCGGGATCGACTTGGGCTTGGGCGGTGGTGCAGGTGGGACGGTAGAGGCGGCGGGCGCAGGCTTGCGCGTCGTGGTCGGACCCGTCGCGCCGACGCCGCCGCCCGAGCGAGTCGTCGAGCTCGGCTTGGCGCCGCCCATGGGCTGGCTCGTCGTCGTCGGGCCCTTCTTGACGCCCGCGGAAGCCGCCTTGTTGGCGTCGTCGCGGCGCTGCTCGGCGGTGCGGCCCTTGGACGACAGGGTCGACTCGGCCTCGGGCATGCTGACGTCGAGGAAGCCCTCGATGACAAAGTACAGGCCGGCGTTTCGCTCGCCCTCCTTGACGAGGACGCTCCCCTTGGGAAAGTACAGGATCTCGACCTCGTTCTCGAGGTCCATGCTCGCAAAGCTCTGCGCGCCGCCGTGTCCGCCGTGCGTCCCGAGGGCCGACAGCGCCGACGCCGACGCCGACGACACGGACGACTCGTCGTCGTGGAGCCCTTGCAGGCCGAGGAACGACAGCGAGCCGAACGACGAGTTGAACGCGGCCTGGTCGCGCAGGCCGCTTGGGCGCGAGTGGTGCTCGGTCGCGCGCACGAGCGGCGACGCCTCGACCGACGACGCGGCGACGTGCGGCTGGACGAGGCCGATCGCCTTCGAGATCGACTCCATGACGGCGCCGCGCAGGTCGAACTCGGTCCCCTCGCCCGAGCTCGTCGTGCCTCCTCCTGCTCCTCCTCCCGCCCCGCCGCCGCCGCCGACCGCCGTCGACTTGAGGCGCTCGAGCCTCGGCGTCTGGACGACGGGGCTCCCGACGCCGCGCAGGCCGTCCGTGACGGCGCTCATCGTGAGCAGGTCGCCCGCCTTGCGCGTCAAGGTCGGGCCGGGCCCGGCCGCCGCTTTGGCCGAGGCGGCAGGCCCGTTCACGGCGCGCCGACTCGCCGCCGCCGCCGAGGACGAGGACGACGCGGCGACGAGGCCGGGCGTCGTCGTGCGGAAGCGCATGCGGACGCCCTCGTCGCGCTGCGACGAGTCGTCGTCGGACCAGAAGACGTCGCCCATGCGCGGACCGGCGTACGGCGTCTCGAGCGGCACGTTGGAGCGCCGTCCTGCGCCGCCTGCGACTGCTCGACGACCTTTGGCGCCTGCTGCTGCTGCTGCACCGCCACCGCCGCCGCCACCGCTGCGCGCCCCGCCGCGCTTGCCGCCCGAACCCGCGCTCGCGAGCCGGCGGCCGATCGAGAAGTAGTCGTCGTGCTCGCCCTCGTCGCCGCTGTCGCCGTCGGCGCCGGGCCCGTTGAGCTTGGTCTCGGGGACGAAGCGGGCTCGGAGGCGCTGGATGCCGCCCGACTCCCAGAAGGCCGAGGGCAGAGGGTAGCACGCGAGGTCGTTGATGGCCTGCTCGGTGCGGATGACCTCGCGCGTGAGGCCGAGGTACTTGTGCGCCGTGAGAAAGGTGACGCGTTGGAGGCGGGTGAGGATGACCTGGACGATGTGCCTGCGGGAAGGAGCTCGAGTCAATGCGCGTTCTCTGCAAACGGGACGGAGAAGCAGAGGCCGGCGCGAGCAGGGCTCGTCGTCGCCCTCAAGCGTGACGAAAACAGACAGCGGGACTCACGCTGCCGCGTTGGGGAACTTCTTGGTCAACCTCCTGAACGCCTCGGCCGGGATGACGGCGAGCGTCGTGTCGGTCGCCGCCCTCGCGATGGTCGCCTCGCCCTGCCCGACGCCCTCGCCGCCGAGCTTGCCGCCGCCGAGCCCACCACCGCCACCGAGCGTGCGCGACGACTGCTTGCGGGCGGCGTAGGGCGGATGGCGTGCGGCGAGCGAGGGCCGGTGCGGGAGCGCCGTCGGGCGCGACAGGGACGGGCGGCGCGTGCCGCCGGCGCTCGCGCTGCCGAGCGTCGACAGGGTCGGCATCGCGCGGCGCGAGGTGCGCGACAAGCGGCTCGTCGTGCTCGCCGGCGGCGACGTCGCGGCGGTCGTCGTGGCGCCCGTCGTCGCGCTCGGGAGGAAGAACGACCCTTGCTCGCTTGCGGGCGAACGGATGCCCGACGGCGTCGTCGCGTTCGAGCGCGAGTCCGAGGGCGCGATGGACGAGTCGAGCGCGTCCGAGTCGAGGCCGTGGTCGTGCTCGTGCTCGCGCTCGGTCGTGGCCGCGTCCTCGTCGTCGGCGTCCTCGGTGTCGGACTGGCGGACGGCGGGCGCGCCGGGAAAGCCCGGCCGCTTGACCTTGTCAAAGTCGAGGTCGAACGCGGCGACGTCGGCGTCGGGGCGGTGGTGCGGGCCCATGCCGTCGTCGGACGAGTCGTCGCCCGGCTGGCCGTCCTCCTCGTACCGGAGCTTGACGTCCTCGGTGAACAGGCTCAGAATCGTAAACAGGCTCGACAGGGTCCCGCCGCTCTCGACGTTGTTGAGGAGCTGCCACCCTTTGCCGCCCTCGTCATCGTCGGTCGCGTAGCCGTCGTCGGCCGGCGACGCCGACGAGCCGCCCGTCTTGTCCGACGGGTTGCGCGCGTACACCTCGACGCTGCCGTCGACGACGATGTAGAACGACTTGTCCTTGGCGAGGTCGAGCGTGTCGCCGGCGACGAGTCGGCGCGTCTGGAGGTGCCGAGCGAGCTCGTGGAAGACCTGTGGGAGCGAGAGGTCAGGTCGAGCGCGCGGGAGATGAGAGAGAGAGAGAGACGCACCGGCTTCTCGAGGTAGCCAAAGACCTTGATGGCGGACACTGCAGGGAGGCGAGAGAGGGTCAGCTCGCGAGTCGAGCGAGAGGAGGAAGAGGTCGACGCACAGAACTCGTCGAGGTAGTTGTGGAAGCCGTTCGGGGCCTGGTCGGTGGCCAGGTCGGGATGCCTGCGGGTGCGCATCGTGCTCGTCAGTTGAGTGAGATCGAGGAGGACAAGCCTCGGTGCGCTCGTCGGGTGCTCGCTCCGCCTGCCCCCACATGGAGGCGCTCGCGTCACCTCGGTGCGGGCACCTGGCCGAGCGGCGCGTCGGCGACCTCGACGACGAGGCGCAGTACATCGAGAGGAGAGAGGGGGAGGGAACGAGAGAGAGTGGACGCACAGGTCAAAGCCCTCGTCGCCCTTGATGCGGCTGCCGCCGGGCAAGTCGCGCAGCTGGGTGTAGCGGTTGAGGTACCGGACCTTGTAGATCCAGCTGACGATCGTGGTAAGGATGAGGAGGAAGGCGAGGATCTTGACGAACGTGAGGTGGAAGGTGAGGGACGCCGAGTAGTGGAGGAGAGAGAAGAGGGCGGTCGGGACGGTGAGGGTCGCGAACGCGAGAACGCGGGTCGACTGTCGCGCGAGGGGCAGGGTCAGGTGTGCTCGATGTGTGAGAGCTCTAGGGAGAGTGTGCGCACCCAGGCGATGCCCGTGTGGAGAGCCCAGACGACGAAGCGCGACACGAGGTTGAACAGGACCTCGAGGTCGTGCGCGAGAGACGCGGGCGCCGCAGAGTCCATGGCGGGCTCGCGTGGGCTTGTAAGAGCGCCTCTGAGCTGCAGCTGGGGCAGTCTGAGCTGAAGCGAGTGAGGAGGAGGCGAGAGAGCGAGAGCCATCTCCCCTCGGCGTCATTCGACACGCGCCCACCACGACCACTCGCTCGGCTGAGTCTGTCAAGTGTGCTCAGCTGCAAAGCCTTCTCTGGGACCACGCCTGTCTCGTCTGCCAGCCGCCCCGAGTCGCCGTCGTTCAGCGTCATCTTCATCGCTCGCCGTCAACGCGACCCGGAACTACGAGCTTCATCCTCGCTCGGCAGGTCCAGATACATCTTCTGTGCGTCCCATGCCCTTGTCTCTCTCCTGTGCACCCCCGTGCGTGCCCCCTTGCGGTGGGAGCGGCGGCTGGCGACGAGGTGCCGGCTCACTCGTGGGGAAGGGTCGCAGCAGGTCGCGCAGCAGCGCAGGACCGATACTGACTAGCCCTTGCTCCTTCACAGTCATCTAGCTTGCGTCCTGCTAGGCAGCAAGTCGGCCCCGTCCTTCATCGAGGTGCGTCCTCCCTCTCGTCTCTCCCTCTCCTCGCCCTCGAGTTCTCGTGCTGACGACCCCTCTCGCGCCGTCTCCCTTGCAGCTCTGCATCTTCTACTATCTGTCGCACATCATGGCCGATCGGCTTCCGGACGAGCTCATCGTCGCCATCCTTGAGGAGCTTGCCGCGTCCCGCGTCGGCGGCAACAGCGAGGAGCAGGTCGAGGACAAGGACGTGCAGCGCGCGCTCGCATACCTATGTCGAACGTCGCACCGGTTCCGTCGACTCGCGCAACCCGTCTTATGGCAGCGTGTCGTCCTCGGCGACGGCGCGCGGCTGGACAAGCTGCTTCGCCACGGTGCGCCTGCGTCGCTCGGCCACTTCACCGAGCAGTTCGTCATCAAGCCAGATGTCAGCATCAGCAGTGGCAGGACGGTGTTCGAGTGCCGCAAGGGCGTGTCCATCGCCACTGTTTGTCCAAAGGTCGTCGAGCTCGTCGTCAACCTCTTCAACCCGCGGTTCTTCTTGGCCTCGCTCGACCACCGACTCGTTGCGTCCCACAAGTGTGCGCTCACCTTTCCCTCGCTCCTTCGCGACCCCCACTGACGCATTCCGTCTCTCAGACCTACGCCGGCTGTCCCTCGTCCACCTCGAGATCACCGACCACCCCTTGCCGAGCCTCGCCCACCTCGAGGAGCTCAGCGTCACGCACTGCAAAGCCAAGCCCGACATCATCCGCAACTGGATTGCGCCCCTGCACATGCCTTCGCTGCGCGTCATGCACATCGCCAGCATATTGTCGGACGTGGAGTATGCCCCGCTCGACATCCTCCTCGACAACTCGATCATCGCTCAAGTCGATGTCATGCGCATCCACTGCAGAGTGCTCAGCCTCAGTCACGAGACTCCCGAGCTGGCGAGGTCCACGTCGCCGCCTGTACTGGTGGATCACGCCGTCGGCCGCAGCGCCCTGAACCGCCATGAGCTCTGTTTCAAGCCAAGCGCCGAGCAGATCGAGTACCACCGCTACTATAGCCTCGACGACACCCTCCAGTTCCTGAGAAATGACCCGACTGCCGGGTCCGTCGTCCTCGTCTTTCCTCGGTCCTTCCTCGCCCTCGCGCGTACCTCGGTCGACTTTGCCGCCGCCCTTGTCGACGTCGAGGCGCAGTGCGCGATCAAGGGCGCGCGCATCAGCTGGTATAACGACGACGACCCGTTCTCGATCGTTCCTCGCGAGTTCGTACAGTACGCGCGCGAGCTCAAGGCGGCGAGACGGGCGCGCGAGGAGAAGGGCGGCCGGGCCTGAGCGGACCGAGGAGGGGAGCTTCAGCTTGAATTGCGCATTCCAGTCGTCGACGTCGAGCGGTTCTCGCAGTCGAGAGAGGCTTTGCGTGCGTGCGTCGAGCCTTGCGTCGCGCAGGAAGCGAGGAGGGAGCTGAGAGGACAAAGCCTTTGCGCCGGGCGACGTCGGCATCGGGCGAGCTTCCGGACTCTCTGTGATAGCTTCATACGCCCTGCTGGCAAGTCTGCAGCCTGCTCGAGAGGGTTTGAGCACGACGCGAGCCTCGTCGGCCGGGAGGAGGCGGTTCGGCCCTTGTCCTCTCCCTCTCTCGACCCACCCGCTCAGGCGATGGCCAGCGCACCGCCACAGCTCACAAGAACCTCGAGCGAGCCACCCACTCTACCGCCGCTCGCCCTGAGCCCGCCCTCGTCCCCTGTCCTCACCTCGTCCCCCCACACCTTTCCGCCCCGGCAAGACGACGTCGACTACGACGGCAACGAGATCGGCGTGGCGATGGGAGGCGACACGGTGCCACCTGCTGCTACCGTGCGGCTGAGTGTCCTGCGCCGCATGTGGGCTGCGACCGGCGAGCTCCGTGCGTCCCTCTCGTCCCCCCTCCCCCCTCCGACCACCGAGGACGAGGCGGTGCAGTCCTCCGTACCTTGGACGGACCTCACTGACAGCCTACTCGCCTGCAGAGGGTCTTCGTCGTGCTCGACTCGCCTTCTTTGGCATCGTCGGGCTCGCCCAGGTCGTCGCCTTCACCGTCATCTGCGCAACCTCGTACCACGACCAGTGCGACGTCCCGCTCGGCCCGTACTTGGTCATGGTCATCGTCCGCATCGTCTGCGCCTTCCCTCGTGCGTCCACGCTCTCTCGACCTACACCCCCGAGCGAGCGAGCGAGCTGACCTTCTCTCGAACGTGCGTCCGCAGCCTACTTCTGGCTCACCATCTCGCCGCCTCGACCCGACCGCCGCAACCCGGACGCCGTGCGCGCCGCGCTCGCCCAGTCACGCCACGTCGGTTCGCTCGCCGTCGACTATCGCGTGCGGCGCCTCGCCGACCTCATCTCGATCTACTCGGTCGTCGTCTTTGTCGCCGGCAACTGGTGGGTCATCTCGAGCACGTCGTGCCCGGCCGACTCGCCAACCCTGTACCGCGGCGCCGTCGCCGCACTCGTCTTCAGCTGGCTGTACGTCGCCGAGATCCTCGTGTGGGCGACCCTCGTCATCTTCTTCCTCCCCTTCCTCCTCGTGCGTCGAGCCTTTCTCTCTCTCTCGCCTCGCAGGCATCCTCGTGACGCTCCCGTGGCTGAGCTGTTTGACCTGAATCGTACAGATCGGCGTGCGCTGGTTCGGCATGGGCCAGAAGAAGAACGAGGTCGGCCCGCTCAAGAAGGAGGACGTCGCGAGCCTGCCCCAGCGCGTCTTCCTGTGCGTCACACCGCCTCTCTTCCTCCTTTCGAGCCCTCCGTCGAGGGCTTCGGCTGTGAGGTGCACGGCCGGTGCGTGCTGGCGTCCCTGACAGTCCCACTCGTCCGCAGCGGCATCATCCCCGACGAGGGTCCTCCGCCGAGCGCCGCATCCGCGTCGCCTGCCCTTGCCGATCCCGCCTCTCCCACTCCTTCTCCCGCCACACCAAACCCCCCTCCTTCACCCTCACCGGCCCCACCCGCCGCTCCTCGCCGCCAGTTCTGGCGCCTCTGGCGTCGTCGCGCCAAGAGTCGTCCGTCGGACAGGGCAGCGGGCAGCGGCGCACAGTCGAGCGGGAGCGCAGGCGTGGCGGACGGCGAGCGGGCGCCGCTGCCCGAGGGGGTTGAGGGGCTGAGGCTGCCCGAGTCGCAGGCGGCGTGCGCGATTTGTCTGTGCGGTGCGTCCCTCTCGCCCTCTCTCTCTCTCTTTCCTCCCCTTCCCTCTCTCGATGCCTCGACACGCTCGACCCTCTCGAGCAGCACGACATTGACTCTCCCTCTTGCCCGCAGAGTACGAGCCCCCTCCCCTTCTCTCCTCGCCCGAGGCCGCCACCTGGCAGCCCGAGCGCCTCATCCTCCTCCCCTGCGCCCACACCTTCCACACCGAGTGCCTCGGCGACTGGCTCGCCGTCTCAGGACGGGTGCGTCGCGCCTCTTTCGCTCGTGCGCGTTGAGATCTCTCTTTGCGAGGGACGATCACTGACTCGCTTTTCTGGACGCCGGCCCGACAGTGCCCGCTCTGCCAACGCGACCTGCACGCGCCCAAGAAGAGGGGCCGCCAAGCGCTTCGCCGAGGAGGAGGAGGAGGGAGCGACGGCGACGTGCGCGAGGTGGCGTCCGAGATTGGCGCGCCGACGGCGGATGAGCGGGTCTGAGCACTCGAGTGCGGGCTCTTGATGGGCTTCTGTAGCTTTCCCTCTCCCCTCCTTTACTTTGCCCATAGGGTCGATGTTGTATCTGTGCTCGTTGCGCCGTCTCGTTCGCGAGCTGAGAGAGGACTCGAGGCTGCAAGATCGGAGCGAGTAAGAGAGAAGGAGTCGAGCACGGCCGGGCACTTGCGACAGACTCAGAGTCAGACGACTGATTGCAAGATCTACGGCAGCGAGAGTGAGAGAGAGGCGAGACGTGTAGTGCTGCTGCGCGACGAAGGGCAAGGGGGAGGAAGGCGCTCGAGCCGGCTCGAGCGCCGGTAAGAGGTGGCTCTACAGCCTCGCCGCTTCGGCGAGCGAGCGGTGCAAGAACTGGCTGACGATGCGCGCGACGATCCCGCCCTCGGCCATCGACAGGATGTTGTGCGCGTCGGCGACCGTGACGCACTGAGCGCCGTTGCGGGCGTTTGGGAAGGCGCTGTTTGTCGTCGGTCGAGGGGGGAGCGTCAAGGTTCTGCGCGCTCGTCGCGTCGCGAGAGAGAGGGAGAGTGAGAGCGTCCGACGCACCAGACCCATTCCTCGCACGCCGCGTCGGGGCACACGATGCTGTCGGCGCCGCCGCGCAGGCAGAGCACCGGCGCACGGACCTTCTCGAGTTGCTCGGTCGGGATGCGCTTGCGCTCGTAGATGAACGAGAACAGGAACCGGAACTCGTACGAGGGTCGACCGGTGCCGTCTGTGGTACGAGGGGAAGGAAGAGGAGCGTGAGCTTGCGGGAGAGGAAGGAGGAGGGGAGGAGGAGAGGGCTCTCGAGCGGGCGAGGGCGACGCACATCGCTGCTGAAAGTATTCGCCGAGCATCTTGCGGTCTTCTCTCAGGCGCTCCGTGTCGCCGAGGAAGTAGATCGTGATCTCCTCGAGCGCGTCGGCAGGAAAAGTGCCCGAGCGGTCGCCGCGCTCGTCGAGGCAGTTGACGCTCATGGCCTCCTTGATCTCGTGCAGCGAGGCAGCGACGTCTGCCGACCTGTAGACGTCGAGCGAGAGCGTGCTGGTCAGGTACGGCGCGAGAAAACCGAGAAAGCGAGAGGGACGCACTCGACGGGCCAGCCGGGTGAGGCGAGCACGAGCCCCTGTACCTGCTCGACGCGCTTGGCGGCGATCCAGGCCGCAATGTTGGCGCCGTGCGGACCCTCGCCGTAGATGCTGTACGTCGAGAGCTGCAGCTCGTCCTGTTTGGCCGTCGGCGAGCGACACGTCAGCAACGCTGGAGGACCGGCTCGAGCGCAGAGAGACGTGACGCATACGAGGATACGGATGACGGCCTTGGCGCTGTCCTCGAGCGTGTGCTCTGTCCTGTACGTCGAGCGCGAGAAACCATGCAGAGGGCAATCGATCGCGACGAGATTGAACCGCTCGCGCAGACGAGGGTCGGCGAGTTGTCGCGCGAAGCCGAGCGCGGTGCCGCCGGCTGCGACAGGCGTATTATCAGTGAATGATCGTGACGGTCGACCGAGAGATTCGAGGAAGCAGGACGAACAGACGTGCAGGAAGACGAGCGCAGGAAGGCCTGGCTTGAGCGGCTGAGCGGCCGGCAAGCAGTCTGGCGACGCGACCGCAAGTTCTGCTGGGTCGGGGTTGAGGTACCAGAAGATGTCGCTGTCGGACGGGTGCTCGTCAGGTCCGACGTGTAGCTCGCAAAGAGGCAGAAAGAGGCAGACGCACAGGTCGACGTCCTCGAGCCTCGAGAAAGGCATGGGCGGAGCGGCGGTCGAGACAAGACGTGAGCGCAGCAGATACGAGCAATGTCCGGCCAGGAGGCGACAAGTCGTCGAGGTGGTCGCGAGCAAACGCGAACGGGAAGGAGAGGGGCAAGAGTCGGCCGACCGGCGCAGCCAGCGCGCCGACAGCTCGACGAGGCTCTGAGCTGTATGCGCCGAGACCGTGGAGAGCAGAGAGTAGGAGAGCGGGCGAGCCGCAGGGGCTAGAGACGAGCGCGGGGCCGGTGGCAGGGAGGAAGAGCGAGCAGTGAATGCGCTCAGGCCGCCTCGCCGACGCCGGCCTGGGTCCCCGCTCACCTGGCTCGAGGGCCGTCAAGCTGGATGTGGAGAGTGAGAGGCGAAGGTGAAGGGAAGAGCGAGATGCGGGAGCGCGGGAGGGCGAGTACGGAGCGGGTCGAGTACGAGTCGAGGGAGTTCAACTTGAGAAGGTCGCTCGGTCGACTTGCTCTCGCCGTTCAACCGCCGCCGAGCTTCAGGCAGACAATATTGCAGTGCTCAAGATAGTCGAAGCTAGTCACAGATGTACAACAGAGTGGAAGAGCGCACGCCGGCGCAGCCCGTCATTCTCCTCGCGAACCCTGAACCTCGAGCGCCGTCCCCGGCCGACCCAGTCCTCGCGCCGCCCTTCTCCTGCCCGCCCGCAGCCCTCGAGGACGGTCCTCGCCCCAGAGTCCCTCCCACGCGCCTCACTTGGCCGCCGCGATCGACCGCTGGACGAACTGGAGGATGATGCGGTTGACGATATTGCTGTCCGAGAGCGAGATGAGGCCGGGCGCCGAAGAGATGGCGTGGATCTGGACGGGGCCTCGGGCGTTGACGAACGAGCTGATGGGCGTGGTGGCGAGGTCGAGGAAGGCGATGGTGCGCGAGGTCGAAGAAGAAGGGCCGAGGGAGGCAGGGACAGGAGGCGAGCGAGTCAGTGCCGCGCGACGAGGCCGGTCGAGAAGGAGAGACGAGGGACGTACCGCTGCCACATCTCGCACGCCTCGAGCGGGCACACGATGTGGTCGTCGCCGCCGCGCAGGATGAGGACCGGGCACCGGATCGACGCGAGGAGGTCTTGCGGGATCGGCTTGCGGTTGTAGACCTGCGCCGTCGAGGTCTTGTCAGCTCGAGGGGTCGCAGTGCGCGATGCCTCGAGCAGGACGAGACGAAAGAGTGGACGCACAGCGAGAAAGAGCCAGCTGACGTCGTGCGCGCTCGCGCCCTCTCCCCTCCCGTACCGCTCCTGAAAGTGCACCTTCATGCGCTCTCTCGCATCCCTCAGCCGCTCGTTGCCGCCGATAAAGTAGGCGCAGATGCCCTCGAGCGCGTCGGGCGGGAACGTGCCCGTGCCGTCGCCTCGGCCGTTCTTGTTCTCCATGAGGGCGTCGTGCACGTCGCGGAGCATGGCGACGACGTGAGGTGGCCTGTGGGAGGGTCCGCGGTCAGTGATCGAGTGCGAGGAGAGGAAGGAAGAGAGAGAGAGAGGGACGCACTCGGACATGAAGCCGGGCGAGGCGATGAGGAGCGACGAGACCTTGTCGGGCCGCTTGATGGCGATCCACGTCGCGATGACCGAACCGTGCACGCCCTCGCCGTAGATGCTGTAGCTCGGAAAGTCCATCTCGTCCTGCGAGGCTCGAGAAGATCGTGAGCGCCGCCCTGCCTGACCTCGTCGAGAAGGGAAGAGCGAAACGAGGCTCGGGACGCACCAGGGTCGCCATGACGCACTCTGCCGAGTTCTCGAGCGTGTGCGACGTCCTCTCGCCGCCCTTGGTGAAGCCATGGAAGCGGCAGTCGACGGCGACGAGGTTGAAGCTGTTGGACAGGCGCGCGTCGCCTATCTGGGCACGCCAGCTCGTCAGGTTCGAGCCCGCTGTTCGGCGACACGAGCGAGTCAGTGATGCTCCACGAGTGAGCAGAGAAGAGAAAATAGGGCGCACCGGCGTGGATAAAGACGAGGACCGGCAAGCCAGGCTTGAGCGGGTTCGACGGCGGCAGGTTCTCGTGCGTCGCCCGCGCAAAGTTCGCCGGGTCCGGGTTGAGGACGTAGAACATGTCGAGGTCGCGGTACTCGACGCGCTTGAACGGCATGGTGGGCGAGGCGCGGTGAGCGGCGGGAGGTTGAGGGCGAGGTGGACGAGGCGGCGCGGTTGAGCTCGAGGAGGCGGAGGCCGGTGCTGGACGAGGCGGGGCCGAAGCTGGAGGCGACGAGTGCTGATAGAGGAGCAAGAAGGACGAAGAAGCTCGCGAGAGAGGATAGGTCGAGCAGGACGAGAGAGCGAAGGGAGGGAGGGCGACACCGCGCGACGACGACGACGAGGCCCAGCTGCCGAAAGCCGGATCGAGGGTGCTCGATGCACGACGACGAGATCGGACGAGGTGCCGCAAATTGCGAGGCGGGTGCGGGCCGACGCCGGGTCGAGGAACGAAGGACGAGGCGGTGAAGGGCGGGGAGGGGTGCGAGCGGAAGCGGGGAGGACGCCGCCTCACTTGGCTCGTCTCTCGTCGCTCGCGCCCAATCTTTTCCTGCTGCGAGGACAGCGGCGAGAGCCGGTGGACAAGGACGTAAGCGGCTGAGGGCGTGGAGAGAGAGAGAGAGGGAGGGAGAGAAGGGAGGACGCACAGGCCTCGTTCTCGCCGCACGGCCCCGCTGCTCTCGCGCCCACCCGTCGTCCTCGCGGTCGAGCTCTGCACGATCACAGAAGCGCGTGGTGGCCGGAGAATGCGCCGCATTGATCGAGGAAGCGCGAAGAGGTCGCCTCACGGAAGCGGACGACCTGCGGAAGGTGGTCGACTGAGTGAGCGCTTCGCTCGACGAGGGTGCGACGCGATCGAGCCCGAATGAGAGAGGGAATGAAGAAGGCTCACGTGCGGTCGCCTCGTAGATGCACGCACACGGCTGGGGCCGTCCCTCGTGCCGCCACTCGCGCCGGCTCGGCAGCTCGTCGCTCGCGCTCTCGATGCGCCGCGTCGCCGTGAGGAAGCGCACGCCGCGCAGGGCGTCGATGCGCAGGATGCGGTCGACGAAGGAGGTGGCCGCATGCGAGGACGAAGTGAACGAGGACGGGAGGGTGAGGTCGAGGGCGACGAGCGAGGTGATCGAGAGGCGAGGGAGGACGACGTCGAGGACCTGCTCGAGGGGGACGCCGTCGAGCGACAGGGTGCACAGGTTGTTGCACGACGCGACGAGGTCGACGAGCGAGTCGGGGAGGGCGACCCAGTGCGTCGAGATCGAGATTTGGCGCAGTCGCGAGGGGAGGGAGGGGAAGGCGGCGACGAGGCGCTCGTGGAGGGGCGAGCCGCTCTTGATGACAAACAGGTCGAGGGCCGTCAGGGTGTCTTGCGACGACTCGAGGAGGGGCCGGAAGAGCGAGGCGGGCTGGTCGACCATGGCCGAGAGGGAGAGGCGCTCGAGCCGGAGCGCGAGCGGCGCAAAGTCGGCCGGCACCTCGAGCGGAAGGTTGAGACGGAGGTGGCGCAGGGCTGCAAGACGACCGTCGCTCAGCACGTGAACGTCATGGTCGAAGCGAGCCAGAGAGCAGAGCCGGGCTCACCTCGCAAGGCGGGCAGGCGCAGCAGGTTGAGGTCGAACGCCGCCATGAAGAGCGTCGACCGCAGGTGGAGCGAGCGGATCTGGGCACCCTCGTCGCCGCCCATGCAACACAGCTCGACGACTTGGAGGTCGGACAGCGGGTAAAAGTCGTCGTCTTGAGGCGCGAAGTCGAAAAACAGGACCAGCTCGTCGAGGACGAGAGGCCGCGCCGACGCTCGACGCCGGACGAGAAAGGCGCGCGCTCGACCGTACGAGTCGATGTGGACTCGTGCTTCGAGTGCGCGTTGTGCCGGCTCGACCCAGGCTCGTGCGACGAGGGCGAGGTTGCGCAAGGTCGCGGCTCGCAGGCGGACGGTCGACGGCCAACCCTCGACGGCGAGGTCGACGATGCGGGCGACGAGCTCTGGCGGGAGCTTGTCGATCGGTGCGCGGGCCATTTGCGCCTGCTCGAGCGGGTGGTCGGCGGGTGAGGAGCTCGTCGAGGTGGAGGTGAGGCGGGCGACCAGGTCGAGAGGCGACGGCGGCTCGGGCGGTCTTGCGAGAAATCGGAAGGTGTCGAAAGCAGCTCGACAGGTAGCTCTAGTGCAGCACTGCCTTGCCAGGGGTTGATGCGAGCGAGAAGTGAAGAGCGAGGCGATCTTCCTCCTCGTCGTCTCTCCCTCATCAACGACAACGACAAGAGCCATGCAGTCGCTTGCGAGCTCGTTCGCGCGCATCAGCCTCTCGGCCCGACCAGCACTCGCCCGCGCCGCACCCCTCGCGTCCACCTCCCGCCTCGTCCTCCCCCCTTCCTCCTCCTCGCTCCCTCGACTCGCCGCCTCGCCCCGCACCTTCTCGACCTCGAGCCCGGCCCAGGCGACCTTGAACCAGGTGACGCGTGGCGCCCGCAAGCTCGTGCGGCGGCAGAACAAGACGCCCGCGCTCGAGGGCTGCTACCAGAAGAAGGGCGTCTGCAGCAAGGTCTACACCGTCAAGCCCCGCAAGCCCAACAGTGCCGTGCGCAAGGTCGCCAAGGTCAAGCTCAGCACCGGCCGCGCCGTCATCGCCTACATCCCGGGCGAGGGCCACAATTTGCAGGAGCACTCGGTCGTCCTCGTGCGCGGCGGACGCACCCAGGACTTGCCCGGAGCCAAGTGCGTCTCTGTGGCTCTCTCTCTTTCCTCAAAGTCGCAGGACTGACTCACTCGCCACCAGGTACAAGATCGTGCGCGGCGCGCTCGACCTCGGAGGAGTTGCCGGCCGGGCCGTCTCGAGGAGCAAGTACGGCAGTGCGTCTCGTCTCTCTCTCTCCTGCGCCGCCAGTGCGTCCTAGAACTGACCACGCCCACTTTCCCTGCAGCCAAGAAGCCGAAGAAGTAGATGCGCAGCCTGCAACGTGTACTCTTTGCCCTCTCTCTGTCTCCGTGCCGAGCTTGCCGATCACGCGAGGTGGGGTCGAGTTGAGGTGCTGGCCATGTGGTCTCGCTCTCGCCTCCTGGCCTCTTTCCGTCGCCACCCACTCACTCGCAGCACTCGACATCGACGACGACGACGCCGCAGCCGCCTCACCGCCAACTGCCTGCGCCGTTCGCCGACCTCTTTCCCCACCTTCTCCTCCTCGCCTTCCTCGACTTCCTCCTCGCCAACCCGACCTCGTGAGCGGCAGCGCCGGCCAACGTCCGCCGTCCCATCCTCTCCCTCCCGACTCGACCCGACCATGTCGCTCCCGGTCCTCTCGTACGCGACCGCGCACGCCGACCCACCCGAGTTCATCCGCCAACTGCGCCACGCCCTGCTCACGACCGGCTTCCTGTACCTCTCGTCGATCGACGCCGTGGTGCCCGACTGGCGCGCCTCGTGGGACGCCGCGTTCGCGGCGTCGGCCGACTTCTTTGCGCACGACGAGGCGACAAAGGTCGAGGGGATTGGCATGGCGAGGTCGAGACACTTTCGCGGGTACTCGGCGTACGGCGTCGAGGTGACGCAGGGGCGGCATGACTTGAGGGAGCAGATTGACCTTGGGCCCGACACGGAGCCGGCGGTCGAGTACCCGCCGCCGCCCGGAACCCGGATCGAGGTGCGTCGTCTTCCGCTCTCTCTCTGTCTTTGCGACCGTGTCTCGAGCGCAGCACTAACCCATCCTTCCATTCGCAGCGCGTCCTGTACGGCCCGAACCAGTACCCTTCTTTCGTCCCCGCGCTCGAGCCCGCCCTCCGGCACTGGCACGCCCTCTGCACCTCGATCTCCTGCGTCCTCCTCTCCCTCCTCGCCGAGTCCCTCACCCCCTCGCCCTCCCGCCTCACGTCCCTCTTCGCGACGCGCCCCGACCGCGAGGGCGAGCCCGCCTACTCGCGCATGAAGGTCGTGCGGTACCCGCCCGTGCGCCCAGGCGACGACGACGAGGGCGGCGGGCTCGGCGTCGGCGCGCACAAGGACGGTGGCGGGTTGACGCTGCTCGCGCAGGACGCGACGGGAGGGCTGCAGGTGCAGCTGTGGGACGGCGAGTGGGTCGGGGTCGAGCCGAGGGAGTACGAGCTCGTCATTAATGTCGGGCAGGTCGTGTGCGTCCCTCTCTCTCTCGCCCTCTCTCTCTCTCCCGGGCTTTCTTTCGCGAGAACGACAGACTGACCTTGCCCCTCGTCACGCAGCGAGCGCTTCTCGGCCGGCCTGTACGCGGCGACGACGCACCGTGTCCTCCCGACGCGCTCCTCCTCAGCGCGCCTCTCGATCCCCTTCTTCTTCTGCCCGCGCCTCGACGCCCTCGTCCCCGTCCTCTCGCCCTCCGACATCCATCCCGCGCTCCTCGACGAGGCGGCGCGCACGGCCAACGGCGCAGAGAAGAAGAGCGAGGTGAGGCAGGGCGACCTGCACGAGGAGGTGTTTGGGCTCGCGGCGTGGAGGGGCATCACGAGGAGCCATGGCGACGTGTGGACCAAGTTCTACGGGCGCGAGGTGGATCCGGTCGGCGGGCCCGAGGTGCTCGCTTGAGCGGAGGACGCTCTCTATCTCTCTCTCGACGGGCGCTCGCTCTCTCTCGCGGCACTCGTAGAGATGGGAATGGAACTGCGATGCACTTGTCGAGCTACGTCGCACCCTTAGTCACGACCTCGATTGCCTGCGCAAAGTCTGCGAGCGAGAGAGGAAGGGAGGAAGAGGAGCTCCCAAGTTAGTCGCCGTCTCGTCACGCTCGCCGACGAGAGAGAGACAGAAAGGCGAGGCGCACCGGCGATAATGTCGTCGACGTCCTCGATCCCGACGCTGACCCGGATCAAGTCGGGCGTGCTGCCGTTCTCGCGCGCCTCGTCGGGCGTCAACTGGCGGTGCGTCGTGCTCTGCGGATGCAGGACGAGCGTCCTGACGTCGCCGACGTTGGGCGCGTGGATGGCGAGCTGCGTCGCGTCGATAAAGGCGCGCGCGATGGCGGTCGACGAGCGGGACGAAGTGGGCTTGAGGGCGAAGCAGAGCATGCCGCCACTGCCTCGTGGGAGGAAGCGCTTGAAGAGAGCGTGCGACGGGTGCGAGGCGAGGCCGGGATCTGCAGAGGCGACGAGAGGGAGTCAGGTAACAGGTCGTCGTACTCGCCGACGACGAAGAGAGGGAGAGAGGGACGTGCGCGAGATCCAGAGCGTCGCCTCGTGCGCCTCGAGCCACTGCGCGAGCCGCAGCGCGCTCTGCGTCTGCTTGTCGACCCGGAGCGTCAACGTCTCGAGGCCCTGCAGGAGCGAGTGCGTCGCGAACGGCGACAAGGTCGCGCCCATCTCGCGCATCTGCATCGGCTCGAGGCGCGGTCAGTGCGGGTCTGCCGAGGGCGAGGTCGAGAAAGGCGGGACGCACCGTCTCGAGCTTCATCTTGGCGGCAAAGGCGGCGCGGCCGAACTGCTGCGCGCTCGGACCTTGTGGGTCAGTCTGGCTCCTTGAGAAAGTGGGGCGAGTCGTCGACGCACCTTGGTCAGGATCATGCCACTGCAGCGAGCAAAACTGTCAGTACGAGACGACGACGACGACGAAGAGAGAGAGGAAGAAAGCGGACGCACTGATAGCCAGGAAAGGGCTTGGAGAACTCGGGAAAGCGAGGGTTACTCGCCCAGTCAAAGTTGCCCATGTCGACGACGAGGCCGCCGAGTGCAGCGCCGTGACCGCCGATCCACTTGGTCGCCGAGTGCAGGATGATGTCGGCGCCCTGTGACGAGAGAGGCTCGTCAGTCGGTGGTTCAGGGAGGAGGAACGAGCGCCAGGACGCACAAGGTCGCCCGGCCGGATGAGGTACCCCGCCGCGCCGAACGTGTTGTCGACGATGAGGGGCACGCCGGCCTTGTGTGCGAGGTCGGCGAGCGCAGGTAGGTCGAACAGGTCGAGCGTCGGGTTGGCGATGCTCTCGACGAGGATGCCCTTGGTGTTCTCGTCGATTTGCGAGGCAAACTCTCGCGGGTCGCTCGACGTGACAAACTTGCCCGTGATGCCGAGGCGAGGCAGGAAATGGCGGAAGATGTAGAAGCTGCCGCCGTACAGATGGCTGCTGACGACGAAGTTGTCGCCCGAGCGAGCGAGCGCAATGACGGCGGCGAGCTGCGAGGCCGAGACGGGTCAGCTCAGCTTCGCGGCGGGACCATCGCAGGCCCGGAGCCTCTCGCAACCTCTGAAAGAGAGCAGAGGAACGCACCGTCGCCGCCTGCCCGCTCGCGACCGCGACCGCCCCGACGCCGCCCTCGAGCTTGGCGATGCGCTCCTCGAGCACCGTGTTGGTCGGGTTGGCGACGCGGCTGTAGTGGTAGCCCTTGGTCTGGAACGTGCACAGGTCCTCGACGTGCTGCAAGAGGGCGAGGGTCAGCTCCTCCTGGTCGGGTCGGAGGTGGGAGGGGGCGCACCTGCTCGTTGTCGAAGGCAAAGGCGGTCGAGGCATAGATGGGGACGCCGACCGACCTCGTCGTCGGGTCGGGCCGCTGTCCTGCGTGCACTTGCTGCCTGTGGGAGCGACGAGGTGAGCTTCCCCACACAAGCCTTGCGGGGCGAGGAGGAGGAGGAGGGGGGCGCACGTCTCGAAGCTGAGCTGGGGGGCCTCGGCGGTGGGCACGGTCATGGTAACGGGAAGCGTCTTGGGTGAAAGCGGTCGTGGTCGAGCGCAACGAGCGAGCGAGGAGGAGGAGAGCCGCCGGCTTCGAGCCGGGCGAACCGACGCCATAACGCCGCGTCTTGCGTGCTTGCGGTGCCGGCCGAGACGAGAGCGCACGCCTCTCACCGGCACTGGCTGGGTTCCGCCAGCAGCCGCGGGCGAGAGAGAACCGAGAAGAGGAGCCGACTCTCCGTCAAGCTGATGAAGCTTTCTAGCTCTCTCGCAAGCCGTTCGTGCTCTCTTGCGCGGGCACTGACACGTATGTATTGCTCAGAAGAAATCAGGAAGGCGAGGGCAAGGAATGGAGGGCGGTGCGCAAGACACCGCGCGAGCCGCCTCGAGGCTCAGGTCGCGAGGACCGCCGGCGTCGGCGCAGCGTGCTGCAGAGGCGGCGAGACATCTGCGAGACGTAGGAGAGGTTCAGGACAACGTATCGAGAGTCGAGGGACAGTCGGGCGCACAGTCGAGGTCAATCTTGCGGCCGGCAAAGACGAACGGCTCGACCTTCTTGTCGTGCTCGATGACCTTGCGCAGGTGTGTGTGCTTGACGCGAGCGCGGCCCCATTCTGTAGAGACACGAGTCGTGTCAGGGTGGCTCGAGAAAGGAGAAGACCGAGGTCCAGGACGAGGAGAAGGACGAAGGAGGAAAAGTGGTTGAGGTGGATTCGGGGTCGGGCGAGGGGGCAGAGAGGAGACGAGGAGGACGCACCGAGACCGTTCGGCGGCTTCGAGTCGGCCTTCTCCGGGTCGTACAGGCCCAGGCGCTCGAGTAGCGGCGACGGCACGGTCGTGACGGGAAAGTCGTTCGCCGCCCTCGAGAAGTACAGGAGCCCGAGGCGCTCATAGTCGGCCTGGTCGGGCGGCGGGCGCACGACGCGGTGAACCGTCGACTTGATGTGGCCGGCGCTGATGTAGGTGAGGACCTCGGCCGTGTTGACGACGACGTGGCCGGGCAGGAAAGGGACCCAGCGGTACTCGCCCGGGGCGGTCTGCACCTGCAGGGCGTTGACGATCTGGGGGAACAGGATCGTGAGGAGACCCTGTACGAAGCGGTGAGGTCAGTCGAGGGCGAGAGAGGCATCGACGAGGGGACGGTCGACGCACAAAGTCCGTGTGGCCCTTGACCGTCTGGTTGCCGATCTTGGCCGCCTCGTCGGCGCTGTGCACGCCGTAGATCATCTGTGTCGGTCGAGCGAGAGGAGTCAGTTCGTGAGGTCGAGAGGGTAGAGAGCTTGGCCGGGCTCACGTAGCGCAGGTGGTCGTCGCTCGCCTTGTCGTACGCGTGCGGCTCGGCGAGGTAACCCTCGGGCAGCTCGAGGAGGAGCGCAAACAGGCGCAGGAGCGGGTCGAGGATACGCTCGTGCACCTTGCGCGAGAAAGCCGAGATCTCGGGCTTGTACGGCGCGAGGAAATCGAACCGGAGCTGCTCGTCGGCGAGGACAGGCGTGTCCTTCGGGTGGTTGAGCATCTCGATCTTGCTCTTGACGGTCGCGTCCGAGTCGTACGTCTCTTTGGGCTCGCGGTAGCCCCAGTACTTGCCGACGTCAAAGTCGCACGGGTGCTCGCGCTTGACCTCGAGCGGCTGCTTGAAGAAGGCGTCGGCGATCTGGAGCTGGCGCACGACCTCGTCGTCCTCGATGCCGTGGCCGGTGACGAACAAGAAGCCGACGTTCTCGATGGCCTTGCGCAACTCGGCGACGAGCTCCTCCTTGCCGCCGGGCTGCGAGAACTTGGCGAGGTCGAGCGAGGCGAGGTCGACGTAGTCGAGCTGGGCCTTGGTAGCAGGCGGGCGGGAATACGGCGAGAGGGCTGGAACGGTCGACATGTCGGTGTGCGTGAGTGTCGACGAAGGAAGGAGGAGGTTCTGGTCCAAGACGGCGGTGAAGTCGGGCGAGCGGCGGGCGGCGAGGCGAGGCGAGGGTGGAGGAGCCGGCGTGACTCGCACACAAGCGGAGCGCACGATGGGGTGACTGCAGACTCAGCAGGTATGGTGCACAGGCCGGCTGTGCGTCGCGGGCGAGAGATGCAGCGTACGGCGAGCGTGCCCCGCCGTTCCGAGCACGCCACGAAGGGCGCGGGCGAGTGGCCCGGCAGAGTGAGGGGGAGAGAGCTGCAGCACATGCTAGAGAGCTCTGCCGAGCGGCCATAGCACTCCTGGCTCAGCCAGACGCAGCTGGTGGTGGTCGAGGAGAAAGCGAGCCGGGCGAACTTCATCTCTCTGGTCCTCCTCGTCTCGCTCAGATGTCGAAGCCGGCCGGGTGAGCGCAGCCAAGCCGGCTCGATGGCCTGGGAGCCGCCTCGCATTGCGCCACAGCTGTCGCATCGCGACATGCGCCCCCTCTCTCGCCTCTTGCTCGTTCGGCCGACAGAGCCGCCTCGTCGCTCGCTCGCCGTAAATGGCGATGCTTGCTTTCGCTCGTAACCTCCAGCTACGCCCTCGCCATGTCCTCCGCTTCGTCGCTCGCCGAGAAGCGAGGTGTCGAGCCCTCCTCCTCGCCGACCTCCCTTCTCGCTGCCGACGAGCATGCCCGGCTGCTGCGCAAGATCGACTGGCGCATCCTCCCCTGGGTCTACCTCACCTGTGCGTCGGCCTCGTCCTCGCGCTCTCATACAGCTCGCCTCGGCGAGTCCTGAGATTTCTCCTCCCCTTCATCCTCGTCCTCCTCGTCGTCGCAGACTGCATCATGCGCATCGACGTCGGCAACATCAGCAACGCCGGCGTCATGAACAGCGAGACGGGTCATTCGTTGCGGCAGGTCCTGCAGTGCGTCTTGACCCTCTCGCTCTCTCCTCCTGCCTCGTGCGCGACGAGCTGACGCCGAGCGCCTCGCAGCCTGTCGCCGCAGCAGTGGGCGACCGTGATCATCGTCTTCTACCCGACCTACATGGCGTTCGAGCCCGTCAGCACCTACTTCATCCGCATCACGTCGCCGTCTCAATGGATGTGCGTACCTCGTCCTCGTCGTGCTCCTCTGCGACTCGCCGCTGACTTCTCCTCGCCCGCGTGCAGCGGCCGCATCATGTGCACCTGGGCCATCGTCATGTGCTGCATGGCTGCCGTGACCTCGTACGGCGGCCTCATCACGTGTCGAGTTCGTGCGTCCACGGTCCCCACCCCTTCCTTCCCTCTCGCCTCGCCGACCTGACGCTCTTTCTTCTTCGCGCCGCAGTCATCGGCGCCGCCGAGGCCGGCTACTTCCCGTGCATCGTGTACCACTGGAGCTTCTGGTACGACTCGGACGAGCTCGCGCCGCGCATGCTCGGCCTGTACGCCGCAGGTGCGGCGGCCGGCGCCGCGTCCGGCTTCCTCAGCTGGGCCATCTCGTTTGCCAACTCGCCACCCATGTATGGCTGGAGGTTCCTCTTCATCATCGAGGGCCTCATCCCGCTCGTCCTCGGCGTTGCGACGTTCTGGGTCCTGCCCGACTTTCCTTCGGTGAGTCTCGCTGTTTCTCCCCTCTCGGCCTTTCTCTCGCACTCGACTTGACTTCTCAACCTCGCAGACGTCCCAGTGGCTCACGACGAGCGAGGTCGAACACCTCAGCCTTCATCTGCACAAGTTTGCGCCGCACGAGACGGCCAAGGTGTTCGACCGCCGCCAGAGCCTCGCCATCTTCCAGGACCCGACCTACTACCTCTTCACGCTCGTGTGGGTCCTACAGGCCGTCGGTGGGTACGGTATCTCGCTCGTTCTGCCGCAGATCGTGAGCGACATGGGCTTTGTCGGGTCGGCGGCCACCAACCTCCTCCAGCTCCCGCCGGCCGCCTTCACGATCCTCTTCCTCTTCTTCTGCGCCGAGGTGTTGCGGAGGAAGCTCGTCAACGCCTTTGCGCTCGTCCTCGGCAGTGCGTCTCCCTCGTTCTCGTCCCTCGTCGCCCTCGAGCCGAGCTGACCTCCCTCCCGCGCACAGTGTTCACGCTCGTCATCGTCGGCTACATCCTCCTCCTCAAGGTCGACGCGCCAGGAGGTCGATACGTCGCTGTCGTACTCGTTACGAGCGCTGCGGGCGTCATCTACCCGTGCCTGTGGCCGCGCCGGATCCAGGCGCTGCGAGGGACCGCAGGAGCCGCTCTTGGGATCGGTGAGCTCCCTCCCCACCCCTCTCTCTCTCTCTCTCTCTCTCATGTCGACGTCCGAAAGGTCCTGATGTACTCGTTACAGGCCTGCACAACGCGAGCGCGCAGCTGTCTGGCCTGCTCGGCCCCCAGCTCTTCCGCTGTGAGCGCACCCTTCCTCTTTCTCTCCCTTGCTCGCCTGCCTCTCGAACACCCCTGGCTGACTGATCCTTTTCGCTCCCGCGCAGCCGACTACGCGCCCCGCTACGTCAACTCGTTCATCGCCGCCTCGGTCCTCATTGGATCAGCCATGATCGCCCTCGTCCCGCTTTGGTGGCTCCTCGACGGCGACTTGAGCGCGTACCCGTGGCTCGCCAAGCACGTCCAGGCGCAAACGCACCACCACGAGGGCGACGACGAGCGCGATGTGGTGGCCGAGGTCTGGGCGAGTGAGGAGAGGAGGCTCGAGCACGAGAAGGAGCAGGACGGGGCTCGAGTTTAGCGGGAGCGGGCGTTGCAACGTGTTTTCGTCTACGCTGTCTCCCGATGAGCTTCTTCCGGCGCGAGGTAGCTGTGCTGAGAGAGCTGCGGTCGCCAAGGGCCCGAGGCCCTCCGAGTCGACCTTCGCAAATGAGCCCCGCCGCTCGGGCCTCTCTTTGCTCGGGCTCTCTCAAGCTCCGACTTCCACGGGCACAGGGCACAGGTGGACGCTCGTGACAAGAGAACCGCGTTGCGAGAAGTACTGCTAGGGAAAAGAGAGAGAGAGAGAGAGATAGAGTGGAGACACAACCCGTCGACTGGCCACGCAGCGCCCGCCGCCGACGCCCAGCCTTTTCGCCTCGTGTTGCGAATGCGAGAGGAGGGAAGGGGAGGCATGGGGGACACCAGGAGGACACGAAGCGCGATCAGGACGAGAAGAGGATCCGGTACATCCGGATGTAGAACGGCGCGGCACGACGCTCGGCGCGGTACTGGTTCATCTCCTCGGCCGTGAACCAAGCCTTGCGGCCAGTCTGCGAGGGGAAGAGGAACGAGGTCAGGATCTCGCTCGGGGCCGAGAGAGGGAACGAGAGAGAGAGAGGGCACGCACGTCGAGGTCGATCTGGTGCGCCTTGAGCGGCGTCGTGCGCTTGATGAGGAAGCAGCCGAGCCAGAAGGCGAGGAAGACCGGGGCAGCCTGCGAGAGGAGGAAAAGGGCGGGAAAGGTGTCAGTTCGGCGCGACAAAGGACGAAAAAAGGCGGCGACGCACGAGGTACGAGAGGAAGAACGCCTCGGCACGCGCGCCAGGGTCCTCGGGAGCACCGCCGAGCGGGAAGATCGCGATGTAGAAGTTGGCGCTGCACGTGGGGAGGGTCAGCAGAGGAGAGGAGGCAGAGAGGAAGAGAGAGGAAGACGCACATGAGGACGAGGCACACGAGGATGAAGCCGATCCACGAGCCGACGACCCCGCCGATGGCGCGGTACGGGAGCTCGTCGACGTGGTGGCCCTGGACCCTCCACGCCTTGCGGAAGCGGATGTGGCACATGCAGATCGAGCCCCACGTGAACAGGGTCGACAGGCCCGAGAGGGCGAGGAGCCAGTTAAAGACGGTGTCGCCGGCCGACACGACGTTGACGTACGCGATCGGGCCAAACATGAGGACGAGGATGACCGACCACAGTGGGCGACCCGACTTGTCGACGTAGGTAAAGACCTTGGGCGCAAAGCCGGTCTCGGCCATGGCGGTGAGGACGCGCGAGCCGGCGTAGACGCACGACAGGCCGATCGAGAGGACCGAGATGCAGATCGTGATGTTGATCTGTCGCGAGGGAGAGAGAGAGAGGGTCAGGGCCTGCTCGTCGAGACGGAGGAGGAGGAAAGAGCGAGGGACGCACGAGGTGGTCGAGACCGTTCAGGCCGGCGAGGTTGGCCATGATGACGAACGGCGACGTGCCCGCACCGTCGCTGCCACCGAGGAGACGCTCCTGGTTGAACGGGAGGTTGAGGCCGATGATGCACAGGGAGGTCATGTAGATGAGGGTCTGTCGCGAGAAGAGGGTCAGGGCGCCGCAGGACGTCGTCGAGGGTAGCGAGAGGGACGCACGATACGCCAGAAGGTGTTCTTGACGGCCGACGGAAGCGTCTTGCGCGGGTTGGGCGTCTCGGTCGCGGCGAGGCCGACGAGCTCGGTACCGGCGAACGAGAAGGCGGCCGTGACGAACACGGCGCAGACGCCCTTGAAGCCGTTGGCGAACGCGCCCGGGTCCTGCCAGTAGCGGCCACCGACGTACTCACTGTACAAGCCCTTGCCGCCGCCAACGTTCAAGACGATGCCGATGATGATGAAGATGACGACGACGGCGAGCTTGAGGCACGAGGACCAGAACTCCTCCTCGGCGTAGCCGAGCGTGCCGAACACGTTAATGGCGATGATGGCGAACCAGAACTGCGAGAGGGAGGTCGTCGGGAGCAAGTTGAGAAGGTCGACGAGGGAGAGCGTCAGGACGGCTCGAGTCGACCGAGACTGAGAGAGCGGGACGCACGATCGTGATCCAGGCTGCGATAGGTACTTGTTGTGCGCCTTCCCAGTACTGGACGGTGATGCCGGCGGCGGTAATCTCGAGAGGAAGGACGACGGCCCACTGCGCAAAGTAGTTCCAGCCTGCGCACCGCGACGAGCTCGAGTCAGTGCGGGCTCGTCGAGGGAGAGAGTGCGAGAGAGAGAGGTGGACGCACCGAGAGCCATACCCATGCCGGGGTCGAGGAAGCGGACGGCGAGCGTGTAGAAACCGCCCGAGACCGGGTACAGGATGCACATCTCGCCGAGGGCCTGGGTAACGTTGATGAGCATGACGCCGATGATGGCCCACGCGATGAGGATGCCCGCCGGACCGCCGTTGCGCAACGCCTGGCCGGAACCGATGAAGAGACCAGTGCCGATCGAGCCGCCGACGGCAATCATCTGCAGGTGGCGCGGCTTCATCTTCTGCTGCAGGAGCGGGTTGTCGTGCGCCTTGAGCGGGTCGACGCTGCCGCCCTCGAGGGCGAGACCGCTGCATTCGCGGGAGGGTCAGCCGACCGTCTCGAGTGGGCAAGGGAGGACGGGAGGAGGACGAGGGGGAAACAGCGGCGACGCCGGACGCACCCAGTCGAGCCAGGAGCGCGCTTGAACGACTCGAAGTTGACGCCGAGACGGGTCGCGAGCGACTCCTTCGACGGGTCGTACAGCGCCGGGGCGGCGGTCGTCTCCGTCGTGACGAAGTGCCCGTCCTTGGAGTTCTGCGATCCCTTCTCGTGGTCGAACGACATATCGACGACCGATAGAGCGGGTGGGTGTCGGGGAAGGTAGAGGGAGAGACAGAGAGAGTGCGAGGTGTGGCGGGAGAGAAGGGAGGAGGGGGATCAGTGTTGAGGCGAGGCGGCCCCGCTCTTTGCATATCGTGAAAACCTCACATGCGGGCGCGGCTTGGCGCGCCAAGCACCCCACGGACGCCGGTGCGTCTCGACCTTCTCAAATAGGGGGGACGTGTGCGTTTGGGCCTCGAAAGGGCGGCGGTGTGCCTTGCACGTCCTCCCGGAAGCGAGTGGGAAAGCGGGCGTGTCACTTGTCGAGAGCTCCCGGCCGTGCGATGCAGGTTGCGCGTGATCTCTGGCGGGTCCCAGGTTGAGGGTCCGCGCGCGCGTGAGAAGCTGTCGCTCTCGGTCGGCCGCTCTCTGTCGCTCTCGGTCGGCCGCTCTCTGTCGCCGCCTGGGCGACGGCGTACAGCGACGCCGCACACAGACGTCGCTCTGTGTGCGGGCTCCCTATCTCGCTCTCCACAATTGAGAGAGTGATGCTCCGCAATCCAAGGCGCGAGCCGTGACGGCAAACCGACCAGGCTGGGGACGCGGCAAAGCGAGAGCGGGGAGTGGCCACGGCCGCAGGAGGCCACGACCGCTTGGCACTGCAGCAGTGCAGCCTGACAAGGGACACGCAGGCCGACTGCAGCCTCTGCGCGAGATCAGCACCCGGCCTCTCCGGCGCAGTTGCCAGCTTGATTCCGGAATCCGCGGCGACGAGACCGTGTCTCGTGATCGAGCGCAAACTTTCGCGCTGCACCTCGGTGTGCGCGTGCGCGGCAAGCCGCGGAAAAGGAGGGGGATTTCGACGCTGGCGTCCACTCGAGCAGCTTTGGCGGGGACGAGGTCGAGATAAGCTGCCGCTCGCCAGCTTCTGCCTCTCCCGCCAGACGTAACAGCAAGCGCAAGTGCCGCTCGACCCCACCCATCCACGCTCTGCTGTCAATTGCAGACTCTCGAGCTTTCGACGACGCTCGCTCGGCTGCTGCAGGCGCAACGCTCGAGCGCACGCTGGTTGCACGAGCGGGCTGTCGCGCAGCCGGCTCCAGACGAGGTGCGGGCGCCGAGGTGGTCGACGGCCGAGTCGGTGGACCGTGACGGAGCGCGAGGAGGGAGGAGGGAGAAGTGAGGAGGAGGCCGCCCAGCGCAACCACGCCGCAAGGCTCGTGTGTAGCACGACTCTCGAGCAGAGTAGCTCTCGATGGAGACACAGCTCGTCCCGGCCCATTCTGAGCGCGCGTTGTCGAGGCGACCGTCGCGAGATGATGAGGACGAGAGCGGCGGCGAGAGCGAGCAGAGACTGACCCTCGCCACACCCACGCCCACGCTCGATCTGCGCACGAGCACACTGCCGCACACCATGAGCCTCTTTACATCGACCGCGCGCGCCAGCCTGCGCGCGAGCGTCCGCCCTCAACCTTCCGCTGCACCGCCCACCTCGCCATCCGCCGCTCTCTGGCGAACAGGGCCCTCGTTGCAGGTGCGCCGCCGTGTCTGTACTCTCTCTGAAGCCTCAGGTACTGACCCACCTCGATCCCGCAGCTCGCCCCGGCCTTCCCGCACACCGTCCGCCATGCCTCCTCGGTCCCGTTCTCGCAGACGGCGCGCGACCGGTTGCGCGCCAGGCCGTTCCTGCTCCTCGTCGGCCTCATGCCCATCTTCACCTTTGGCCTCGGCTGCTGGCAGGTCAAGCGCCTCCAGTGGAAGCTCGACCTCATCGACCAGCTCGACCGCAAGCTCCACCAGGACCCGGTCCGCCTCCCTGCGCGCATCGAGTGCGTCCAGCTCTCTCTCCTCTGCCCACCGAGCGAAAAGAGCTGACTCTACCCCGTCGCGCAGCACGGCCGCCATCCCCGAGTTTGCCTGGCGCAAGGTGTTCGTCACGGGCACGCTCGACCACGAGCACTCGATCGAGTTGGGCCCAAAGACGCGCGACGGCCAGCTCGGGTACCACGTCTTTACGCCGCTCGTGCGAGGCGAGGGCCAGGACACGATCATCGTCAACCGCGGGTTCGTCAAGCGCGAGTACAAGGAGGCAGAGAGCCGACCAGCGAGCCTCGTGCGTTTCCCCTCTCTCTCATCCTCGCGTACGGCGGCGAGCCCTGACTCTCTCGCGACACACAGACCAACGAGCCCGTCGCCCTCGTCGGCATGCTGCGCGAGCAGGAGCCGCGCAACTCGTTCACGACCGTCAACGAGCCCGAAAAGGGCCAGTGGACCTTCTCCGACATTGCCGAGATTGCGCGCTTCACCGGCGCCGAGCCCGTCCTCGTCGACCAGATCTACGGTGCGTCCCTGCTCTCTCTCTCTCGCCGCTGACCGAGAGCGACGCACTGACCCGCTCGTTGCCGCCGCGCAGAGGACAACCCGGGCAAGGTCGAGCTCTTTATCCGCGAGGGCGTGCCCGTCGGTCGTGCGGCCAACATCGAGCTGCGCAACATGCACCTCACCTACGCTGGTACCTGGTGCGTCTCTCCCTTCCCTCCCTCTCTCTCTCCTCTCGACCAGCCCCGACCTGACCCCCTCTCTCCCTCCTTCTCTCCTCGCGCCCGCCCTCGCCTCCTCCTCCGCGACACAGGTTCGCCCTCTCGCTCGCGACCGCATTCATGTTTTTCCGCCTCATGCGCAGGCCGACGACCGTCACGGCGGCGCAGTACCGCAGCGCGAGCAAGCAGTTGTAGATCCTCCCCTTCCCGCTCGTAACCCCCTCGCAACTCGAGTACTCGCACTTCCTCCCTCTCGGCGAGCTGTGTCACTGTTGACAGTGAAAGCGAGAGCGAGAGCGAGAGAAAGAGGAGGAGAAAGGAGAAGACGCTCGCTCGCTCGAGTCGCTTTCCGAGATCTCGCACGGACCCGCTCGACAAGGCTCGACCGCAAGTCGTTGCACCGGCCCCTCCCTCGCCGCCGCCGCCGCTGCTGCTCTAGTCGTGCCACTCGAGGCCCATCGCCTGGCTGACAAACCCATACTTGGCGACCGCCTCCTCGATCTTCTTCTCGGTGCTCTTGCCCGCGCCGTGTCCGCTCTTGGTGTCGATCCGGATCAACAGCGGGTTGGGGTTGTCGGGCAACTGGTACTGGAGCTCGGCGGCGTGCTTGAACGAGTGCAGCGGGACGACGCGGTCGTCGTGGTCGGCCGTGAGGAGCATCGTCGGCGGGTACGGCGCCTTGCGCGGGTCGACGTTGTGCAGCGGCGAGTAGGCGTACAGGTAGTCGAACGCCTCGGGGTCGCTCGGGACGCCGTAGTCACTCGTCCAGTAACTCCCGATCGTGAAGCGCTGCGCGAGGAGGACGAGGGAAGGCAGAACGGCGTCAGGACGTCTTTTCCGCCGAGCGTTGCGCCCTTGGCGGGGCGCCGTTGCTCGAGAGAGGTCGCCCGGGGTCGCGAGAGACGGAGAGTGTACGGCGGAGGTAGAAGGAGGTGAAGGGAAAGGAGGAGGAAGGAAGGGGAGGGAGAGAAAGGGGGGACGCACGTCGAACCGGAGCATGTCGAGCACGCCGACGTCGGCGATGGCGGCGCCAAACAGCTCTGGCGCCTGGTTGACGCACGCGCCGACGAGCAGGCCGCCGTTCGACCCGCCGCTGATGGCGACCTTGCCCTTGGCGGCGAACCCCTCCGACACGAGGTACTTGGCCGCCCACTGAAAGTCGTCAAACACGTTCTGCTTGCGCTCTTTGGTGCCCGCAAGGTGCCAGTTCTCGCCGTACTCGGCGCCACCGCGGATGTTGGCGACGGCGAGGACGCCCTTGTAGTGCTTGATCCAGGTGAGGAGGGCCCTGCGCGCGCCGACAGGTCGTCAGTGCTCCTGCTCGACGACGAGAGCTCGACGGTGGGCTCGAGAGGGTATGTACGACGACGGTGGACGTGTACGAGGCAAGTGGAGAGAAGAAGGGAGGGAGGTGGGGAGGAGGAACGTGGGAGAGGGTGAGGGATGCGAGGAGGGCGAGGTCGCGACAGGGAGGGACGCACGGCGAGAAGAACGGCGTCATGCTGGCTGAAAACCCGCCATAGCCGTACGCCAAACAGGGGGCTTTGCCGTTACGCTCGACGCTGCAGGTAGGAGAGAACGAGAGAAGGAGGAAGGGCGAGAGGGTGAGCCTCCCGAACGACTCGCGCGACGACGACGACGACGACGACGACAGAGAGAGAGGGAGGCAGGACGTACTCCTTGGGCCTCGTGACAAACATGGGCACGCGCGTCCCGTCCTTGGACTCGTAAAAGACCTGCTCGCTGACAAAGTCGTCCGGCTTGATGCCCTCGACCTTGGCCTCGCGGTACACCACCTCGGTCGCGCCCTCGGCGCCCTTGCCCTTGCGCGACAGGTCGTACCGGTACACGGTGCCCGGGCTCGTGAACGACGTCATGCTGAACCACATGTCCTTGTCCTTGCGGCGCCCAGCAATCTGGTCGACCGAGCCGAGGAGGTTCTCGGCGAGGCGCCTCACGCGCTTGCCCGTCGCGAGCTCGTGCAGGTACAGCTCGTCCTTGACGTCGACCGAGTACAGGAGCACGAGCTGGTCGTCGCAGCCGATGTGGAGCGACGTGAGCGGCGAGGTGGGGTCGTGCGCGACGAGGTCGGTGAAGCCCTGCGAGGGGTGCGCGAGGTCGTACGTCACGACCTTGTAGTTGGGCGAGTCGTGCGCGTTGGTGTAGAAGTAGCTGTTTGGCGAGGGCGAGGGCGAGGGAGGAGGGGCGAGTTAGTCCGAGGGCCCGAAAGAGAGTCCGGCTCGTTTCTCTTCCAGTCGGTGACGTGCAACGCCCTCGAGCAAGGCGCACGCGCACGAGAGAGACAGAGAGAGAAACGAAGCCGACGCACAACTTGGACCCATCGTTGGCGACGTCCGACCACGAGCTGCCCCACTCGTCAACGACTTTGGTCCACTCGAGGCCGTTGCCGAGGTCGCGGCCCTTGTTCTCGGGCGCCTCGAGGTCGGCGATCCACAGGAGGTTGGAGCGCGCCGTGTCGCGCGACTGGGTCAGGACGATGTAGCGGCCGCTGCGAGGAGGGGGGGGCGGGGGGGTCCGGGAGCGAGAAGGGGTCAGGCTCGTGCGTGCTCGCGCGCGGCGACGACGACGACGACGACGGAAAAGTAGGGAGAGGAGGACGCACTCCTCGGTCATGTCGGCGCTAAACATCCACTCGCGGTTCTTGTCGTCCTTGTACACGAGCACGTCGTCGCTCTGGCTCGTCCCGACGCGGTGGTAGTACACGGCGGCGTCGACGTCCTTGTCCGTCTCGGTGCCGGCCTTGTCGTCCGTGTCCTTGCCGTGCCCTGCCCGCTCGGGGAAGCGCTGGTAGAAGAAGCCGAGCGAGTCGCGCGACCACCCGATCCCGCTGAACTTGACAAAGCGCAGGACGTCGGGCTCGAGCCGGCCCGCGTCGGCGCCGATTTGCTGCGACGGGTCGTGCGGCGCAGAGGTCGGTCGGACGTAGATCGTGTTCCAGTCCGAGCCCTGTGGGCGGGGGAGAGAGAGGGTGAGTGAGGAGGGACGGGGCGCGTGCGCGAGAGAGAGAGGGGGACGAGGCCGACGCACAGATCGCGAGAGGGCGTAGGCAAAGTACTTGCCGTCCTCGGAAAAGGCGCTCGTCGCACGCGACACCGAGCCGTCGGTCGACAGGAGGTTGGGCTGCGCACGACGAGGGGTGAGTCTGGGCCTGCGAGGGCGGCGAGAGAAAGAGGAAGAACGGGACGCACGTCGAAGAAGAGCTCGCCGCCGACCTCGCCCGCCTTGGGAGGCGTGAGCTCCTGGCCCTTGGGGAAGCGGTAGATCGAGGGTTGCTGCGCGCGTCGAGAGAGGCGGTGAGTTTCGACGCTCCCGGGCAGGGAGGCAAGAGCGAGAGGGGACGGACCGGTTGGAGGCCGCTGTTATACGTGAAGTAGTAGTTGCCGTCGCCCTTGAGCGCCGGGCACGAGACTGTGTCGAGGGGGGAGGCAGGAGTCAGTGTCGCGGCCCGACCGCGAGGGAGGAAAGGCGGAGGAGACGGACAGCGCGGGTAGTCCCAGTTCTTGGTGAGCTCTTCTTTGAAGCGCTTGGCGTCCTTGAACTGTTCGAGGTACTGGTTGGTGAACTCGGTCTGCTGTTGGACCCAGGCGGTCGTCTCGGCAGAGTCGGGCTGGTGCAACCACGAGTACGGGTCGGGAACGGCGACGTCGCCGCGGGTTGCGCTCTTGAACGTTTCGACAGTGTCGGCACGGCGAGTGTGCGGGTACGGCGTCGACTTTGGGTCCCAGGGGGTGGCGGTCATGGTGGACGATGCGCGGAGGAGGGACGGTGGGGCGGGGAAGGAGCGCGACGACGAAGGGCGCAGCGCGGTCGAGAGGAAGAGGCGGGTGGTGGGCAGAGCGTAGCGGTGCAGGAGCATGCACCACTCGATTCGCAGGCTCTAGCAGGGGGGTCAGAGAGCCTCGTCCTCATCTCGACGAGGGCCGGACCCCCTCTCACCTCTCCACCTCGTCGCCCGGGTGCACTGCTGGCCCCAGCTAGGGCCTCGATCAGGCTCACTGCACCTCGGCACACCGCCCTGACCAGCTCCCGACCTGCCGCACCCCGTCCTCGTTGAGCCGGCACCGCCTCACCACCATGGTCCTCATCGACGGCACAAAGTACGCATGCCAGCAGTGCATAAAGGGTCACCGCAGTTCAAAGTGCACTCACACGGCCCGCCCGCTCACCGAGATCAAGAGTGCGTCCCTCCTCCCTCCTCCCTCCGACCTCCTCCCTCTGACGAGAGCTGATCACCCTCCTCTCGCGCCCACAGAAAAGGGCCGCCCGACCTCGCAGTGCACCCACTGTCGCCAACTGCGCAAGACCAAGTCGGTCCACGGTCGCTGTGACTGCGCCGCACGCGACGCCGAGCGTGCGTCCCCTCCTTCCTTGCCGCCTCTTGCCGCGCCCGACCTGACCGCCTGCTCCTCCCGCGCCGCAGAGAAAGCCTCGCCGCGCCTGCTCCCGAACGGCCTCGTCGACGCCGTCTCGACGCCCGAGCCTGAGGGCGGCAGCAGCAGCTTCACGACGACCGAGCCCTCTGGAGGTGAGCCCCCTCGCTCTCCCTCCCTCTCTCGCCGCCGTCGCCCTCTCGACACCAGCTGACACGCTCCTCTCACGCAGTGACGCGTCTCCTCAACCCGTGCAACTGCCTCCGCGGCGGCAAGTGCACCTGCTGCTCGGTCGTCAAGCGCTCGGCGCCCAAGCCGTTCCCGGGCGACGAGGCGGCGCCCGTCGCGTCGACCTCGTCCAGCGCCGGCGGCGGGTGCTGCTCGTCGTCGCGCACCATCACCAACGACGACGACGACGGCGGCGGCGACTACTTCCACGACCCTGTGCCGCCCGCCATCGACTTTTCGCGCGACATCCCCGTCTCGACGCCCTCGCCGGGCTCCTCCTCGCACCTCGCCTTCCCTCCCACCACCGCGCCTCTTCCTCCTCCTCCTCCCTCAACAACAGCAACGACCCCGTCGGACGCCCTCTTCCTCCTCCCCGCGACGCACGGCACCCACGCGTGCTTCTGCGGCCCGACGTGCGCGTGCGTCGGGTGCGCCGTGCACGACCCGCACTCGCGCAAGCGGCCGAGGGCAGGCGCGTGTGGCGGAGGCGGGTGCAGGTGTGGGAGTGGGAGGGGGTGCGAGGTGGGGGGCAAGAGGGTGCGCGTGGCGGGTGAGGGAGGGGGAGGGGGAGGGTGCTGCGGGAGGGACGAGGCGCAGGAGGAGGGGCGAGGGCCGCACAAGTCGTGCTGCGGCTCGAGTGGCGGTGGCATGACCGCGCCGCCCATGTCGGGCATCGAGCTCCCCTCGCTGTGGGCGCACGGCGCCGCGCTCCCCTCGTCCACGTCCTCGTCGTCGGCCGACCCCTTCCTCACCTCGACCTCGACCTCGACCCCGAACTCGACCTCGCCTGGCACCACCACGCCCCTCCCCTCGCTCCGCACGCTCTACCCCGCACTCCTCGACCTCGAGCTCGGCGACCCCACCACCACCACCTTTGCCGCCGGCACCGCGCCCGCCCCGCCGGCGCCGGCGAGCGAGTCCTTCGAGGACGCCGCCGCCGCGCTCGCGCTCGCGCTCGGCCTCGGTGACCAAGGAGGGCCTCGTCCTCAATTCCGCGCCGACTGCTCGGCCGTGTACCTCGCCGAACCGCTCGACGATGCGTGCGGCGGCGCGGCGGGGGCGGGAGGAGGGACGAGCGGTGCGGAGGAGGACGACGACGAGGGGTGCCACTGCTCGAGTGCGTGTGGGTGCCGGGGCGGGGCCAACGGTGGCGGAGGAGCGGTGGCGCAGAAGCAGATGCAGGAGCAGGAGCAGGAGAAGGAGGAGAGGGAGGCCGAGATGAGGCGCGTCGCGCAGCTCGCGGCGCTCGGGGCGTTTGGGTGAGGGCTTTTCTTTCTCTGTCTGTCGGTCGGTCGGTCGCTTGGTCACTCTCTCTCTTTGTTGTCATAGACACTCGCACGCTTGCAGTTCCCTCTCGTCCGGCCTCGAGAGCGAGAGAGAGGGAGCGAGAGGGAGCGACGCACTCTGCGCTCGTCGCTCGCTGGCTCCTGAGAGTCTAGTACAGCTACAGGTCCGCTAAAGCTACACAGAGCGGCAGAGGAAGGAGAGAGAGGGAGTTTGCGCCGGAAGAGAGCGAAACGGAGCGATTTCGTCGCCCGAGAGGCTCGAGCGCCCTCACTCGGCGCACCCGGTGCGCGCGCCTCGTTCGCCGTCCTTCCTCGAGACAGGTCAGCAGACGAGATCTCGCAAGCTTCGCGCGTCCACTTACGCAGGGCGGCTTGGCCAAGGGCGGCGGAGTTCCGGCGGGCGCGAGGGACAACGGACGACGAAGGGACCGCGGGTCAGCCGCTCTTGCCGTCCGTCGAGCGTCGCCGTGCCTCTCGAGCGCCGGGAGCAGCGAGAGCGAGCGCGATGGCACTCGTGCGAGCGGGAGGTTCGGACGAGGAGAAGAGGCTGCGGACGAGAGGCTCGAGCGCGCGCGGGGAATGTCAAACCGACCGCTCGCCTTCTCTCGTCAGCTGAGGAGGTGCAACGACGCCGCGTTGCAGAGACAGTACTATCAAGCATACAGACCGTAAGGAGGGACGACAGGGAACGACAAGTACAAGGGAGAGCTGCCGCCCACCTCACTCGATGCAGCCCGTGCGGTCGGCGTTGGCCTCGCCCGTCCCGCACGACGCACAGAACCCGGTCTCGTACTGCTCGACGCCGAACCTCGGCACGGTAAAGTACGAGACGAAGAAGTTTGGGCCGAGGGCGTGGCACGCTTCGCGCGAGACGCAGTCCGACGACCAGGTGAGGGCGAACGGGGCTCGGCAGCCGGTTGCGCCCAAGTTGTCGCACGAGTCGATCTCGAGAGAGCCGCACGACTTGCAGGCGAGACCTGTGAGGAGGAAGGAGGGTGAGCTCGTACGTGTGGCGAGCGAGGAGAAAAGAACACGAGGTCGGACGCACGGCTCGAGTCGAGGTAGGTTGCGGGCAGGCTGACGCCGTCCGAGTATTTTCGGCACTGAGTGACGCACTGTGACGAGAGCTCGTCGAAAAAGAGGCCACTGCGGCGAGAGGGAGGGGGAAGGGTCAGTGTGAGGAAGGGGGAACGTGCGCAAGGCGGACGGCGAGACCCACCAAGTTCGAGCCAGCTCGACGCTGCACGAGGCTTGACCCTCGAGGACGTCGCACGATGAGCAAGTGTTCGTGTCTGTAGCGCGGGAGAGGGTCAGACACCGCAAGATGTCGAGCTCAAGGAGCGAGAAGGAGCGCACCTTTGTTCAGGAACGACCCGCTCGCGCACGAAGGAGCCTCGGCGCAGCTGCCGCCCGTCAGGTGGAGCTGAGTGCCCTCGACGCTGAAACCACTGCGAGGGAGGAGAAGAGTCAGGGCGCCGAACGAGCGGAAAGGCTCGCCAAGTCAGAAAGGCTGGCTCACCAAGAGGTCGTGCCGGTCGGGCTCGCGTCGGAGCAGGTTGCGGCGTCGGCGTGGAAGCACGGTGTGCACGCATTCGCTGCGATGGCGGGAGGGGGCGTCAGGGAGAGGATCCGTGCGGGTGCGAGGTGCGCGAGGACGCACTCGAGCGGTCGGCGAAAGTCTTGCTCGGGCACTCCTTGGCGCGCACGCAGGTGCTGTCGGCCGTCAAGAAGTAGCCACGCTCACTGTGACGTGCAGACGAGTCAGTCGAGGGTCGTCGGGCGCGTGAGAGGAGGAGAGCGAGGCGCACCAGGTCAAAGCGCTCGTCGAGCTCCAGCAGGTCAAGGCTCGTGGTGGGCACGGCGTACAGGTGCCGGACGCTGTACGACGACGTGTGGGTGTCAGTCATGCTCCTCGCTGAGGGTAGGAGACGAGCGGGACGCACCTTCGTTGAGGTACCGGCGAGGCGGGCACGACGCCGGCGCTGCGGACCCGGCAGCGACGAGGGTCGCGAGCGTGACGGCGAACAGGGTCGAAAAGGGGCGCATCGTCGCTGACAGCGTGCAGTGCGTCGGTAGCTGCAGAGAGGCGAGCGCTGGACGTGCGAGGGGAGGAGCGAGAGGCAAAACACGAGCCGAAGCGGCGGCGGCCTCGGAGCTCACCTGCTCTCTCGTTTCCCCGAGGTGTGCGGGACGAACAATCGCAATGTACGACGCTCGGCGTGCGCGCGGGACCGATGATTTGGGAGGTCTGGGCGACAGCGAGCGAATGGAATTCCGCAGCGGAGGCTCGATCGCAAGTCTCGAACCGCTGCCACGCGCAACCTCGATCGCAACTGCGCCCAGCTCGCTCACGCGACTTTCTCGACCGCTCGCCGAACGAGGCCTCGCTGCAGCCGAACTCGGGGGCTGTATTCCAAGACGAGAGAGAAGGCCCCGGGAGCGCGACAAAGAGAAAAGAAAGAGGAAAGAGAGCGCGAGGAGGAGAGGGAAGGGACGAGGCTCAGTACACGCAGCCCGTCTTGTCCGGCGTGCGGTAGCCGAACGACGGGCACTGTTGGCACGTCCCGTACCGGTCGTCGGTGCCCCACCAGCCAGGGCCGTATTGAGGGAACGAGCGAGGCGTGTCGTCGATGCACTCCTGCGCCGTGATGCACCTTGTGCCGCCAGTCGCGATCACGTAGGGCGCACGACACAGCTGGGCACCGTCTGCGCTGCACAGAAGGACCTCGAGACCGCCGCACGACTTGCACGTGCCGGCTGCACATCGAGTCAAACGAGGTCAGTCGCGGCGAGAGCGAGCGCGAGGAGACGGGCAGGGACGCACACGATTCGTAGGACGCCGAGTTGACGGTGTCGGCCAAGAGGCGGCACGAAGCGACGCAAGTCGACGTCGAGACGTCGAGAAGGAGGCCGCTGCAGGAGGAGCTCGACATCAGGCCTGGACGAGGCTGCAGAGCTCGACGAGAGAGAGAGACGGTGACGCACCATCTTTGAGCCGTCGCGAGGTCGCAGCTGTCGCCGACGGCGGGACACATACGACAGGTCGATCCTGCAGGCGAGGGCGAGGCGAGAGTCAGGTCCGGGCCCTCGGGACGAGGGCGCAGAAAAGGGGAACGAGCGCGCACCGTCACGAACGGTGCCGACTGGGCACTCCTCGAAGCAGCCACGCTCGTACAAGATGCTGTTGCCGATGCACGAGAGAGCGCCTTGCCAGTCGCACGTCTCGGCGAGAGAGCCGAAAGCCGAGCACGACTCGCACGAGCCCGTTCCTGCGAGGGACGAAGGGTCAGTGACGGGCCGACTGAGGCAGGCGGGGCGAAAGAGGAGCGCACCGTCGTTGCCGTAGGTCCCACTCGAGCACTTGTCGGCGGTGACGCTGCACGAGAAGGGGGGCTCGTGGGCCGTCGTCGATGGGAAAGGGAAGAGGGGGAAGAGCTCACCAGCGGCCGTTGCTCAGGTACAGCGTCGCGCTGTCGTCGTCTCGAGCGCTGTAGACGAGGGTGATAGTCAGTCGACACTCGTGGAGGAAGGAGACGGACAAAGAAGAGAGAAGGAGAGACGCACCAGCTCGTCGGTCCGGCGGCGTCGCACGTGGACGAGCCCGGGAAGTGGTCGCTGCACACGAGGCACTCGTCTCCTGCGGTGCCGACGAAGGATGTCAGCCCGTTCTTGAAAGACGGACCATCAAGGAGAAGGGAAAGAGAGGCGCACCGACGAGGACCGTGACCTCGGCTGGGCAGCTCTCGACGCACACGCCGTTTAGGCGCACGCCGGTCGTGCAGGACATGACCTCGTCGGCCGTACAGGTCGCCGTGTCCTCGCCGAAGCGAGCGACGCAAGAGGCGCACGTATTGCCGTCTGCGACGAGAGAGGTCAACTTGGGAAGGTCGACTCGGTCAGGTCCAGAGAAAGGGGCGAGGGACGCACCTTGATCGGCGAAAGTACCAGCCGGACAGGCAGCACTCGGGATGCAGGAGCCCTCGTTGAGGTAGATCTGCGAGCCGTTGGCGTCGAAGCCGCTGCAGGGAGGCCGAGCCGGTGAGGGGCGATTCCTCGAAAGGGAAGAGCGGGGCCGACTCACCATGCCGTCGCCGCTCCCTCGCCGTTGCCGGTGCAAGCGAGGACACCAGGGTCGCACGCACGGCAGAGGCCAAGATCTGCTCGGGGCAAGAGTCAGCCTCGAGAGGGAAAGGAGGAGGGGGAGCGGTCGCGAGGGCGCACCGGGATCAGGCCAGAAGGCGCCGACTCGAGCGCAGTAGAACGAGCCGCCGCAGACGCCGTTGGGCGCGAGGTACAGGCCCGACTGGCACGACGTAGCTTGGTTCTCGCCTCGGCCCGCGCACGTCTTGACGCCCGAAGCGCACGGGAGGCACGTACGACTCGCTGCGCGCAGAGGTTCGGGCGTGAGTCAAGTCCGACGACGTCGAGAGAGAGGTGAGGACGCACAGAAATCGGCGAACAGGCCCTCGCCACAGCCGTTCGAGCGCACGCACGAGCCGCCGCCGCGCACGGCCCGCTTCCTCTGCTGGGAGCACGATCGGAAGAACAGCGGCTCGTTGGCGTCGTCGTACTCCGAGCTGCACACAGAGCACGTCAGAGTGCGCTCGAGAGGCGAGAGGACGAGGGCGAGGGACGGACCAGCTCAAAGTATCGCAGTCGTCGGGCCCGGCACAGGTCGTCGCGCCGTTCGGGCACGCCTTGAACGAGTTCGAGTCTGTAGGCGCCGGCTCGTCAGGGGGCACAGACGAGCAAGGTGAGAGAGAAGGGGGCGCACCGTCGTCGGCGTAGTAGCCAGGCGGGCCCTTCCACGAGAGGACGCACTTCCTCGTCGGCGTGAGGTAGAGCTGCGTCCCGGCGCTGTCCTTTGCGCTGCGGTCGAGTTCCCAAGCCGTCAGTCCTGACGAGCTGAAGGCGAGAGGAGAGGAAAAAGGGAGCGGACCAGGTCATGGCGCCGCCCTGGTCGCAGGTGAGAGTGCTCGAGTCGCACGCGAGGCAGACGCCGAGCGCCTTGTGGCCGTACCACGACTTGGGGCAGTGCATGTCGCACGTGCCCTTGGGCGTGAGGAGGTACTGGTCCTTCTTCTTGTTCTTGCCGCTGCGGCGAGAGAAAAAGAGGGAAGGTCAGGCTCGTGCGCCACTTGAGAAGGTCGCTCGACGAGACGCACCACGAGAGCGCGCAGCCGACGCCGCGACACTTGCAGGACGTGACCTCGGCGTCGCACTTCTCGGCGACATGAGCTGTGAAAGAGGGAAGGTCAGGATCCGTCACGGAAGAGGGAGGAAAAGGAGGGACGCACTCTCTTGGTCGGCGTAGTACCCGCTCGGGATCTCGGTGAGGGCAAGGCACTTGCCGTTGAGGAGGTACCCAGTCGAGCTGCGGGAGCATCGAGTGTCAGTCCGAGGCAGAGAGGATGACAGACGAGGAGAGAGGGAGCGCACCAAGCAGTCGAGGTCGCACCTCGGTCCGAGCACGATGCCGCACGAGGGTCTGCGCACTTGCGGCAGCGGTTCTCTGCGCTCGCGAGGGAGTCAGTCGGACATCGAGGAAGGGCAGAGGGAGGAGGAGGCGAGGGACGCACTGGTGGGCGCGTCGTCGGCCCAAGTTCCGACAGGGCAGGTCTTGACGCACGTCCCGGCGCTCAGGAACGAGCCGTTGGCGCTGCAGGGGGACAAGGTCCATCAGGGATGCTTCTCTGACGTGAGGCGAGAAGAGGGAGAAAGAGCGAACCATCCAGTCGCGACGGTCGCGCTCGAGCACTTGGCGAACGCGGTCGGGCACTTGGCGCACGTGTTGTCGCCTGCCGGGTATGACCCGCTCGAGCAGCTGTCGAGGCACTTGGTGCGGTCGACGTTGAGGAGCTTGGGCGGACGGCAGATGCACTGCGTCTTGGTCGTGTCGAGCGTGAAGCTGAGGGGAGGAGGAACGTCAGACTCGCGCAGAGAGGTGTGCGAGGGAAGAGAGGACAACGCACCCGTTCTTGCACTTGAGGGCGGTGGTACCGGCGCGACGGTCGAGGCGGTGCACCGAGACGGTCGAGTGATCGAGAGAGGCGACAGCAAGGCCGACGAGCGCGCTCGAGGAGGCGAGGAACGCGAGAAGGCCGCGCATCGCGTCGAGCTCGAGCCGAGCGAGAGGTGGAGGATGGAGGAAGAGAGAGAGAGAGAGAGAGAGAGAGAGAGAGAGAAGCTCGAGACGAGCGAGAGGCAAAGAAAGGAGGCGAGCGAAGAAGCTCGAGCCGCGACGACGAGAGCCGGACAGCCCGCTCGAATGGCCCGCATCTCCGCCCCTCTCGCACCTCGCTCGACGCGCAACACGATCAATGGCGCTCGATAGGAGAGGCGACGGCGATATTGCAGGCCTCGTTCTCGGTCGTCGACCTCGGACGACCGGCGGGGTGCGAGCGCGACGGGGGAGGGTGCGTGCGGCTGCGCTCGTGGCCATGAATGGCGACGCGACGGGCGGGGCGAGAGCCAGGTGCAGGTGGCGGCGAGGTGCAAGGTGAAGCAGGACGAGGGTGTAGGGCGGTGAGGGGAAGGGGCATCATCGACGGTCGGGAAGGTCGGGGTCGAAGCCGAGTTGGACGGACGGCGACGGCTGCGAGCAGAGCGTGCTTGGGTCAGTGCGGTCCGTTCAACCAGTTCTACGACGGCGTCGGGCACCCTGCCTGAGAGCGCACCCTCGCCGCCGAAGAGAGAGACAGAGAAACCGCCGACGCACAGACCACCTCTCCCTCCTGAGCCTCTCGCGACTCTCGACCTCCCTCGCCCTCTGCCGCGATCTATCGATCATCTTGCGCTCCTCTCCTTCTCGCGCCACGCCTCGGTGCGCCCCAGGCCCGCCTCGAGCGCCCGGCCAGGCTTGGTCCGGCCGAGGAGCGACCGCGCGGCCGGCGACAGGGCATCGGCGCGCGCCGAGGCGCTCGGCGTGCCGCCTCCTCCTCTGCCCCCGCCGCCACCGCCGGGCGTGCTGCTCCCGCCACCGCGGACCGACGCCTCGACGGCCGAGCGCCGGAGGAGCCCGCCGCCGCCGAGCGCGAGGCCGCCCCTCGGGCTCGGCCCGCCGCTCTCGGCGAGGCTGCGCTTGGCCCTGCGCGCCATGCGGTGCGCGAGCTCCTCCCTCCTGTCTGCCTCCCTGACCCTGAACGGGCCCACCGCGCCCGGCCCGCCCATGCTCCCTCCCCCTCCCCCTCCACCCCCCGCCGCCGCGCCCGCCGCGTCGGCCTCGGCCGCGCGCAGCACGACCGGCGTCGCCTCGATCGTGCCCCACGTCATGAGCTCCTGGAGTGCGTGGGGCGGGAGCGCGGCCGACGGGAGCGTCGGGAGCGCGTCGACGAACGAGAAGCCGCCGACGCGAGGGGTCGCGGTTTGGGGTGCGGACGGGTCTGGCGGGCGGGCAGGCGGGCCGGAACGCTCGTCAGTTTGGACGGGGAAGAGGGAGCGAGAGAGAGAGAGGAGGGGGGAGAGAGGCGGAGAGAAGAAAAGGGCCAGGGAAAGCGAGGGGGAGAGAACGAGAGCGCGAGACGCACAAGGTGTGCCCGCGATAGCCGCCCCAATCCTGCTCCGACTCGGGCTCAAACTCGCCTCGCTCGCGCCCTCGCCGCCGCCACCAAAGCTCGACCTCGCCGACGACGACCCTGCGCCCGAGCCTCGCTCGAGCGCCTCGAGGCGCGTCGCCGCGTGCCGCACGCCTTTGGGCTCGCCGATGAGGATGGGCGGCGCGCGCGAGGACGCGGTCGAGGAGGATGAAGAGGCGGCGGCGGCGGTGGCGGTGCGCGCCGAAGGAGGGCCGGTGAGGGAGGAGGGGTTCGAGCGGTCGGCGTCGGGCGGGAACATGAACGAGTTGCGGGTCTGCGGCGGGTGCGTGTAGAGCAGGTGAGCGACCGGGTGCGCCGAGAAAGGGGGACCGTGAGAGCGAGAGAGAGAGGAAGAGCGGGGCGCACCTTGAACGGCCAAGCGGCGCTCTGCACCTGGAGCTCTCGCGCATCGACGGGTCGCGCATCGTCCTCCTCATCGGCCGTCGCCTTGTCGTAGTCGACAAACTGGCGCGCCGACTCGTCGACGCGCCCGACGACGAGCGCGCCCTCGTCGCCCTCGCCCTCGCGCTCCCGCCCCTTGCCCTTGTCCGCCCCGTCCGTGATGAGGAGCCGCTCTGCCTCGTCCCGCCCCGTCACGAGGAGGCGTTCCCCCTTGCCGACCTCGACGCCGCCATCCACGACGAGGCGCCTCTCGCCCGGCCTTCCCGCCGGACCCTCGACGAGCCGCACGCTCCCGTCCCCGGACGCGTCCACCATGCGCCTCGTGACGTCGACGAGGCGCTCTCGGGCCTGTCGGCCGCGGACGGCGCGCGCGTTGGCGCGCCCCTCGGCGTCAAACGCCCAGGCGTGGGTCGTGCGGCGCTGGGCGTTGTCGGACGCGAGGAGGTCCTGGAACGAGGCGTTGTCCTGCGACGTGTAGCGCGCTTGGAACGCGTCGAGCGAGATGTGCGGGTCGACTCGGGGAGGGGGAGGAGGGGCGCGGCGCCGGCGCGACGAGGTGGCGGTCGAGGAAGGGGTGGCGCCCGAGAAGGACGTGAGGGGCGTGCGGTCGAAAAAGGTGGGCGTGAGGTCGCCCCTTGCTGACTCGCGGGTCGAGTACGGCGTCGCTCCCTCGCGGGCCCTCCTGCGCGGTGTCGGGGTCGCGTGGTGGTCTCGCAGGGCGCGGACCGAGGCCTCGATGCGGTGCGGGTCGCGGCTGTCGAAGGCGTCGAGGACGTCGTTGCGCTGCTCGAGGGTGCGCAGATGGGGAAAGAAGTCGCGCTGGATGATGCTCGACAGGTGCGCGAGGTACTCGTCTTCCTGCAACGCCGTGGTGTCGAGAGGGAGGGGATGAGGTCAGAGGGAGGAGGAGGAGGAGGAGAAGGAGAGGGGAGAAAGGTGGGGCGCACGGGGAGGACCTCCTGCTTGAGGGTAGAGAGTACGACTGGCTGGCTGCTCCTGTGCACGAGCTGCGTGCCCTGGTCGCGGTGGCGAGCTGGCGAGTTGGGACGAGTGCGAGACGAGGGAGAGTCCCACTCGCCCGTGCGCTCCGGCGACGGGTCTTGGTGCGAGTAAGGGCGGTTCATGGGTGCTCTCGAGAGCAGCAAGATGCTCGCACGAGAGGGTGCGGCGGTGTGGTCGAGGTGCACGCCGAGCGGGGACGAGAGCCTTGCCCCGTCTCCTCCTCCCCTCGCTGCACACACGCTGGGCAGACCTGCTTGCCCGCTCGATCTACTCCAACACTCTCATCAAGCACCTTCGAGCAACCCGCAAACCTGTCCCGTGGCCGCTTCCCCTCTCTCGCGCCCGCACCGCCCCCCCCCCCCCATGCGCCGACGTCGGTCGCCGACTTTGAGCGCCTGCTCCTCGGTTCGCCCAACTCGTCGTACCTGTGGATCCAGTACATCGCCATTCTTCGTCGGCCTGTCGCAGCTCGACAAGGCGCGCGAGATCGGCCGCCGGGCGCTCAAGTCGATCCACTTCCGCGAGGAAGCAGGAGAAGCTCAACGTGTGGGTCGCGCTCCTCAACCTCGAGAACTCGTACGGCGACGAGTCGACGGTCGAC